CATTGATTTACAAGATTCAACCTCCAGAAAGGAGATGCCAATTCTAAAATACTGGGGAACGGTTGAACCCTAGTACGCCAAGTAGTCGATTCATCTATCCCCACCATAACCCCAATAAATACATTCATGGAGCCTCGAGTCCATCAAAGGAGAGCCTTCAGGGCTTAAGAGTTAGCTAACAAGACCCCAAGATGGAAAGCTCGGTGAATTATTCTGAGCAGGTACCACAACCTTCAGTCCGAGCCACAAAGGTTGGTTACTATGCATCAACCCTCTGTGGCAGCATTCCACAGCCAACTATGCAAATGCAGCTCATGTCCCCAACATTTATTTAACAGATGCCGGACATGCTATTTGACGTCAGGCACTGCCCAGCTTACGCCAGCCACCAACAGTGATTCTATAGATGCTTGAATGCTTATCTTCCGGGCCGAGAAACTACAGACACTTCACAGAAGCCAACAAAAACGGTACCTGGTCTATGGGTCCTTGGGGGTCCTCTTTCAATCCGCACCGGATTGGTCCTATTTTGGTATTCTTTCTAACTTAAGTTGCGTTGAAGCTCAAGTGTTTCTGTTCGTTGAATTCATCCATGCCATAATACTCCATACAGTGTTACCGACTAGCCCAACCAGTCCGGCCGGTCATTATTCAAAAGCACCCGCAAAATCCAGCCCCCTTTTGATCCTCGTCCAGGCATGGGTTTGTGTACCTGACGATTCCATCTTCTCGCAAAAACCTCCCCCAGCCACGATCGTCGAGGTCGTGTCGGTGGGTTTTGAGCGCATATATCTTTCTTCAACAGAGTCCAATGCATCAATGCGTCCAAAATCTCCTGGGATCAAGGCCCGATAAAAATATTGAACGGGCCGCCCCCTTTCTTCCTGCTCCTGGGTGCAGCTATGTCCTGTGCGTCTTTGGTCGCATCGCGTTCCTCTTTACTAAGTCAAGGGTTAAGGGTTGAGGCTCATGGCCACCAAATGGCCCATGCATCGTCACTTAGTACAAGATACGGGTCATGACGCGAGCTGTGTAAACCGTCAGTATTTTGATGCTGAATTTGTGTGGCTGGGTTCAACATACCGCTAAGTCCCTCAAGGCTGTCGTAGATATCCTTGATCTGCTCATACTTGATGCTGCTGATATCAGCCATCAGGTAGGCATTGTCGCCTCTGCTGTCGGAAATCTGCTTGTCGACGTTGTGGTCTCCAAGGATCTCGTTGACCTTTCGGAGCACACCGGGAACGTTTCGGTGAATGAAGATAACCTGTAGTTCATTAGTATGCATTTTTTGAGTTGCTTTCGGTATAGACTTACACGAGCGGTATCGGGCTCGTCCGAAGTCAGCGAACGCAGCTGGACCTCAGGGATGTTGACGCTGCCCAGAGTGATACCCTGGTTAATGTAGCGCACCAAAGCTTCGCTGACTATACGGATGTTAGTGGTGAAACCCATAAGATATCTCACGTAGTTACTTACCCTCAATACCGATAGCACGCTGAGCCTCCTCAGTGCTACCACCGATGTGGGGAGTCAGGATAAGGTTCTTCAAGCTTCGCAGGTCCTCGCCCCAGACGTTGAGGTCGTTGGTGAAGTAGTCACCGTTGGCGGCGGGCTCGGCGGGGAAAACATCGAGAGCGGCACCAGCGACCTTGCCAGAGCGGCTGGCCTTGATAAGAGCGGGAATATCGACGACGCTGCCACGGCTGGCGTTGATGAGGTAGGCACCAGTCTTCATCTGCTCGAACTGAGCAGTGGAGATCATGTTGCGTGTCTCGGGGAGATCAGGGACGTGGAGAGTAATGAAGTCGGCCTCGCCCAAGAGCTTCTCAAGAGTAGGGACCTGGTTGGCGGTACCAAGGGACATCAGGGTAACCACATCGTAGTAGATGACGTTCATACCCATAGCCTCAGCGAGAACAGACAGCTGAGAACCAATGTGGCCGTAGCCGACAATACCCAGAGTCTTGCCTCGAATCTCCCAGCACTTGGAGCTGACCTTGTTCCAGGTACCGCGGTGCATCTCGTTGGATCGGTCGCCGAGCTGACGGGCAAGGGTGATGATCTCGGCGATGACAAGCTCAGCGACACTGCGCGAGTTGGCGAAGGGGGAGTTGAAGACGGCGATACCATTCTTGGCAGCAAACTCGAGGTCGACCTGGTTGGTACCGATACAGAAGCAACCGATGACGAGGAGGTTTGTGGCCTCGCGGAGAACCTTCTCGGTGAGCTTTGTCTTGGAGCGAATACCGATGACTTGAACGTCGCTATTAAGATTGAATATTAGCATATATGGTGGGGTACGTATAGCTCATGAACGAGGGGCATTTCGTGAGGCCAACGATGGAGGGGCACAGTTTCGCAGGAAAAAAAGTTGGCGGGGTATTTCGCAAACATACCGAATCTTCTCAATGAGCTGGTCCTCAGGGAGAGAGGTCTTGAGAGCCTCGACCTGGTAGCCCTGGGCCTTCAGGATCTCTTGTCCGGTGACATTGACGTTCTCGAGAAGTAGAATCTTGATGTCCTTGGTGTTGAAAGGCTTCAGGTTCTTGGGCGCGCCACGGTTGGGGAGACCAGCGCTGCGGCTGGGAGGAGACTGGAAAGAAGCAAGGGGAGAAGTGGCGGCATTTTGGTCCCAGCTGTGAGAGACTTCGCGCTGAGAAGCAGCAGAGAGGCTGCCGGCGATGTTTTGAGGAGAGGGCGTCATGATGAAGGTCGGTGTAATATGTTGTTGGAGTAAGGTGGAGGGGTCGTTTGTAGCGGGGTGGTCGAAGGAATTGGAGAGCTTTATGTCCTTTTAAGGGTGATGGACAAGATAGAGAATGAGATGCCAGCTACTCAAAGACAGGCAATTAAGTCTAGATAATGAAATGGCGGGTGTGTAGAGAATGCGAGAAATAGACTCGGGAGGATTGAAGGGGGAGCCAATTGGTTTTATGATGTGATCCAAAATCTACACCCAACCTTAGTTAAGCTGAACTGAACTGAACCGAACTACCTATGATGAGGTGACTCCATAATCCACAGCGCATCCATCCAAAGTTGACACTCCGCGATGAGCCGAATCCAGCATCAGAATTCAGGCTCAAAGCCTCTCCCGACTTCCGGGACTTGACTCATCCATGATTGATAATACCACTACTGCCGAATCAGAGGCCATTTACGGATACAAGTGAATTCGGCATCAGGGTACCCTTGCGGCTCCGTCATGTCATCCATGGATGTTTACGTTTACTACCTTACTGTAAGAACGTGGGAGTGGAACAACCACGTTGGATCTTGTACATACAGAAAAACTTTTCTATGTAAGGACAGTCCGCTCTCGGCCATTCAAACAGCATGGATCTCAATCGTTCGACAATTAGAAGCAGAAAACCAGCGAATTAATTACTGTAAGCCCGCATATAGCCAGTAGCCAAGCTCGGCGTCTTAGACGATCTTGCCGCTAGAATACAGCCCTGAGAAAAAGGACCACTTAAAAAAAAATAAAAAATTGTCGCGACAGTCATTTGGCCTTTGACCGAGACCGGCAATGCCACCATGCCGTCACGCAATGGCGTCAATTTCTGTGACCCCGTCTAGCCCGCAGGGTGTTAGAAGAATTGGCCGTCATAAGCATAACAGACGAAATAGTTTAGTCATCTTATGCCAGTTTAGCTAAGCGTTTAGGCTACTTTATTTTGGTAGCCTAAGCATCAGAGTACATTTCTTCTGTTACCCACCTAGCCCGTCTTGCCTGTCTACGGTCTACGGTCTACCTCCGGCCGACTGCTGGTCTCTCTGTGTATCAAGTTATACCGCTTCTAGCAGTCCCGCAGGCGGCGGCGCTTTAGCCAATATGCGGCGAGAACGGGGGCATATGCAGCCCGGCAGCGGGATGCAGCGGAGCTGAGCGGCGGTTGGACGGACGGACCTCAATTGTACGCGGTCATTTCAGGATTCGTGCGTAACATATTTGAGACTATTGGCTTTGCTACAAGGACTATGTATATTTCCTTCGGTGCGAATTCAGCCAAGCCCATTTACTATCAAGGTTATGCATTCTGACTTTTGGCTTAGTGACCAACATAGATATCGACCAAACTCAAATAGCATGGTGATTTACGGCTTGATGTAGTTATCATCTATCCTACCCTATATCCTCACTGGTGATTTGGTGATACCGATTGAATGTTCATTTTGAAAATGTAGTTCCATGGTTCCTATTCGCTTGCCAATGATAAATGACTTTGTGACGTACTGAAACATCCCCAGATTCCCATCCATGCACACATTGACGACGTGGCGGTGACTTGACACATGTCTTGCATGATTCTGACTGTGTGTATGTAGGTACCTGTGTAGGTTCATCATTTCACCGCATTTCAATGTCAAATATCAGTGTCCTTCATGTAGCCACGAGTTTGATATAGACGAAACCATCAGAAAACCCACTATAAGAAAGTGTCTTACATGTCACACAAACCGCAACGACATCGATTGCATTACGACGGAATTTCATTCTCTATATATTATGCACCGTGATTCCCCTTGCACCCTTGTAAGAAATCATCCGTCAGTCACTACCTTACATCCATGCCAGGAGTCAAATCAACGTAGTTGTAACAGAAAATAGCAAAGACAAAGAACCCCAAAAACGAAGTTAGAGAGAAAGGCTGCAAAAAAAGGAGGGCAACATAATATCGCGGGCCGACTTCTGCCCTCTGGCTGTGTCTATCAATAAAGGTTTCCAGTCCCAGAGTTTGCTGCAAAACCACAGAGGTTCGTGCAAACGATGCCTATCAAATGACGATGCTACCTTTGGTTCTGAAAAACGGCAACGGCTGATTCGCCGACCTGCTTCGACCGCTTCCCGTTTCTGTAGCCTTTTTCTTCCCGTCGTTCACCGCCTCTCCTTTTTTCCGAGGAAGGCTGGTGGCTCAGATAAAATCCTCAAACCCGATAAAAGCCAATCATGTCATGAGTGTGAATATGCGTTACGTCGCGCTCTATCGCTTCGCTCAGCTCTGTTTGCACTCGGCGGCTTCCTGCTTAGGCTTGCCAGACTCATCCTGTAAAATGTTAGTTTTAGTCACTCAACTCAGATAAGGGGGTAATGCATACATCGTCGTCAGACTCCTCCTCGTCATCGTTCTCCTCGCTCAAATCATCCTCGTCCTCATCATCGTCATCGTCGAAATCGGCACCGTCGAGGTCATCGTCAGAGATCTCCTCGAAAGCGAGAGCCTCACCGGTGAACCAGTCGATGGCACGGGGAATGAGCTTCTCCTTGATGTCCTCACCGAGCTGGTAGTCGAGCTCGAGGCGCTCCTCGATATCGGACTCGGCATCCTCGTCGTCGTCATCGGTGGGAGCCTTGGGTGGCGAGAAGAAGTTGAAGAAAGACTCAGTGGGAACGGTCTTCTTGACAATTCGGGTCTGCTTGGTGTCTAAATTCAAGTTAGTCGTTAACTCGCAAAAAGGGGAAAAGGAGAAAACTCCTTGTATAGTCACCACGTACTCTTGTTGCGCTGCTTCTTGCTCTCGACACGGACAGTCAAGTCCTTGCCGGGTAGCCACTCAATCTTATCACCCTCAGCGTGGTCGTAGATGAAGTCACCGCCGTAGCCGCTCTCATTCTGGTAGTAGTATGTCTTGGTGATGGTGGTGTTCTTGAAGAAGTCGTTGGGAGCGAACTCGAAGATGAGACGGAAACCAGGCTTGTCAAGGTACTCCATGCGGATGTCGGTGAGGTGCTTGAGAGCGGCCTCATCACGGTCAGTGATCATCTCCGCGAGAGAGATCTGGTTCTTCATGGCAGAAAGCCAGAACTCGGGGATACCGGAAACATTGTCGGGAACGTCGGACTTTTGCTCAGACTTGGGGGCATCCTCAGCCTCGGGCTCGTCGTCCTCTTCACCGGCCTTGATCTCGTCCTCAGTAGGCTCGGACTTTCCGTTGATGATGGCGGAACGCTTCTCGTAGAGAGGAGAGAACTTGGCGAAGTACTTCTTCTCAAGCTGGAGAACCTCCTCCTGGAACTCGGCCTCGAGCTTGGAGTGGTCCTTCTGGATGCCCTTGAGACCAGCGACACGTCGGCGGACAGGGGCGGGAAGGGACTCGATGTAGCCAGAAGATTGGCCCACGAGGGAGCCGAGGCGACCCTGAATCATCTGGATAAGCTTGGGGTTTTGGGCGAAAACAGAGGCCGCGGCAGCACGGTCCAAATCCTCTACAGCGGGGTTAGAGCACGATTCGAAGTGGAAGGAATTGATTCATGATCGGCCTCAAAAAACCAAATCAAAAGACTTACCCTCCTTGATGCTAGCGACACCGGGCTGCTGAGCGTGAGAAGAAATAGGAGCGGCGGTTGCGGGAGTGTTCTGAGGCGTACTGATCGAAGGTGGGGTAGTTAGCATCGTGGATCGTGAAGCGGCGGGCAAGGAAGGCAATGAAGGATCAATATAATATCAAAAGGTTAGGAAATGACTTACGGAGCCACGGCGTCCTGAGCACGCTTTCCACGGATGGGCTCGGCCATATTGTCTGATATGAAAAGAATGCGAAGAGGCGCTTGGGATAAACGTCTTGGGGAGGAAAGAGGTGAGGTTGAGAGGAGAGGGATGAAAGGAAGTTGAGAGAGCAGCAGGCCGTTGACGTTTGCTAAATTCTGGTGGGGGGCGATAAAGTTGAAAAAAATTCGGGCACTGGGTTTGGGCTTTGGGCTTGTGCTTGTAACCACCTCAAAGCAGCGGGCAACGGACAACGGACAACGGCAACAGGCCAGCACTCGCTCGTTCGCTCTGACTTTTGAACTTGTTGGGCCGCCCACCAAGCACCAAGCTCAACTGGTCGATCGCCTAAAAAAAACCCAGACTGTGTGAGAGGATCCTCTGATGCCTTAGTAGCTTGGAGTGTGGAGGCGCTGTGGGAGAGCGGAGAAGTGAGACAACAGAAAGGGAGTGGAGGAACCAGCCACAGAAGCACAGTGCATATCCGAGTAGGTTCACACCCCACCACACAAATGTTCAATGTTCACCATCTACAGGCTTTGTGTCCCTGGAGGCGTAAAAAAAGTTTGACGATGGAGAAGAAGGGACAAAAAGGCTGTGTATTAGTTGGACGTGTTTGCTAGGTGATTGAACGACAGTTATTTTTGACACCCTAACTCTTACAAGTCGACTATTCCACCACCCTCTAGCGTTGTCTGCACCTGTGGCGCTGTCATGCGTGATTCTCTCCGACTCGCCCATTCGCAGTACATGGAAGCACTCGCCACGCTCTAGATGGATTCCAGAACACGACACTCCTGGATCCCTTGTCGTAGATATTCCCTTTCCCCATCCATGCCCTGTACGGTGCAACAGTACTTTCAACTCAACCCGAGATAGCCAGCCTGCCTTTCGGCTGTAAGGTTTTCTTTACTGTACTTTAATGACCGAGGCTCTGGAATGGTGGCGCCTCTAATCAGGAACAACAAATTGTCTTGAATTGATATGCGACTTGTTTTGTTGACTAGACACCCGGCCTTGCCCGAGGGGAGACTCGGAACTGATACTGTACAGCAGCTACCTTAAGGACTGGCTCATAGGTAATCTCGGGAAACCGCGTTACATTGAGAGAGCATGAATCAAGCGAGGATGAACCCCGAAATACTACTTGCTGATAGTTTGCGTGTTGTCGTTACATGAGGTAGTACTCTGTACAGGACCCAACAGGCTAGGGAGAGAAAAATAAAGCCAACTAACAAATATCCGAGAATCGATACACCAGGGAGGACCCTTTTGGTTCGGATAGAAGGGTTGAAAAGAACATGTCCAACAACTCAACTCGACTCAACTTATCATATGTAGGTATCGTATCTTGATGAGATGCGGCTCGTACGCACTGTGAAGGGACCCTGCACGATTGGCTGCAGCTTGATGGTTGACCGATACCAACAAAGTCGAGGGATGCGTCACGAATCGCGCCCTTGTATCTTTGGAGTGGGCAGGCTATTTCTGCAACTTCCTATTCGTCCATCAACTGCTTCTGTTGACAACGAAGATAAATAAATAAAATTGAGGTTGCAGGCTCCAGTCCAGTCCCATCTGGCAGTCCAGTCTAATTCTTGACCGACCAGGACAGCTACAGTAGTAGTTTCTGATCATGAAGTACTGTAATTTTACATACCCCATGATTCATGCATACTAGTCTTATTCTAGTCATGTCTGAGTTCTAGAAGATAGCTTCCTAAACACCATCACCATGAATTCCAATACAGTTTATTGACATCATGACACTCAAAGTCTCTTGCCGTTGGGTGAAAGTGATTCTTATCGCAGCCTTGCCTAACTGATTAGATACAGACCAATGATCGTTGGCGGGGCTAGTTCGGTATACCGGTATGAGTTTCCGTGTCCAGCCTTGGTCAGGGCACGAGTGCTCAGCCAACGACGTAATCGGGGCGCGACTTACAACTTTCAAACAAAATTCTTATTCCAAACTTTTTGAGAATTTGTTTGTACCATGCCAACCATCTTTGTCTAAAAATTAATTGATGGATGAAGACGGTCGCCGAAGCCCTGATCCGGGCCAGGACCATGGCCATCGTGGTCATCGCGGATCCAATGCCAATGGCAATGGAAACAGCAATGGCAATGCGCGCCGTTCGCTCTATCGCATGAGCTCTAACCAGAGCAGATCCAGCATTTTCGAAGATGTGGAGATGGCGCATGAAGAGGTACGGATGAAATACACCAAAGCATCGCGCATTCATCCAATAGTTGATGCTAACTATAACTTCCTCAGCTTTTCTCCGGACCTGTTGCCGAAAGTCTTCCCACCAGTGTATCCGCTTTCTCCCACCGAAGACCTCGCGCCGATTCGACCGCCAGCTTCACGTACTACGATGACGAGAACGAAGGTTTCCCCGACGATGATGATGCTGAAAGCGTAGCCGTGCAAAGCATTGCTGGCGACTATATCCGACGAAGCGTCTCAGATATCGGAGACTTGGAATTTGGAGTGGATGATACTGAGGAATACGATGAATCCCCGGAGCGCGACTACCGTATTTCTGAGGACGATTACGTTTTGCGCCGACACTCATCAGTATATTCTCGTCATTCGGTCAACGCACATCTTTTGCGACGAGATAGCACAGCTACTCATGGTAGTTTCCGTCGGCAAGGACGTACCAGCCAAAAGGTTTATTTGGCCAACGAAGATCTCACAATCGTCATTGCAGGTTTCAAAACGAGCAAGATCGGATCTGCGATATACATCACACTCTGTATTCTTACTTGTGGTCTCGCCTACCTGCTCTTTCGATGGCTGCCCCGGTGGTATGTCGGTCTTCTTGGACAAGCAACTCCTCTTGGGGAATGTGAATGGGTTGTTATAGAAAACCAGTGGGGAGAGCTCATTACCATGGATGTTCGATCTCAAATTTATGGCAGGCCGCTATCAAGTATCTTCGGCTTACCGGAAAAGTACTACTCGGATGCCATGGATGAGGATGTCGACCCCATAGTTGACGACCTTCGCACTCTGGACTATCGCTACATTCGACTATGCTTCCATCCGCTCAAGGATAAGTTTATGCTCTTCAGTGGCTGGAAAGATCCCAATTGGACCGACGTTCGACTGACACGTGCCGGACTGGATACCGATGAAAAGGGTGTTCGTGAAGTTGTCTTCGGAAATAACCTCATCGATATTGAGCAAAAGTCAACCGGGCAGCTTTTGGTGGACGAAGTTCTCCACCCTTTCTACGTTTTCCAAATCGCAAGTCTGGTACTGTGGTCGATGGACAGTTACTACTATTATGCAGTGGCTATTTTCCTCATGTCCGTTGGCAGTATCGCAGCCACGCTCATTGAAACTCGGGCTACGATGAAACGACTACGTGAGATTTCACGGTTCGAATGCGATGTGCGAGTCCTCCGAAATGGCTTCTGGCGATTTATCAGCTCAAGCGATCTGGTTCCTGGAGATGTCTACGAGCTAAGCGATCCCAGCTTGACTCAGCTACCCAGCGACAGTCTTTTGCTTACTGGAGATTGCATCGTTAACGAAAGTATGCTAACAGGCGAATCGGTTCCTGTCTCAAAGATTCCAGCAACCGATGAAACTCTGCTTGCAATGGACTTGGCTGCATCGTCTGTTACCCCTGAGACTGCACGACATTTCCTCTTTTGTGGTACCAAAATCATCCGCGCCAGAAGGCCTCAGGAGGACCAAGGGGACGACGCTGTTGCGCTCGCCCTCGTTGTCCGGACTGGTTTCAATACCACAAAAGGTGCACTGGTCCGGTCAATGCTGTTCCCTAAGCCATCTGGATTCAAGTTTTACCGCGATTCATTCCGTTACATCAGTGTAATGGCTATCGTTGCTGCTATTGGTTTCATGGCTTCTCTGGTAAACTTTATCCGACTTGGCCTCGCATGGCATCTCATCATCATTCGAGCGCTCGATCTCATCACTATTGTTGTGCCTCCTGCTCTGCCTGCTACGCTCACAATCGGAACCAACTTTGCTCTGAATCGGCTGAAGAAGAAACAAATCTTCTGTATCAGCCCACAGCGAGTTAATGTTGGTGGAAAGATTGACATCATGTGTTTTGACAAGACAGGAACATTGACCGAAGAAGGACTGGATGTTCTTGGTGTTCGTGTTGTTGACCGCGACTCCAACAAGTTCAGTGAGATTGTGACTGAACCCCAGATGTTGCTAGCCGAAGCCACACGACAGAACGCACAGGATACCTACCGCGCTGCACTGCACACTATGGCCACCTGTCACTCTCTACGATCTGTCGATGATGAGCTTGTCGGCGACCCACTGGACCTCAAGATGTTCGAGTTCACTCGCTGGACGTATGAAGAAGGGAAACAGAATGTCTCCGACGAAGACGAAGAGCAAGGTGGTTTGGCACCTTCTGTTGCGCGACCTCCTAACGTAAGGAATCTTTGAAATGCACCCCAAGAAAATAGCTAACAATTTGATAGGGCAACGTCGAGCTTGGCGTACAAAAATCATTTGAATTTGTCTCCCACCTACGACGTGCTAGTGTAATTGTTCGTCCGTTCGGCCAGAAGAGTGGTGATATTTTTGTCAAGGGAGCCCCTGAAGCTATGAAGGAAATTTGCCGCCCCGAAAGCTGTAAGTGTTCTGTAAAAGACTATGCTAGTATCTTTACTGATTGAACCTTTGCAGTCCCCGAGGACTACGATGAGTTGCTCTCTTGGTATACTCACAAGGGTTATCGTGTTATTGGAGTTGCCAGCCGTCATCTTAAGAAGCTCAGCTGGGTCAAAGCCCAAAAGATGACTCGAAATGAAGTCGAAAGTGACCTCGATTTCGTTGGTTTCATCGTTTTTGAGAACAAGCTCAAGCCCACAACTGCAGCGGTATTAGAAGAGCTTCTGGCCTCCAACATTGGCGCAGTTATGGTGACAGGTGACAACATCTTGACAGCCATTAGCGTCGCACGAGAGTGTGGTCTCATGGATCGCGAGGCACATTGTTTTGTGCCACGCTTTATCGAAGGTATGTGGAGACCTATTGCTTATGTGATAGTAAACTGACTCGAAAAAAAGGCGATTTCCGGGATGCTGCAGCTAAGATTGAATGGGAGAGTATCGACAACAACATGTATCATCTCAACGACAAGACCTTGTTGCCTTTGCCACCACCTCCAGAAGCTGATGCTTCGCTGCCTTTCGAAATCACCAACCTCCGTAACTACACCTTGGCTGTCAGTGGTGATGTTTTCCGGTGGATGATTGATTATGCCTCGCCCCAGGCTCTTCAACGGATGCTCATCAACGGAAAAGTCTTTGCTAGAATGTCTCCTGATGAGAAGCACGAGTTGGTTGAGAAGCTGCAGAGCATTGATTACACTTGCGGTTTCTGTGGTGATGGAGCAAACGATTGTGGTGCTCTGAAGGCTGCGGATGTCGGCATCTCTCTGTCTGAAGCAGAAGCTTCTGTGGCAGCCCCTTTCACTTCCCGAGTATTCGACATTCGCTGTGTTTTGGAAGTCATCAAGTAAGTCAAAACGAGTCTAATGCCAAGACTAGTCTAACCATCTATTAGGGAGGGCCGCGCTGCGCTGGTGACAAGTTTCAGTTGCTTCAAGTACATGAGTTTGTACTCGGCAATTCAGTTCACATCAGTCACATTTCTCTATGCCCGCGCATCGAACTTGGGAGATTTCCAGTTCCTTTTCATTGATCTTGCTCTCATTCTTCCCATTGCCATCTTCATGGGCTGGGCAGGACCGGCACCCCGACTCTGCCGCAAGCGTCCCACCGCGGACTTGGTGTCGCGCAAGGTTCTTACGCCTCTTTTGGGATTCATGCTTATCTGCATTGCTTTCCAGACCGTGACTTACATCACTGTTAAGGAGCAGTCCTGGTACATCCCTCCAGTGGTGCACAAGGACGAGCCCAGCATTGAGAACTCGCAAAACACCGCACTCTTCTTATTCTCCTGCTTTGAGTACATCCTGTCCGGTGTTATCTTGAACGCAGGTCGTCCATTCCGTCAACGAACTACGCAGAACTGGCCATTCGCGGCAACTATTTTCATCGCCCTTTTGATCACTGTTTACATGATTTTGACGCCTGCCGAGTGGGTCAAGAATCTCATGCAGTTGACAGGTATGAGCTGGGACTACGAACTGTTCCTAATCGCGTTGGGTGCTGCCTACTTTGTTGTGGCCTGGGCATTTGAGCACTTCCTCGCCCTAAAGCTGGCTCGTCTTATTGGAACCATCCAGCAGTCAGTGACAGGAAAGGGTAAGAAGCGCAAGGAGTACAAGGTGATTGCGGAATCATCACGGATTTAAAATGCGGCAAAGAGTGCCATTGAATGAGGGGAGGGTTTCTTGTTGAACGATTCAATCGAATTGCTAGAATAGAAGGGTCGTTGCCGCCAGGTTGCATCAGATTTTCTATGATGGGTTAAAAGCATAATGAGAATTGGACAATACACCAACGTCTGAAATTGAACTATGAGCCTTTTCCCTTTGCCCGCTGAACTAGACAAGCACTTTAACACTACACTTACCAACACACCCTGATTTGGTCTCGGCATTTAAGATAGTCATAGTCAAGATGACATTAATGTTCAAACAACCATTCATCATGCAATTAGATGACCGATCTCGATGATTTATGTCACGGAGAAGAAAAGTGCAGCAACAATGGCCGCTGATGGGTTATGACCTCTTTCTCGTCCACAGGGCGACACAATACCGCTACAAAGGCTGTTCGATATGCCAGCATTTGTTGATATCCAGAAACACAAAAGTCACAATGGTAATCAAGATTGAAGATTTCGTATCAATTCTAGAGCCTCTTTTGCCCTATATACACCGCATCGAACCCATGTATCCTTTAATGTCGGCAACCGATGCCTCTCATTGTAACTATTGCGTAAAAGAAGTAATCGTTGTTGGAATTCGTTTAGTGGTCCCAAGGGTGCTTGAGGCCGAGGAGGACGGCACCTGGAGCATGTTAGCCATTGTACCTCGAGCAACCGATGCGTTGCGTTTTCGCTTGTATATAACATACCGTCCTTCTTAGCTCGGTACATGAGCTGCATCATAACTCGTTAGCAATTCATCCATATGATCGTCATGAGTTTCGCTTCGATGCTTCAAATCCAAGCTCAGAATCGTATTTGGCGGGGCTGACTCACGAAGAACCACATGCCAGCACCCAGAGCAGTCGCAGTGAATCGGTAGATACGGGGAACGTGAGCCACAGGGGGCTTGGGAGGGCCGTTGAAGCTGTGATGACCGTGACCAGCCATGATGAAGTCGTTGGGAATGTCGCTCGGTTCGGGGGTTCGGACTGCAGATGGAGGTGACGTTAGCTGGGATTGAACATTGGCGAGAGATCGTGATCGGTTGGGAGGCGCGATTGACGTACGTAGAGACCGAATTGAGAGCCGGGAACGAGGCGACGAGAATAGTGATGATACGCAATGGTCAGTCTTGATGGAGTCGTGAACCGAGCCAATTCGGCGACTGACCTGCTTAGGTAATGGTAGCTTGTGATTGGACGAGACCACTACAAAGCTCCAATTGCTTTGGTACATGCATATGCATCTAAAAGTAGTAGTGCTATATGGGAATTGTTCTTGCGTGCATCATCGGTGGGGCTCTCCCGCTGCCGTTAGAGCTGGATCCGGCCCCAGACCAGATCTACTAAGTTAAGATACCACCTGGCATTCATATCCATCAAATAAGAGTTTGGGAACAACCTAGACTAAGCTGACTTTTCTTCTTTTTTATCATATATACTTTGACCTGTCCCTTAAGTGATTCTTCCCTTTTGGAGAAGCTCCTCAAGTTTTGATTCTGCTACCGTGGCCAGTGCTCGATATCCCACGTCGTTATCCCGTGAAACAGCTCTCCACGTCTGCCAAGGAATGTCCTCCTAGAGCTATCTACTCTCCAGAAACATCACGTATCCATTATCATTTGCAAAAACCTACATTTCGGTGAACAGCGACTGCGCGAGCTGCAGTGAACGCACAAGTTCGCCATGGCAACTCCAAAGTTCAGCTCCAAATCACCTACAATCCGGCGTATACGTAAGTGTCCAGCTGCGACAGCGCATACTTTGCGAAATGTCGTTGAGTCTACGATGAGCCTCATAGCTGACCAAGTGTCCAGTTCGCGAAGCAGCCGAGATCTCTAATTCTCCATCCGCCGATTACACGGCCGAGCCTCTTGAGTCCGATCTCTTCGAATGGCATTTCACACTCCGCGGACCTCCCAACTCGGTCTACAGCAACGGCATCTACCATGGCCGTATAGTTCTACCTCCTACATACCCCCTCCGACCGCCTTCATTCCGTTTCATGACACCAAGTGGTCGTTTTGAGGCCAACCGTGAGATTTGCTTGAGTATTAGTGGTCACCATGAGGAGACGTGGCAACCCGCATGGGGAGTTCGCACAGCTCTGGTAGCGTATGTTTCACTTGGGCGATTAAGTGGTATCACATAGGCTAATATGTGTGGACAGACTTCGAAGTTTCATGGAAACAGACGCCCGCGGTCAATTAGGTGGTCTCGAGACGACCGACGCTGTGCGCCAACGACTTGCCAACGAGTCATCGACATTTAAGTGTTCGTCATGCGGAAAGACAAATGGCGAGATAATCCAGGAATGCGAAGAGCGAGCAAAGGAAGCATCATCGAGCGCTCAAGAGGTTGAAGTCCCCAAAGAGCTGAACATGGGATGGCGAGATGAGATGGGAACTAAGAAGGAGGGCGAAAACAAAACCGAAGAGACCAACGATGATGCCGAGACAGCTCAACTTGCAGAAGGGTTTGTTCAGACTGCGCCAGATGTTGGTCCGGGTCCTGCTGACAATGACCCTCCGGCCCCTCAACCGCAATTTGACAACCGGAACCCCACTCCAACCCGAACAATTCCTCTTCCGGCCCCGGCCCCGGCGGTCCAAGCACCGGTCGCCGCGCCGATGGCAGTACAGGCTCAACCTCACCCAGCGCGAAGAGCGTCTGACGATGGTGTTCCTTTGTGGCTCGACCGGGCCATTGTCGTGTTGGTGGTGCTCCTGGTGGCGCTTGTGCTCAAGATCATATTTGCCGTGTAAACACTATGCGTAGCTGCTCGTGAAGCGTTTTTGTTTTTGGCTGAACGGCGTCTGGTGCATTTTGATCAACTTTGGTTCTAGGGAGCAAATTAGATATCCATATGAATTGAGTATCCCATTCTACACATTATTTACTATGTTTACTTTCGTTTGGGAACAAAACTCATGGGTTGTATCCATTATCTTCCCCGTACACCGAGGAGGAACACTGCACATTCGATCCCGTAGAGTTGTGATACTGAGAGTACCTTATATTACTCTAATTATATGCTCCAGCGTAGCCCCTTGAAGATACAGGACGTTCTAAATGTACATAAGCCCTGAGTTACCAAACTGCCTGCGTATACCAAAGCCCCTTTGTCCCATCATTTTCATTTAACGTAGAAACTCGACTAAGTACTCATCTGATTCCCATAGTTATTGTCCTGATTGCAGTTGAAAAGAGTGTTGCCCAGACTCAGTGCCAGGCATCTGCTACCAGGTGTTGGCGACACTGACAGGTGTTACATTGGCCTGCGTAGTGTGGATTCCTGAGCTTTTGAATCGCCTTTTGCAACCACTTTCGACTTCGTAACGGCACGCCCAAGTCTTACCATCGTGATCGGCCTCTATATGCACCTTGAGCTTATAGGGCCTGCCAGGGGCCTGAAAGCAACCGTTGCACGAAGACTCGTGTCTTTCTGTATTGATCCCAAAGTTAGCATTTTGAGATCCTGATCTTAACAATGGAGCCACGGACCTGGTCTGCAGCATCCTCAACAACCGAGAAAAAGTCCTTGATGGGATGATTTGCTGGTTGATGGATGCGGTCTGGTTGCGGTGTTGAGTCGCGTTCCTTGATGAATACATATATATACGAAGCCAGTCTAGAACATCTGGAATGGCTCTTGCTTGCTAAGAATCTACAAGAGCCTGATGATTTCGACCCACAAGACTGCTTCTCGGAGTTAAAGGGTGCAGTTCCCTACCTGGACCAACTCGAAACTGATGGAGGGTGTCTCTGGAGAACTGTATGAGAGGGATACTGTTTTCCCGGGGCTGGGGGCATTTCTTATGGCCTTTGTTGGCTGATGCGATATTCCGTCCGACAACGTCAAGGTCCTGATCATACCAATGCCATACCAGTATCATTGTGTCAGGTGTAATACCTGACTGGACAATGCTGGCGACGAACTCGGATCATTAAGCAAGACTCGGGGATAAAGCACTACCTCCTGGTTCCAGACCAGACACAGGTCTTCATATTGATGTGGTGTCATTGCTTTCCTTGTACCTCTTTATAATAAATAAGTTGGTCAAAGAGTCTCAGGAAGCATCGAGAGGAGGTAATCACATACGCCGATGTCGTTTAGTTTATATAATACTGATGACTTGTACAGTATTAGGGAGCTTTAGTATATATAATAGACAAGATGAGTAGAAGAAAGAAAAGAAAGAAGAGACGAGAAGGGAGATAAGAGAGTATATATACTAGGATCCTATTCTCACGGGGGAGGTGAATTCGCGGCGGATTGATTGATAGTTGCCACTTACTGCCAACATATTATTCTGCCCTTGATTATTTTTTTGATGTTTGAAGTACACGAGAAAATATAGTAAACTGTCCAAATATTTGCTGGTCATGGAGGTCAGGCAAGTGGATGTAGTCCAACATGTGAGTCTAGCATGGCCCTTGATGAACCCAATCCTAGTCGTGTATGCAATCATTTCATAAGTTTACCTAAGTTTCCCTAAGTATTAGGAAATAATTGTATAAGACTTAGGCAATAAACAAAGGCTAAGACAACTAACTGATTAGTATGAACAATCTTGGCCGTTGCTGGCTGTTAGCCATGGCAACACGAGTGAGTTTCCTGTTGAGTCTAATTGTATACAGAACCAAACTTAAACAATTTAGAGGCAAATCCGGTAGCAAATTAGAATCGCAAACATAGTCCAAGACAAACAGCTCGATGTCAGAGCAGCCTTCAAGTTTGTGGAAAGTAAATTATATTATATTTATCTTGAACTTCTGGCAAGATCTCTTCCAGTACTGTGACTCTAGACAGTACCATAATCAGATTAACTCAGGAATACATAGGTAGTTATTACTGCTGACACCGTAGACCCTAATCCATGCTCTGATCGTAATTCCTAGGCTTGAACTGTCGTCCCCATTGCCATGGGACAGCCAACCACCACCACTCTCCTACCATGAGTCCCAGGCCTTCTTCCGAATACTTGAGAACACCTGTTTTCACACCCCAATCCACAATGAGCTTGGCTTCAAACTCCTCCAGTACTGGTTTGAGAGCGGTGCACACGCCCTCGATTGTCAGAAGGCCTCTGGTCGCATACACGAAGCAGAAAGCACCCAAAACATCCATCCAGCGTTCCGCCTCCCGACGTCCAAAAAAGTCGACCCATTGCGGGAGCACACTAATCTTGCTCTTGCCTGCAGTTGGGGGTCCTTCGTAAATGCTCTTGCGGAGGACGTCAATATCCTCGTCGTATTTGTAAGAGCTCGTGGGAACTGCTTCAAGATCATGGGAGAAGAGTGATTTCTTCAGCTTACGCATCTCATACTGGCCCGGCTTGAAGCCCAAGGGGATATGAGGCACGTTTACTGGTACCAATCTGATCCTTTCGCTTGCGTTGAGGTTTGTCAGCGCCATCACCGACCCATCATTGAGTGTGAAAGGGATTCGGTAGGCCTCGCCTCGGCGGAAAACAGCATCCAGCTCTGTCTTGAAATCGGCTGCGTCTTTGTACTTGGTCCTCTGCGCAAGCTTCCCCAGTGCATGGCCAAAGGCTTCATTGAGCCTGAATGGTCTTCCAGAAAGAGGCGGTCGTTTGCTTTTGCAAATGATACGCTGCTGTGTCAAAGTATCGATAGCCTCCTTCAATAATAGGTTGATCTTGTCCTGATCTCCGCCAGCCAGTGTGGAGAACTTTTGTTTGATCTGATCGACTGTGTAGCGACTTTCATCTGTGCAACACAAGGATCGCACCCAGGACCGAGCAATGACACTATCAGTGACACTAACATGCTCATCAGTAGGTCGACTGAGCATCTCGTCGACAGTAACAAATGCTGGCGTAGCGATAGCTTCAAAACGGGCGAAGACAGATGTTTGGGGGTTGTAGAATTTCTCCCGGGGGTCTTCCTCATCATGGGGAGTGGCCTCCTGGAAGGTATAGTCGTTATCCAGAGCATCTCGTGTTGATGCAAGATCGATGCCTCTTCGTCGAGGGAGTTCCAACGTCCAATCAATCAAGCCATACCAATCATAGTCCATGGGGTCCTCAAAATCGAATTCCGGAAGCTCATTCTTAGAGTAGGCGACTATGAACCGATCCTGAAAATCTTTGGTAAGCTTTCTGATGTAAGCAGCTTGATCTCGGCGAGCATCGATCCAAAATCGGCGCATATCCTTGAGAGCAAGATCAGGGAATAGTTTGAGCAAGAGTCCCCAATCGATCGACTTGTCGGCTCCACCCAGCAATACACGCACAGCGACCAACGCAGCGAGAAGGCGCTCTGCTTCCTCACCATGGGCTAAGGGTGTGGGATCGACCTGGCCTTGTGATTGCTCCATATCCTCGGGAAGGGGCATCAGAGCTCGTGTGACAAGGCGCACGCGTTTAATTCTCGGCTGTTGTGCTGTTTGTCGCATAGATGCTCGTGGACGGCCACCAGAACCTCTGGGCCGACCACCACGACCTCGGCGGTTGCCCCTAGAGAGTCTGTATCCTGATCTGGATAAAGACACAGGGAAACTCGGCCATTCGAGGCTATCTTCATCTTCTTCGTCCTCCTCTTCAGAGGGCGAATCCAAAAGCAAAGCAGGGTCCGTAACGTTTGTTGAAAACGACTTCGGTGTGAGCTGACATTCTGAAGGCCAGGAGATAGTGGGAGTCTCAATCGTTTCGCCGCCAGCCTCACTGAAGAACGAAACAAAAATATTGAAAGGGCCTGCAGCTGCCGGTGGTGCATGAATGAAGGAGTCTGACCATGCACGCTCAAGATCGGTGCAGATATATGTTCGCGCAATAAAGGACTGATACGGATCAAGCCCACCATCGTGCTGGAGCTTCTGACGTTTGAGGGAATGAGCTTTGCGGTCGATCATTTCGATCATTGACGACCAAGCGAACCAGTTCCCGTCAGGCATCCATCCCTTCAACGTGTAGCTACCATCTTGCATCTCAAAGTCTTGAGGGCTAATATACGGCCAAATGCCGTCGTAACCAGACACTATAATAGGCTTATCGAAAGTGATTTCACCTGAGAAATGAGTCGAAAGGTCTTGTTGCAAGGCAGTACCAAGACCATGGTTGAAGTAATGCTCCGGTCCCTCGACATCATGTTCATCCAGAAAGGTGTTGGGATCCAAGAACTGAAGGGCTTCAGGGGCACCATTGGAGGGCTCAAAGTGTTCATAACGCATTGATACCCCCATGCTCGATCTTGGAGGACGCCCTTCTCCAAATGTGCTCTTGCGTTTGCGGCCTCGCTTTGGAGGCGGTGGAAAATCGTCACCATACATATCATACTCCTCCTGTGCCCGTTTTTGAGCAGCTCGTGCCACGTATACAGGGGCATCGAGCATCTCAACTTCTTCTGGAAGATCCCGGCGCCCACGCTTAAGGAGATCGCTATCAACTTGAGCATCGAATGGAGGAGGTAGATACGGATCCGGATGAGCATCTTGGATCTTTTGAATTACACTGGCAGCTTCTGGAGAAAAGGGGTCGATTCCAGGTCGGACGACGATGTGACATTTCTCGGTGACACCCTTTTTACTGCGAAACGTGAGCCAATGCTCAGCCACGCCCTTGTTCTTCAATAATTCTCGGAACGCAGCCTGGTAAGTGCGAATTTGAGGCGCTACTTCCGAGTAAGATTCTGCCCATCGCAGAGTGATGGCTGTCCACAAAGACTTGCCGCCAGGAAAGACGCCTTGTTGGTCTTCCAGAATACCCTGGATGATTTGGGAGATGCGGCTGTTCATGGCGGCTTTCGACAACGGAGTGCCAACGGTCGTTGGTGTCTTTGACTTGGTCACAGGGCCAGACCTGCTGGGTGTTCCATTAGTCAAAGACTGCAAGGACGTGGAATGCTCTGGAACAAGAGTTCTGGCTGGCTGTGACCCATTTCTTTCGGATTTAGGGCAAGGTGTCTTTGGAGAACCTCCGGGCAGATTAGACCGATTCAAAGACCCCAGGATTGGTCTTAGTTGGCTATTTTCGCCTTGAACAAGGGCGCTATTAGTTCCGTTCAAGAGCGAAGGCTGTTTCGGCGAGTCGAACATGGCAACTGGGGGTCGATGAAGTTCTGGATTCGCGTGTACCTTGAAACTGACGGTTGGCCGTGAGGACCAAGTTGGGCGAGCAGCGACAGGACCACGCAACGTCGATACACGTTTCGGAGTCGGCATCTCTTCATGTACAGTGCTGGGCTCTGTGTCTTGTTTCTTGTCTGAGTCCTTATCCAGACCATTTGACTGATCGTGTCCCTCCTCATTCGGCATTTCTGAGGTGTCCTCCATCGTAACATCTTGAGCTTCGTCCTGAGCTTCGTCAACAGTGGGGGTTGCGCCAGCCTGTCCTTCTTCAACTTCGGAAGCAGCTCTCTTTCTTCCACGTCGAACTGGTGTTGCAGTAGATGTATCGAAAGATGGATTACATGGTGTCCTAGCTTTGGTGAGATGATACAGTAAGCCATTGTCATTCTTCCATGCTTTGCCACACTTTTCGCACACCCAGGATTTTGAGGGAGTCGCGTTGCTATCGGGCTGTTCTGAGTTTCTCTTCCTTCTTATCTCGCCTTTCTTTGGACGGCCGCGTTTCCTCCCATTCAATAGCGCCGTGTTGGAGCTGTTCTCTGCAGCCTCATCGTTGATATCCTCCTGCTGCTGAGACTCCTCGTCTTCAGCAGCATTATCCACGACCCTCGTTTCGGTTTTCTTAGCGGACGACCTCGTAGGCCTAGTTCGTGTTGGTCGTCCAGGGGTTATCAAAGCTGCCTCCGGTGTTGTTAAGAGTTCTTTGAGAGCATCTGGAGATAATTTGAGAGTCACCACAAGCTGATCAGCCTTCTGTGGCTCAGGGGCTACATCTGTCTGCTCTGTGCCTTCTTTTTCTGGTTGTATAGCTTCAACCTGTTCTTGGATTTCTTGAGAGGGTCTTTCTACTTCTTTGGCAGTCCCTTCCTGTGTGTGTGATGCGGTAGGTTCTTCGGAGACAACGACTTCTTGAGAAACAGCGACTTCCTGAGGTTCACCAACCTCTACAGTAGCCTCAATTTGTGTCAAGTCTTCTGACGCTTCAACTTGACGTTTTCGTCCTGGCTTCTTCTTTGGGGTGGGCGTAGGCTTTTCTTTCTTGGCCTTGGGCTTCTTGGGGCGACCTTTTACTGTGCGGTTTGCCAAACCCATGTTGCAGAGTTCGGCCAGCGTCGGTGAGCCTTCCGATGATGTCGCCGTAGATTGAATCTGTGAGAAGCCATAGCTATCGGCGATAGATGTTGACTGGTCTGTGGTGTCCATGGATGATGCAGGAGGGCTAGGATAGGCATTTGGTGCGAAATATCTGTAAGACGCTACCTTTCCGGATCTTGTGTGCTCGCTATAAATCTGAAAGTGAGCTAAGTGAGGTGGTTGCAGATCTGGTACGGATAGTGCAGTAGTCATGGAAGAAAGGTGTCGACTGTAAGAAGGGCCCAGCGTCAGGGCATAGACATCAGGGTTAGTTAGTCCAGTATCTCCTAACCGCTTTGCCATTTCTGCAATTATGACAGGGACAGGCTTGTCTAGAGACCACGGTGGTGCTTTCGATATCTCAGAAACGTTGGAGGCCTGTCCTATAAGCTGCTTGTTTCCGTCAAGGCCATCGAGGTCAGGGTTCCGAGGGGTTTTGCTCTTCCTCTTGCCTGTCGAGAGATACAGCGACCAATCTTCAGAACTGAGATCCCTGACATATTTCACACAATCCTTGAACACCTTGTCTCCTAGCTTTGCTGCCACATACTGGATAACACCACGCTGATTGAGAAAACGGCATACTTTGGCCAACACCTTCATTTGCCAGCGCATCCCTAACACGCCAAGCTTAGATTTCATGTCTTTCATCTGAAGAACTCCCCACTCTTTGACGATAGCCATGATGGTTGTGGCCAACGCGATGTAGTCAATGGACTCGCCAGTCCATCTGATACGCCAAGGAACGGGCTCGAGATCCTCCACGAGTACTTGTCGGGTCAGGGTCATGTCTGGTCGAGCTTCATCCGCGCCTTCGCCATCCTTGGGCAAAGGAGGAGCGAAAAGTTTCAGCCACATCTTGCTCGTTTTGGTTCCGCGAACAAGGGTTGTTCTCTTGACAATATACCCTTTTTTAAGAAGTGAATCGGTCCTCTTTGGTACGGATCGTTTGTCTTGATCCGTCAGACGACCAAGATCTCCTTGGAGGATTCCTTGGGTGGTAGTCGAGGCTATACCCAAAAGCAACATCCACTCGGACTTGGGAACCCGCTTGTAGTCGACGGCATGGCCAGTGAGAGATTCCCACATAGTGTCCTCAGAGGCGTAAACGCGAACATTGCGAATTGCTGTCGAGTTGTTTGGGTGTGATTCTGAAGTCTCTGCATCTTGTCCAGGGGCACTGCCAGAAGCTGAAAGCGCTAAGACTTCTTCTAAAGAAAGATGATTGTATTCACGATTAACACCAACAGAAATATCTCGTCTTGCAGCAAGCCAGCTCCAAATGGTAGCAGCAGTACGGTCTTTCACAGAAGAGTTGCCTTCGGAGTGTGTTTCAGTATGAGTTGAGGGATGATGGATTGCTTTCAAAACATCTTCCACAAGGCACCCTGCAACCAGTTAGTTAGTAGTTTGTTCTCTTACAACAGGGGCTGATAAGTTGCTTCAATCAAAAACTTGCCTTCTTCGCCATGGCAGGAGATATGCACCAAAAGGCCAGCGATCAAGCCTTCAAGCTCTGACGCCATTTCATCAGCGATATCGTAAGGATCATTTCTAAGTGAATGAGACGCGTTAAAAAAATCTTCACGAAAGTCGTCTGGGGCGAATTGAACCGACGAGCCCCAGCAGAAGTTATGCTAAATGTTATTTTTCTTGTACGAAGCAAATGAAGTGGGGATAGCGGGGGGTGAGCTGAGTGGAGGGTAGAGGGAGGCTTATGCACGTCAAGATGATGACATAATCATGAATTAAATATGTACAAGCTCTTATGCACGATGCCACCCAGAACTTCTTTGCAGTTCAATTGACGAAGTCACTAGTGATTCGCTACTGTGGTAGCCAAGCTCTACGAAATATCATGCAAGGCACTTGAAGCTTATGTTGGGCTTGTTGAAGTAACAGCTGAATGTCTACGAGCCATAAACATTTCACGATGTGACTCATATGTGCAATTCTAAATTTCGAAACCTAAACTCGCTCTTGTTGGGTATTCTTACTGACCTGCCCGCAACAGCTTGGCCTGTTCGTGCTCTCGAATCTTCCTATACGCCTCCAGAACATCCGCTCGAGTCTGCTGCAGCTCCTCCCTTCGCTTCAGACTGCCCGCAGCCTTGGGAATGTCAGCGACGTTGGCGGAAGCGTCTTTGATCTTAATCTGTTTCGACATGTTCTTGTTCAACTCTGGTGGTGCTTGCGCCTGGTCGTGTACGGCGATCTTGGCTTCCGCTCGCTTCTTCTTCAACTCTTCCCAAGGGTCGTCCACCTTGCCACCCTTTCTTCGTGCTCTCTTGCCTGTCGCTTCGTTGAGTGTTGATCGGGCAATCGCTGCAGCACCGGTAGGGTCCTCGTCGAGTTCTTCACCGATAGCTTCGTCTGCCGCTTCCTCCTTTTGCTCTTGAATCTTTCGCTCTTCTTCTCGCCATTGGGCGTAAAGCTTGTGCATATTTCTCTCCTTTCGTGTGCGGTAAACCTTGAATCCCTGCTCGTCTTTTCCGTCCTTGATAACCGTCTTTTTGGTAAGACCTGCGACCGGAAGGGAAGCATCTACTCGCTGGGCAAATGCTCTAAGATCTTCTCCAGGGCGGATCTTGAGCTCTTCTGCTTTTTGTTTCGCGGTTTTTCCGTCATCGCCGTCATCGAGGCCAGATCTGAACTTTTTGCCCTGTGCGACAGCCATAATTCGCCTAAAGGCTCGTGGAGCATCGTTTTCTTTGCGTGCCTTCTTGCTCTTCTTGGCTTTTGTTTCTGTGGGAGCGTCCTTTGCTGCTTTTGTATTCTTTGGTGCGCCGGGCTTGGGTGCCGCATTCTTTTTGCCAACTTGCAGGGGTCGTGCTTTCTGAGAGGGAGGGAGGTTGAATCTATAGAAATAAGTTAGACATGTATGGCGCATTCGAGAGTGTAGCATAACGACTTACTCAGACTCATCGTCGCCTCTCTTTCTCTTGTGTTTGTGAGGCATATTGAAGACTGAAACAATTTGTTTATCCTATCAGTTCGTGAGGTAACAAAGAGTGGCAGATTCGTCAATATGAAATTGATGCGATCGCAACGTCGAAGACAAACTTGAAGATGGAAACTTTGGGGAGTTGCTCCAAAAATTCTCTTATCAGCGCTTATCGCAACGGCAAGGGCCCCGCAATGCTTCGAAGTTACTCGCCCAGGCGGGTACATCCACTACACTACATGCGCTACGGTTGCTGAAGTCACTGCTTGGTGAAGTACTTAGGCCAGATGACGTTCAGTTGCTTGTAAGATCAACTCTTTAGAGATATCATCTTCACATGGCAATATGTTCACAAAATAAAAACTTATGTAAGGCTCTACACTTTTCATCTCCTAGAGTACGAGCGTTGAGATCTCATTCTATATACGACGATCCTTTTCAATACCTACAACGAAATGTCTTATCAGAATCGATGATTGACGAGAATGTGGGTCCCATCTTCTATTAATGGCGTGCCAGAACAGCTTCCCTCTTGTTATTTTCCATCTACAGGTTATCAAACAAAACACGAAACCAGATCACAATGTTTATTGAGACTAAACACAAGTGAAAATCAATTTCTGTTTATGAGCCATCATCAGAACCCGGATTATGTCTTCTCCAAAGACCAAACCTCTTGATGGGGCCGGCAAAGGGACTAAGACGAACCCCTATGTGTTTGCCTTTGGTATAGTAGGAGCGGCTATAACGTAAGTTAACTCCTTTCTTGCAGAACATGTTCTAACCAGCTACAGTTCTATGTTTCTCATGTTTGCTATCATTATCTCTGGCACGTCCTTCATTTGGCCTTACGTGTCTGATGTACACTCCAACAGTCCTCAAGCCAGATCTGGTCCAGGGCTCAACTCTATACTGCCTGCACCATGTCACTCACATAATGACTACTGGAGACTGGCCCCATTTCACTCAGCCATAGATGCTGGTTGTATCGGCATAGAAGCAGATGTCTGGGCTGTCCAAGATGAGCTCTATGTCGGCCATGATCTGGGCGGTCTATCGACGGACAGAACTTTGTCATCGATGTATATCCGACCGCTAATGGAGTTACTGCAGTCTCAAAACTTAGACATGGATCCGAGTCTTCCGCCTCGAGGTGTGTATGGTCGCAAACCAGACCAGACGGTGGTGTTGCTGGTGGACCTGAAGTCAAATCCCAACACATCATGGCCATTGTTGCTCGAGAGACTGGAGCCGCTTCGCCAAAAGGGTTGGTTAAGTCATGTTCACGATGGAAAGTTCGTCTCCGGGCCCATTACAGTGGTGGGAACAGGCGAGACTGAGCTGCACCTGGTGAATGAGGCTACCCCTTCACGAGACGTCTTCTTGGATGCGCCACTTGACCAATTGGAGGACGGTCGATACACAGACTTGAACTCGTATTACACAAGTGTCTCATTTGAGAAGTCGATTGGAAAGGTCGGTTCAAAAGGCCTCAAGCCCGAGCAACTGGCAAAATTGCGGAACCAAATCTCTCAGGCTCATAGTCGAGGACTCAAAGCGCGATATTGGGGTTTGCCATATTGGCCGCTCCAGGTGCGGAATCAGCTCAGAGAGTTATTGATTGATGAGGGCGCAGATGTCTTGAGTTCAGACGATCTATGGGAGGCAAGGGACATTTTTGCTAAAAGAGGATATATGATTGAGTAGAATTATGCAGCTGTTGAATGAACACCAGTCGATCTAGTCAAGCGGCTACGTTGAGATATCACAACACAAGTATCCATTGTTATCTCAGAAGACCACAAGATATACATATAAAATAAGCGATTTCCGAGTCTCCGGTGTATCACCGAATATAATATTGATTTCATCCACCTAGTCTTAGTGTGACTGCAACCCATTGACACGTCATGGAGCTCATAACCCCGCAAGCTGATAACGGAATGGGAAGCATCTCCCTCATGACTTGATAGGCAACCTCCATGGTTGCAGTTGAGCTCTTTCTTTTCTTGCAACACTCAACCAACATATAACATTCTCATATACAGTTAGTTACAATGGCAAACGAGGGACGCATCGCTACTTTGGATGTAAGATTGCTCTACCATACTATACTTACATAGCGGCATCATACTCACTTCTTTCAGTCAACCATCGCAGATAGGCTTCCTGCCTTCTCAAAGACACTCTTTGACGGCAAGGCCGCCAAGGATCTAAGCTTTGAGGCAATTGCAAAGCGCCTGGGTCGTAGCGAAGTTGCTGTGGCAGCATTGTTCTACGGACAGGCCACCGCCTCATCTGAAGATGTTGAGAAGCTCTCTGAGATCCTTGACCTCCCCAAGGAAGCGTTGGCTGCCCAACTAACAGGCTTTCCCAACCGTGGGCAGGCCGGACCCATGCCTCCTACTGAGCCTCTCATCTACCGCTTGTACGAGATTGTTCAGAATTACGGATATGCTTACAAGGCAATCCTCAATGAGAAGTTTGGAGATGGTATCATGAGTGCCATTTGCTTCTCAACCACGGTGGAAAAGGAGGTGGACGAGGCAGGCTCACCATGGGTTGTTATCACATTGAAGGGCAAATGGTAAGTCATTTGCTAACCCTGGTACTCGACTCTTACTAACCGACCTATCCAGGCTTCCTTTCAGTCGTTTTTAGACATTGTCCTTTTGCAAGAATAGGTTAATTGCTGAGTTATGACCATGCTGCATGCTGTCTCATTTGCCTGAATGATCACTCAACGTCCTTTGAATGACCAAGAATTGAAACTGGATCAGCACCGGGTTCTCGTAAGCCTCGTCCGATAATAGCATATAGTTCGAATAAATCGACAGGGCATGTTGTGGCAATGCGTTGGAAGACAATATGAAGCGAGGGAACAATACTAAGTAATTCACAAAGAAATATCAATATTCAATCCGTGCGCTTCGATACCGATGTACCACCACATGACAGCATGACTCGGTATTTTCGGAACAACGAGAGTTTCCAACGGCTATCTCACATGGAAAAGAAGACATGGTACACAATCTAGAAGGTTTGTAACAAGTTGGTGGCTGCACTAGCGGCGGGTATTCTTTTGTCTGACAGCAACACCATCTCGAGAACAATATTAAGCGGTTTTGCACGGATCACTGGCTTCACAGCCAACACCGCAACTCAATTCAATTCAATTCACTAAGAGATACGTATCATTTCGGTCAGAATTGAGAGCATTTTGATACCGTCAAGTCGTTCTCATTCAAGTATAAAGATCATGGCATCTTCCTCCCAAATCTCAATCTCATCACACACAACAATCACTCACTTCACACACACAACACTCTTTTCACCATTCTCAACACAGAATACTCTCCGACTTTTCTAAGTCTTTCAACCCCAACTTTCAAAATGCCTTCCACCAACAACACCTCTTCTCAGAAGCCCGGTTACCCTCTGGGCTGCAACGTTATGAAGCAGCCTGAACAGAAGCCCGGCTACCCTCTCGGCTGCATTGTCATGTAAAGCAGCTTCGCATTTCCCAACCACTTCTGGACTATCTTTTCGAAAGCAATTTGACAACTAAAAACGCGAAACCAACTAACGACAACGCAATGGCGAAGTGTTCGCTTTCAAACGACAAATTGGAGGAAGATGGAGATGATATGGCAAGGAGAGGATTCAATGGCTTGTTTACTTTTGCTTTTACCTGGCTCTAAGTGACGGGACGCCGACATGAGGAAGCTAATTTTTACGCTGGCTGTTCACTCACATCGCAGCTGAGATGAGAGAAGGACGCCTATTAGGAGATGAGGGGACGATTTTATAACTTCTTAAATATAACAGGCCTTTGGATTGAACAAGACTGAGCTCTGGACTGTGACATGAACTATAAGCCATCATCTAAATTAGTGACCATGATGCAAACGGTATCAGATTCCACAATTTTGATTCAACACTGAGATTCCTCTAGTAGTGACAGAGTCGACGTAGTTCAAAGCAAATGCAATTGCTGTCATGTTATGAACCGATCAACAACTTACACCAAGTCAACGGTTCCTGCTGATAACCCGATTTGGCAATTCTCTTGAATGGTAAAAGTGGATCCTGCAGAGGCGCGAAAAAAAGAAGCTCCACTAAAAAAAAGCTAAGGCGGTGAAGTTGGTCCCGCGGCAGAATTTGGAGATTTTTCCTATTAGCACCAGTAACATTTGCTAGCAGCTTGCGCCGACAAAAGATCATTCCAAAGTCGCATCAACAAAAACAGCCGCAAAAATGGTCACGAAAAGCAAGCTAAAGATGGCCCTCGCCGCCGAAAAGGGCACAGATTTTAAGAAGCTCAAGCTCTTGAAGAAACAGAAGGAGGCTGAGAAGCGCAACGCCGCCGCTCGTGGGGCTTCCGACAAGGACTCAGACGAAGAGAAGGAGAAGAAGACAATTCAGATTGAGGCTGATTTTGAGGATGAAGACGATGAAGATGACGAGGAGGAGGATGATGAGGAAGAGGAAGAGGCTCAGGTTTGTCTTTACTTACAATATGCATTCTTGACTTGCACTAACGAAACTCACAGTACGACCTGAACGGCATTAACGATAGCGACGACTCAGACTCCTCAATCGAGCTTGAAGAGAAGATCATTCGCAAGCCAAAGAGGGATACCCTCAAGAAGAGTGAGATCGCACAGTTGGCGGCTGAGAAGGCCGCCAAAGCGGCAGCTGAAGAGGACGATGATGAGGAGGAAGATCCTGAAGCCGATGATATCCCCATGAGCGACCTTGAAGATCTCGACGACGAGGATAAGGAAGATATCATTCCTCACCAGCGACTTACCATTAACAACACAACCGCCCTTCTCGCCGCCTTGAACCGCATTTCTGTTCCCACAGACAAGACTGTTCCCTTCGCGACACACCAGTCCCTCGTCGCCAGCAACGCCACATCCGAATCCATCCCCGACGTCCAGGACGATCTCCAGCGCGAGCTTGCCTTTTACACCCAGAGTCTTGAGGCCACTCGCACGGCCCGCAAGCTCCTCCGTCAGGAGGGCGTTCCCTTCTCTCGTCCCAAGGACTACTTCGCCGAGATGATCAAGGAGGATGCCCACATGGAGAAGGTCAAGGCCAAGCTCGTCGAGGAGGCATCCAACAAGAAGGCTGCCCAGGAGGCCCGCAAGCTGCGCGACCTCAAGAAGTTCGGAAAGCAGGTCCAAGTCGCCAAGCTCCAAGAGCGACACAAGGAGAAGCGCGAGACCCTCGACAAGATCAAGAACCTCAAGCGAAGTAAGTACTCTACCACTCGTACAGTATCTCACCTTTTACTAACCATGATTTCCAGAGCGCTCAGAAACCGGTGGTGCTGGTCTCGACACCAAGGAAGCCGACATCTTCGACGTCGGTGTCGAGAAGGAAATGAAGGGCCACAACCCTCGCTCAGGCGCTGGTCGCGGTGCCGGAGCTGGCGGCAACCACAAGCGAGCCAAGAAGAACGAGAAGTACGGCTTCGGTGGCAAGAAGCGCCACGCCAAGTCAGGCGATGCCATGAGCTCTGGCGATCTCAGCGGCTTCGACCCCAAGAAGATGAAGGCCGGTGGCAGAGTAGCCAAGTCGCGGCCTGGCAAGGCGAGAAGGAAGACCATGGGCTCTCGGTAGAGGAGGGGACTAGACCGGTGTTAATACTTGTTGACGAGCTTGGCGTGTGTGATGCATTGCTGTTGAAAGAAAAGGCTACAGATGAAGTACAAGGGCTGGCGTTTCGGGTCCTCTTGCTTGTAAATCGAAACAATTTGGTCAATATTTATATTTTTTGTCACCAAAGTACCACCTTTCTTTATAGAATTGTACGATTTGAATTTTTCTGACGTTTTGCCAAGAGAAGCGATACTGTAGCGGCATAAAGGTCATATATCTCAAGACTGTCAGTTGTCTTCACATCTACAGTTTAAGGGGCTTTTTTGTTGATTTATAATTTTTGGTCATTTCGTCTATACCCAAGGGGACTATGTAGCAGATTGTGATCACGACTGCATATGAATTCTTGCAGTCCTGAGATCTCTTGCGATGATGCCCTTTTGGAGGCCCAGTCACCGAGCAAGAGGCCGCAATCCAACGTTGTTGAAACTGCACATCAGTATCCACTGATCCAATTTTTGCAGTCGACTGTGCTCAATTTGTCTGTCGCGAATCGTTTTCGCTGCTCTCCATCATTGTTCTCCGTCATCAGTCATATCCAGATATCCGTGCTCCTAAGGTAGCGACATCCGAGAGCCTCCAGCAGTAGGAAGTATCTATATACATGAACGAGCATTGTTGTCGTCTGCTATATGCCCGCTCCTTGTTTGAAACGCTCGCACTCAGAGGTGTATCTGAGCGATTGCCAGCGACAATAAGAAATAATTAGAAAAGAAAACCTGCGCAAGGTTGTGAAAAGTGCGATAAAGATAATAAGAAACATTGAAAGTGCAATCACATGCAATATGCACCCAAAAGTCAGCGACCGTTAATGCCCATCCCCAAGACGCCCATGAAAAGAGAAAGCAAAACCAGTGGTATCGAGAAGAAACGCCATGCGCTCATGACACGCTTTGCTATGCAATGCATTCGCAACCCTTAAAGAAGAATGTGTATGAATCAAGCATTGATGCAGCAGAATGCGCCGAGAAGATGCTGTTATGAATTGGTTGTCGTGAAAATCATTGTGCCGAGCGGCCAGCTTACTGGGTGGCCGCTACGCACCAGTGGCGGTGGAATGCCCATGCACTCTTCTGACACTCCTTACTGCAGTATTTGGTGCGTCGGCAGCGGCGGCATTTTGCAAACTGACGGGTGTACTCCTCCCATTTACCGCACTGATAGTAAGCGCACTGGCGGATGCCGCCACGAGTATCATCTTTGCGGCAGAGGTTTCTCATGACAACACCAGCCCAGTACTGCATGTCAGTACTGTGGTAGCGCACTGTGAACTTCTCAACGAGAGGGAAGAGGTTGAAGTCATTGGAAAGCAGATACTCTTCGTCATCAGCATCTTCATCGTAGACCTCAGGAACGTCCTCGTCCTCGTCCATGGCGGTGATGTCCTTGTCAATAGCAGCAAGCTCCTTGCCGATCTTGAGACGCGGGACAAGGTGGCTCTTTTGGAAATAGGAGCGAAGACCACAGTACTTGGAGACGTATGCAAGAAGCTGCAGAGACATAAGCACATCTTCCTCCCGAGGCATAGCGGCAACCATCTGGGGGTTGGGAACGAAGTTGCGGTCGAGGAGATATCGAGGGACGGTGGTCGCAGCCAGGGGAGGCTGTGGGGGTGTGGTCATGGCAGGGCGGTTAGGTGAGAGTCCAATCGCAGGCACTGGTGTCGGAGCATTGTTGTTAACAATGCTTCCATCCATGGGACTACGGTGGTTGATGTTGAAGGTGCTGGCTTCCTGATGGGTCTCGGAGACTGTTGGCGTAGCCAAGTCAAGGGCTGTGCCACCAAGCATGGTATCACCATCCTCCATGGTGATATCCTGAATACCAACGGCTGATTGCAGGTTATCGGTACCTGTCATCTCTGTCTCAGGGGACTCATCTGAAGGCATGCTATCACCGTTAATGTCATCAGCATCGGCAGTCGAGTTCTGGTGGCGGATCGATGGGCGTCGGCGAGATCGACCTGATGGGCCAAGGGCGGATGCTGGGCGAACGGTGGGCGAGCGCATCTGAGGAGGTGGCAAAGGTGTTGTTGGCGATGTCGGCTGGGAAGCGTGGTCTGTAGAGCCAAATGGGGCCATGGAAGCAAGACGGTCGATATCACGAACGGGTCTCACGAAACCCTCGACAGTTTCTGTGACTGGGACTGCGGTTGCAAGGGGCTGCATGGTCTGACGAGGGGCCGAAGTCGTGGCGTGACGGCCTTCAAGGCCTCTCAGGGGCTGATGGCGAGCTGAACCCCAAGATGTAGAACGTTCTGAAGCAGATTGAGGCCACTGAGAACCACTCATAGCAGTATCTAAAGATTGCTGCTGCTGAGGGTGAGTTTGGGGAGCGGCAGTGGATGGTCCTGCGTAAGAGGCTGAAACATCGATGGAAGGCGGCGGACCGTGACGACGAGATCGCTGTTCGGTGGATTCGACACGAGAACCAGAACGGGGGCCGAAGGGCGAAGCGCCTGCTGTTGCTGATGATGAAGATGATGCTGAAGCGGAGGCTGATGCTGAATTGGACGAGGAAGCCTTAGGGGTCGAGCGGTGCTCGTGGCCTCGGTGACGATGGTGATCGTAGTTCTGCTTCTGTTTCGCTTCTTCGGCCTTCTCGCGGCATTTGTCGACAGCCTTGGTGTAGTTATCGAGGATGGTAGCGATGACAGGGACCATGTCGGCTTCAACGACACGGGTGCGGACGTTCTCCGTGCCTCGAACACCAATATTGACAACGCACTGGAAAGCAAGATTCCATTTCCACATTCCCATCATGTCCTTACTACGGCCTTGCTTGAGAATGCAGACGAGACGCTCGATACCTCCATCGACGGTGAGGATGTCGCGGATGCGAGCAGAGGATGTGGTGAGATAGGCGAGATGGTTGAGCGAGTTGATGAGGGGGAGGGTCGAAGTGCAATCGAGAGCACGGCGGTCATACAAGGCGGTAGTAATACCAACGGACGCCTTGTTGACGTTGGGGATACTAAAGTTGACTTCCCTCATGATTGTGGTTGATGGCGATGGCCAACAGTCGAAGGGGAGGTTTTCGGAGTATGGTATGGGAGGGATTATTCAGGGTCCCAAATTGTCGAGGAGGTGTGGCGACCTGAAGCCTGATTACAGAGAGTCTGGCCAGATTCGTAACGTGGAGAAGACAACACGAGAAAATGCGAGGTCGAACGACGATGAGGACAAACCCCTCGATGGGGGACTGGCCAAGGAGAGGCGAGTCGGGCAGAGTTTTGAGGTTATCGTAACGGTTCGTGACGCGGTGGAGCGGATTGACGCAGGATTACTCGTGAGTACCTTTAAACAGGGGAACGATTTCCAGCGACCAAAGGTAAGATTTCGAAGGTATGCGGATAGGGAGTTTTTGCAGCAACAGTGATCAAGAAGAAAAAAGGAAGATGAAAAGGAGGATATGCTGAAGATGGCGTTGGAGCGGCTGGAGGTGTTTGGTCTGAGTTGATGAATGAGATGGGATGGGATGGGAGAAGGACGGGAGAAAAGACGGGAGTGGAGTGGAGAGAGCTGAGTGAGAGTGAATGAGAGAGTGAGAGGCTGGGCTGGTTTGGTTTTAGGCGGGTTTGGGATACCCAGGCATTCGGCCGATGGCAGCCCAGCAGTGGACAGTACAGAAGGGGAGACCGAATTAGGCGGGCGTACCAGGGGCAGATGTTCTCTTTGGCGGGTTTTTGGGGCCTAGAAGTGGAAGAAATGGGGGAGGGAGGTCTGTGTCCACGTCCCGAATGGATGCGTGAGGTGTGTGGCGGTGGAGGGACCCGACACCTGATGAGCTGCAGCAAGAGCTTGACTGTATTTGTATTGTATGAATTGTGGTGATGGTATTGAGACAAGATGATGTCGAGATGATATAGTTTCGTTTTGTCTTGTCTTGTTTACAGTGTAAACCTTCAATTTAATAAGTAATCAGAGCTTGATAGAAATGGATAGGTAGAGTTATGATTGTACGAAGAGACTCGAATATGGCTTGGAGCCTGGAGAGGAAATAGGCACCTATACAAATGGCGACTACAAGGGAAAATTGGATATTCAGTACCTGAGGTGCCCTCCATCAACTGTACTGTTACAGCGCATGGACAGCTAGTGCTCTCACTAGTCCCTCGATGAATGAATCCAATTGAATATACACACACAAACACAGTACAGTAGATAAAATGCTCTCGTCCAGTCAGCAATTGATGCCCTGGTCGAAATTATTTTTCCGTTCTCGCATGTACTGAGTTATTATTACTCGCCTCCTCCAGCTGCAGGAGGATGGATAGTGGATCGCCTGCGAAATTATATGAATGGTCTGAATCGATGGCAAAAAATACCACTGTTGAATGAAACTCGGTGATGGCGAGACTACAACAAAGCCAAGCTGATGTGTGAGCTTCTGCCTGACTAAGGTGACTCAAGCTCAAGCAAGCTGAAGAAGCTCGTACACTCAAGAGGCCCAATACCTAGCACCTTGTTGACAGCTGAAATGAAAATAATATGCAGTGCCTTGGATCTTGGTAATATTAAAGCAGGCTGGCATCGCCATTTGGTGAGGTTGGGACAGGAGCTTTGATTTTGATTACATACGGCCACTGGTGGAATTGTTTCAGGCGTAGCTGGAGACGACAGGGGGCACGCTCTCCCTTGCGCGCCATTCGCATTTATTGCTCAGTCATGTCTGTTACTACTTACGTATGTCAAATACATACTGCAAGATCGTTATCATATTATTCGGATCCGAATCCCGGGAATGCTCTAGAGCATGGTCCTTTGTTGAGGGGGTTCATGGGAGAGCTTTGATCCAGAGTCAGACCAAAACAAAGGATTGACGGCATAGCTTTGGCCGACGCCAAGCCTTGATAATGACTGACATGAGGATCGTAGCTTTGATAGCTTAGTAGACAGCATGATAGATACCACGACGCATGAATAACCTTGACGGACACCTGTGTGGACAAAATGTCAAGCACAATCCTTCCAGACCGACAGTAATAATAAAATATTTTACTACTCTTTTCGAGACAAGCCAAGCTTGTCAAAGTAGTCAAGTAGCTCTTGCATGACCATTTCTGATGCAGCGGGTGGCTTGCTTTGTATGCGGGTGAAACACACAACGTTGTACCGTAACATTGTGAAGTGAATAATGAATGAAATGGAGCCAGACAATCTCCGCATTAACTTCTGAGTCAACACTTACTGATACTGTAGATGTCAAACTGTAGCTGCAACTGGAACTGCGATTGTAGTTAGTCTAGAGAGAATTCCGAGTCATCTCGTTATGCAAAACCCATCACGAGACCGCTCTCTCAATGTCATGTCCATGATCATTTGCATGTCCACGAGATGAGCTTGTGTCGGGCCGCCAGCCAAGGAAGCTAATTACCTTGAAAGCGGTTGCGCTTGGGGCATCTTGGTTCGACTTTGAACCCCCACGTACCGGATTTGCATCGATTTGTTAGTAATTGGGGGGCATTCAAATCGCCATTGGCGGCTATTGTACGAGTATTCTTGTGAATATTCAGAGTTGCGGTCTGCTTTGAGAAGAAAGTGCGTAAATCATGAGACTCTCACAGATATTTTTCAATGCACGGTGAGGGACTTTTTCGAGATTCGCAGTACAGTATCTGTCATGGAACAATCAGGCTGCCAGGAGCATGCATAAGGATGATACTCGGTCAAGAGCCATATTGTCGGGGGCGGCGAATTCTCGACTTCCCCAGGCAAGACGTATTTGGGTGATATACTGTCGATCTTTCCATGCAAATCAACGGTTTTGTCGCTCAAACTGAATAAGGCAATGATTGATGGTCTTGTCGGGAAATTTTCACCTCAAATCTCATCACAGATCGCAAGTACATGCCCTACCCTGGACTCTTCGACTCTTGACTCCCGAGCCATCAAAAAGATTCAACTCAAAAGACACAGATGTGTGCTTCACTTGCCTGATTGTGACATCGAATGCTAGTTTCTTAATATTTCTTAATAAATGAAGTAGCCTAAGTGCTGGTCTAAGTTAGGATAATGTGAACATATCATTTCGTCTCTTATGTTATTGGTGGCCAATTCTTCTAAGACACTAAGGCCTCTCCTATAATCGTGGATGGCAAAATCCATTGCTGAAATACAGTGTCGCTTGTTCCTGCAAAAACTGAACTCTGTTGAGTTTACTTTGTCGAGCCTCCTCGTCATTCCCGCGTTAGAGGCTTGTAAAGGCCCCGCAGAGACTGCCACGATCCCATGTCCCAATATTTTGGTCAGGATCAACACCATAATGATTGGCTGCCCTGGCGTATCTTGCCGCTGCATCGGCGCTTAGCTTTTGCAAGCACCAACGAGATATTCTTCGACAGCGAATTGGAAGTGAACAGCAGCCAACTGATTCAGAGGACGTAGCTGAATCAAGACATGAATGCAATACAGATATCAGAATTCACGCGGCAGCATTAAAAAAAACTGATTGATAAATCGTCATTAATAATCATTAATAGCATCGAGTTTAATCAGTGTCAGAACTCAATCCAAGCTCGGATCAAAGCCAGAAATATCCAACCAACGCATTGCATACAGCCCAGCAATTAGTTAGTCGCCGCTAATTTTAGCATGCCGGAAGTACTTCATCCCAACCCAAGCTACAACAACCCATACCCACGCCATAACACCCGTGAGAATGATCAACGCAGGGTAGTATCCCACAATTGGTAGAGTGTCGTCGTCTTCGAACTCGGGGGGCGCATATGGGGTCTTGCCCACGTCCCATGCCCAGCTCCAGAGGTCAAGACAAGATCCCATTCCAACAACAAACACAAACCACGTTACGCACAGGACAACCCATCCCCACCATTCTGTATCTGTATAATCCCAATCATCATGTGTCGGCAACGTGTTGGACGATAGGCCACTGAACGACAATGGAGACTTTGCCCTGCTTGTGAGCCGTCTGCGCTGTGATGATGTCGATTTTACACTATTAAAGTAAGAGTCTGGCCCTGGTGACATGGACAAGCTCTGCCGAATTGTCGACGAACTCCCAGGTATCTGGAGTAAATCCTCCTCGTCTGTAGATGTATAGGAAGCTCCGTCTTGGTCTGCAAGTGCCGTTGAACGAGCTGTGGTCTGGGAAGACGTCCCTTTTTGAGGAAGTACGGGGGCCGTGCCGAGTCCTCCAGGTAGAGGCGTAAATCCATCGAGCTGCGTGCGCTGGGCGCCTCTTGGAGCATTATTCAAATCCAGAGACTCTATCGGCGACGGGCTTTGAGTCTGCGTAGCTGTAGGGTCGAGTCCATACGCAGCAGCATGTGAAGTGTCAATGACAAGCGGCCGACTCTCCCTGCGCTCACGTTGCGCTCCTCGACCAAGCAGGGCAGCTTTCCTAAGAGATCCCCGGCGTCTTCGCGTTCGTTGATACTGTATCACACTCGCAGATGGTCGGGCAGCGGGACGAGGGGTAGTCGCAGGGGCATTGTCGTCGATTGCGCTTTCGTTTTGCTCACGTCGCTTTTCCGGGGATGTTCTTAAAAAGGGGAACTTGGAAAGGATGCTTGAGTTCGATGAGTTTCTTCGATGAGATGGGGATGGTGTAGGTGAGGTATCCCGCTTGTTTTGTAGAGTGCTCTCCATCGCGAGACTGTAAGTGGGATCGCCAAGCAAAGTGGTTGCTTAGATTCGCTTTTGTAAGGGTCGAGAGAAGGATGAGGAGTTGGGTTTGGCATTCGGTAATTAAGCAGGATTATCCACGGTCACAACTATGTGCCGCGAATTGGTATTATTGTCGTACAAAGAATAGCTGCATGGCTTCCGTAGCCTTCATATGGTTCGATTATCGCGAAAGTAGAAATTATATGAACAATTGAAGCCAGGTAGAGAAGACATGAAGCTAATGACGATATCGCTGTGGCTTGCGTCTCTACTAGCCACCTGACGATAAAGGGACCTGCTGGACCGCTAGACACAGACATGGATGCTGTGGCGTACACTTGTGTAGCCCCTGCATCCTCCGGAGGTACCCCTGAAAAGCCCCCCCATCGGTCGGTCCGCCTCCACAACCTAATGGCTATCAGATCGCGACGTCAACGCATTCCATCTTGTCTTCTTCGTTTCTTCAAGGCTTGCGCTATTGACGAAAACAGCCTGCGCCCAAAACCTTGAACCTTCATGACAGAGTTCTCGGGTCTCTAAAACGGGGTTCCTGGAATCAATCGATCGGGTTGTCGACCTAACCGAATAAAGAGGCGCGTTATCCGAAAGCAGCAGCACATGTCGGACTATCCAGGTGCTCGTTCTTCTCAAAACCTCCGCCCGCCAAGTCTGGTTTTCCACGCCGACAGCGACGACGATTTTGACATCGTGAACCGCGAAGCGTTTACAGACGGTGGTGTTGATCACGACAACGAATCTACCGCTGTTAACCGCCAACTCAATCGTGACGCTGTCGCTCAGAATTCAGCTGCTGCGAATCTACTGATACCCACTACGACAACCACATCTTCCTCCTCTCTTTCACTCCCGACGATGAACGCCGAAGACGAGGCAGGGGACTCTCCTGCGTCCCCTGGGTTCAAGAACCCTTTCAACTTCCAGACACAAGTGATATCTGCAGGCCCCGTCAAGTCGGTATGTAGTCTTTCTGTCCATATCCTCGTCACTACGCTAATACATTCCTTTACAGAACATCGGGCAACGTCGCGGACACAGATACAAGCACAGTAGTATCTCCTCCCAACATCAGATCTTCAAAGAGCCGCCTCAGAGACCTCCACCCGTCCTGCCTGCTTCTCTCCCTATCCCGACCGTTCGCGAGGCATGGAAGAGCATGACAAAGGATCAGCGTATTCACTGTTATTGGAGTATGTGCCATCTTGCTGTCGCTACATTTATCTTCTTCCGCTCAGAAGGATCTCTTGCCACTACCGCTCTCTCGCATCTTGTCTTCTTCGATGCTGGTAGTGCTGCTGTCTGTGTCATGGTAGATGTTTTGGGCAATTTTGAGGTTTGGCGGCGCAGCAGTATTCGGCACCCGTTTGGTCTCGAGAGAGCAGAAGTTCTTGCTGGATTTGCCATGTCAGTTTTCCTCCTCTTTGGAGGGTTTGATCTGGTGTCACATACTCTGAAGCATTTCCTCGAGTCTCTCGGTAGCCACGAGGCTCATCATGAACATGGGCATGAAGGCCCAGACGGCTCCATTGACCTTGTGTCTGCCGCTGCTATGGTGAGCACTCTCGTTTCGGCATATGGTCTTCGAAACCATGCTCGCATTGCCAAACTTATGCGTGTTTCGTACCTCGCTGCTCTGCCAAGTGTGCTGTCGAATCCCTTCCACTTCCTCACACTCTCCTTCTCCGCTGTCATTGCTCTTCTTCCACTCCTCTCCATTTCTCTTTACACATGGCTAGATCGCCTTATTTGTGTCGTAATCGCATTTGCCATGTTCGCCCTTGGAATGCGATTAGCCGTAGCGCAAGGTCTTATGCTACTCATGTCTTATGGGGGCAATGGGGGCAACAATGGTGTCAGTGCTGTCCTTCGAGAGATTGAGACTGAGCCAAGCGTCGTTGCTATCGATGACGCCCAGTTCTGGCAAGTTCATTATGGTCTTTGTATGGCTAACCTCAAGTTGAGTGTGGTCAAGGGCTATGATGAAATGTCTATCAGTAAGCTGCGGCAGCGCATCGCTGGCTTGATTCAGAATAGACTGGGCGAAGGGTACGGCCATGGCGGCAGTATTCGATGGGAGGTGACGTTACAAATGAGTACAGATGGCAGCACTTGAGAGGAGACAGCCTTGTTTCGGATTAAGCCTATTAAAAGTCTACATGGTTATATATCATTCTGTTTATAAACATGCATATACCGTACAAATACTACTGTAATACCCCACCGGCTTGATCGTGCAGAGTGTAGCTTGCCTTCTCTGAGCAAGGAAGCTAGAATATTTTAGCTCTAGAATTTGGATAGAAACAGCACTGCAGAGCAGATACTAGTGATAGCTTGCCTCAAAATGAAGCAACCGCTCGGGCTGTTCGCGTCAACAGTCGAGAAATGGGATCCTAAGAAAATTTGACTTCTTCAGCACAATAACGGACGAAATAATCCAGTTTATCTTAGGCCAATTTAATAAGTTTAGGCCAATTTAGGCCGACTCTTATGCTATTCATCTTCAAGCTTAGACTAAACTTCTAAAGTTCGTCTTTACAAGAGAGCGGTGATATTCTAATCAACAACCAAGTAACCATCAACTCCTACAACTCCCGTGTCATTTCTCATTAGAAGAGGCCCCAGCGACCCTGCTTGTGGTCCTTTCTAGCGCTAGATTTCGTTTGCTGGCGTTCGCGACCATCAAGTTCTCTTAAGCTCTCCATTTTGTCGAGGACTAGCTGAAGCAGTTCCTTTCGGCGAATAACCTCTAAATGCCGACGAATCTTGGGATCTTCCTTGGCAAATTTCTCGATATCCTCTTCGGATAGATGGCGACCAAGACGGGAATCTAGCTGTCGAGGGAAGCTATAGTAGAATTCGGAAAGCAACTCTACATTAAGGAAGAGAACGGCAGTAGACGCCAACTTTGTGGCAGCAGCATCGAGGAAAACCTCGGGGCAGTAATACTTGTTCTTAGGGTCGGCACATTGCTTCGACTTGACAGCAAGCAGACGCATCTTAATGATATCGGCCCTATCGCGCAGGAAAACAGCCTCACGCCCTGTATTATAGACAATATTAGCGCAATTCCGAAGATTTCAATCCTGTTCAACTTACCCTTGCTCAGAAGAGCGGCGCTGAAACCACCGGCGCCGCTACGGTTATCACCCTCGACGACGACCTCGCCTTTGCGGGCTTTGTCAATATAATTTATGACTTCTTTGACCTTTCGTCTTCCACCGACACTGTCTTCAAGCTTCTTGATGGCCTTCTCGCAATCCTCAAGCTCCTTCTTGAGCACACCACCAACGTGATCACGTCCTTTGGTCCACTCTCTTTCCTCGAGTTCGATCTCGAACTTATAGGGTTTAATGCAGTTTTCCACTTGGTCGCTGGTGCTATAGAATCTTTCGTTAAGAATAGTCGAGGCGGATTCCATGATGGTCTGACGAGCAAAAGGGTGGTTGGCGAAACTGGAATTGCTGATAAGGGACTCAACATGGGCTTGAATGGAAGATGCAACTGCAGTTGTGGCCAAACGTCCAACACCGAGCTTCGTAAGCGCGGACGCAGACGCATCCAATTGTCGGTGCCAGTAAAGAGAGTCTGCAGGCGCTTTGGGGAGATCTGCTAGGCTGTCGAGGTCGGGATTCACTGGCGAGAGATCCCCAAAGGGCTTGTTCCAGTACCTAGCCGCAAGCAAATCGAGGACCTTTTGGTCCAGCTCCTGTTTGAGAAGCTCGTGCATTTGAGGGCGCCCAAACTCCTCAGCAAATTGCTTGAAAGAGTGCTTGAAGGCATCCAAACTCTCTTGAAGATACTCCGCGGCCGTAAGGTGGCGGTCGTTGTACTGAACCTTGTACTCGTATGTAGCTTCCTCAAGCTCTTGTCGAATGGCATCGCTAGTGCCTTGCAGGCTTGCAGACATTGTCTGCTCCAGTACATGCATAAGCTTCTTGCGGAGTGTGGAGGTTCCGAGCATACTATCAGCCCCAGGACCGAACTCCTCGGCATGAGCCTTGAAGAAGGCATTTTCCTGCTTGAGAATTTGATCAAGGCGGTTGGTGCTGCCCATCTTGAAAAGTCCTTGGTTTTGGGGAGCCTTAGAGATCACTCCTACATAGCCCAATCTCAAGGGATACTGCTTGTCATCCAGGATGTTTGCTCCACGAGTAGGATGAACCAAGTCCATCTTTGTAATCACACCGATTGTTCGCTCACCCCTGGGATCAACTCTGCGAGATGCTCGGAGCGCTGTCGAGTTCGCTAAATCCACATCGGCAGCAGAGATGGCGAGGATGACATTGGGTGGCTGAATATACTTATCGCAAAGCTCGGCAATTTTCTGCTTCAACTCAAGAGGTTGGTTTTGTCCCACGACTTGGATGTAGCCGGGAAGATCTATAAGGGATAAATCGGGCACGTTCGGAGAGTAAACTGTAAGATGAATTGGGTCGTCAGAGACGCACTGGCTGTCTGGAACGGCAAGATTGAGGTCGGTCAGAGTTCGCTGGATTGACGAGAAGTCGGTGATGTGCCTCAGTCCAAGGTCAGGAAATTCACCGTACTCCTCCCTGGAAGACGGCGTGTTGACGAGAGTTAGCTCGATTGGTCTTCTTGTAACCATGTTGGAACCCTTTGGAAGGAATTCATGACCAACAATTGCCTCCAAAACGGAACTCTTTCCGGAGGACTGGGATCCAATGACCACGATGGAAGGAAGTGTCAAGGTGCTTGACTGTCCAACTTTCTGGAGAATGGTTCGAATCTCGATCATCTTCTTGGTGAGGAGCATCATCTGATCGTCTTTAGCGGCCTGGTGGACATTCCGAGGATCCTCTTCGTCCGACTGATCGTAGCCATAAGCAGCAGCTGAAGCACCCACAGCAGCTGCGGCACCAAACTTGCTCTGTTTCGGCTCACCACCATTGCCGCCTGGCCCTCCCGAACCACCGGTACCAATGTCCTCTTGAAGTTTTAAAATTTGTTTGACCCAGTCGGGCAATTCGGCTTTCTCTTTCGTGGATTCCCATCCTCGATTTACTTGATCAGCTATATCCTTGGCACCGCCAAATAGGGTCGAAGCGGCACTCGAAACTGTATCTGTCGTAGAGTTGAATAGATTGACTGCGAATGTACCAGCCTCTGTGACGATTAGCGATGTTCAATGCAGTGTTGACGTTCTGACATACGAGCTGCTTGATATTGTACCCAGGCAAAGGCACCGATGGCCACACCGCCAAACATTGCCGGAACCCTCAGAAACTTGACCATAAGTTTAGGTAAAAACCTGGCAAAAGAGGCATTTCTTGTAGTGACAGCATTGTGGAAGGCGTTCCCACCTTGCCACATTCGTTTCCGTGTCGCTCGAATCGCAGAATCGGCTTGAAGGAGGCCACCTGTAGATTGACGATGCAGATGCCTGACGGGAAGAACCGCAGGTCGGCGTGGAAGAGGCCGCAGCCCTGCAGCGAGTACTCGCCCGCTCATGATCGTCTTTGCCGTGCTGTAATGTTTCAAGCTCTAGTCCTGATGATAAGGGCCGACGGCTCGCCCAAGCTGATGGTGACAGTGGCCAGTACAGGCTTGCAGCATTCGAAGTTGTGTTGTGCCGCTTTTAATGGTCTGTTCACCAATGAGTCCTTGATACTATTCGTGCCACCATCATAGGTAGGATTGAACTAATGCACGTTAGGTAATCACCCCCACTACTCTGTTGGAGACGACAGAAGCTAACTGCTTATCAGCACGTGATCGTCTTATCGGTCGCAAAATTTCTGGAGGGGCGCATTTTGAGGCAGTCCTCAAGTCTCAATTTTGGTGTTTCTAGCTTTAACATACGCATCTTCGCGCCAACGCCGACACAATGGCGATCACGAAACAAGTAAGTCAAGAGAGAATTTGAATGCACTGAAGAGAGTATTGGAATGTATTGAAGTGCTAACAACTTCCATAGAAAGCGAAAGGACGTCTCGACAAGTGGTACAGACTAGCGAAAGAGAAGGGTTATCGTGCTCGAGCTGCCTTCAAACTTATCCAGCTCAACAAGAAGTATGGGTTCCTGGAAAAGAGCAGGGTCCTTCTGGATCTTTGCGCGGCACCTGGTGTAAGTCTTACAATACCAACCGGTCTGTATGTGCTGACCCTTTTCTAGTCATGGCTTCAAGTAGCGGCCGAGGTGATGCCCCAGGGAAGTTTGATTATAGGCTGTGATTTGAGTCCTATCAAGCCAATTCCTCGAGTTACATCCTTTCAGTCTGATATCACCACCGAAGATTGCCGAGCTACGATAAGAGGTCTCCTAAAGGTATGCTTCCTCAGAATCTTATAGAGGTCCAGCTCAACTAACTCTACGCAGACACACCGGGCGGACACTGTCATCCATGACGGCGCACCCAACGTTGGAACAGCCTGGGCGCAGGATTCCTTTTCTCAGGCTCATCTTGTCTTGCAGTCGCTGAAGCTCGCTTGCGCCTTCCTCCGCGAAGATGGAACTTTCGTCACCAAAGTCTTCCGGTCTAAAGACTACAACCCTCTCTTGTGGGTTTTCAAACAGCTATTCCATAAAGTAGAAGCAACGAAGCCGTCTAGCTCGCGAGCAGTCAGTGCGGAAATCTTGTCAGTTTACTCCCTAGCATGCTCTGTGCCTCATATACTGACTTCAATCACAGTGTCGTATGTCGTGGGTACAAGGCGCCAAAGAAGTTGGATCCGCGACTCTTGGATTCCACGTACGTCTTTGCGGAACTCGCAGGCCCTACCCCGAACAATGAAGCCAAAGTCTACAATCCCGAAGTCAAGAAACGCAAACGAGATGGTTATGATGAGGGCGACTTCACTCAGTTTAAGGAAATGCCAGCCAGCGAGTTTATCCAAACTACCGATCCTATTGCAGTCCTGGGCCAATACAACAAACTCACTTTCCAGCAACCGCGCAACGGAGATGTAGCTTTGGCCGCACTTGACAAACTTCCCGAGACGACAGATGAAATCCGAAATTGCTGTTCCGACCTCCGAGTATTAGGACGAAAGGATTTCAAACGTCTTCTCAGATGGCGCTTGAAAGTTCGTGAGATCTTTGGATTTAAGACGAAGGAGACTCCTACTACGGAGGAGCCTCCTGAGGAAGTCGCGGAGGTCGAGTCAATGGACGAAGAGCTCAAGATCCAGGAGGAACTGCAAAGCATGAAGGACCGAGAAAACACCAAAAGGAAGCGAGAAAAACGAAAGGAGAACGAGCGAAAACAACGCGAGGTTGTGCGCATGCAACTGAATATGACGGCTCCTATGGATATCGGAATGGAAGAAGCTGGCCCCATCGGAGAAGGTGCGATGTTTTCGCTCAAGAAAGTCGACAAGACAGACGCTATGCGAAGACTGAACCGGGGCAAAATGATTGTTCCTTCCCAGGCTCCCCAGAAGCAGATAGACAGCGGTCTTGGCTCGTCTGGGGAGACAGATGATGAGAGTGATCCTGAGGAGGACCGCTTGGAGCGAGAGCTTGATTCGATGTACGACCAGTACAAGGAACGCAAATCCGAGATTGACGCCAAGTATCGAGCGAAGAAGGTTCGCAAGGAGCATGGCGACGATGAGTGGGAGGGCTTATCTGGCGAAGAGGCCGATGAGAAAAACGACTCCTCTGATCTTGAAGAAGATGATTCCTCTGATGATGAAGAAGATGCGGCCCCCTCAAAGGGACTCATTCGGGATCTGGATCCTTCAAAGGGAGCCAATGGACTTTCTAAGAGGGCCACGAATTTCTTCAACCAGGACATCTTCCAAGGTATCACAGGCATTGCACCTGAAGAAGAGGAGTCTGCCGAAGATAGTGCGGATGAGGAGATCGACCGAGATGCAGCAGCTATCGTCGCTCAACAGACTAAGGCTCGTAAAGTCGAAACACCTGCTGCCAAGCCCGCCAAGACCAAGGAAGCTACTGTTGACTCTGATTCCGACATGGAAGGTAATGAGGCAGGCTTCGAGGTTGTGAAACGGGACGAAGAGGATGATTGGGACAAGGACCAGCGAAGAGCTGATGGCAGACTTGATATCGACATCATCACTGCCGAGGCCATGACCCTCGCGCATCAACTCGCCACAGGACAGAAGACAACTCACGATGCTATTGATGATGGCTTCAACAAGTACGCCTTCCGTGACCGTGATGGTCTCCCAGACTGGTTTGTTGAGGATGAGGGACGACACGACAAGCTCCAGAAGCCCATCTCCAAGGCGGCGGCACAGGCTATCAAGGAGAAGATGCGAGCCTTCAATGCTCGTCCTATCAAGAAGGTGCGCGAGGCTAAGGCTCGCAAGAAGTACAAGGCTGCGCAGCAGCTGGAGAAGCTCAAGAAGAAGTCCGATATGCTCAACAACGACGAGAACATGACAGAGAAGGAGAAGGCGGACAGCATTGGGCGACTTATGGCCAGGGCACAGAAGAAGAAACCAACAAAGCAGGCGGCCAAGCTTGTCGTGGCTCGTGGTCTCAACCGTGGTATCAAGGGACGTCCCAAGGGTGTCAAGGGTCGTTACAGAATTGTCGATCCTCGTATGAAGAAGGAGTTGCGAGCGCAGAAGAGGATCAAAAAGAGGAACTAATCTCTTGTTTCGATTCGGTGTATGGGAATAGATATGGCATTTTAATTTTATTCTCTATTTGGAGTTGGTTTAGTCTGCATATTGTTTCTCAGGCTTACATCGCGAACGAATGTCGATGTGGGATATAGGGGGCCTGTGAAATCCAAGTCGTACCTGTTTGGGGATTTATATCAGCATCGCATGGAAAAGTACAAGAATATTGAGTTTTTATTACCAGTAATTGACAGCAAGGACGAACCCTTCATCCTCTTCGCCGCATGATTGCAAAACTTTGTGATACCTTGGAATGTGAACATCTTGAACGTAGAAAGGAGCGAGACTGGACTTACCACATAGCTGGAAGATATAGCATGTCTCCAGGATTCAGTGTTACTCGCAGAGGTCGAGCAAGATGTGAAAACTTTGTAGCGTTCTGCTCAGGCCTATCGGGGTCCCAAATAGCAAAAGGGACAGACTCTTTATTAGAGTCCATCTCAAGCTGCATGCCATTGTCTCCTCGCTTGTATGTTGCAGGCTTCAGGGGCTGCTCGTTGACACAAGGATGGCAGAGTGAAGGTAGTAGAACAAAGTGCTTTCTTCCCAAGGCTTGAACATATATGTTCTCGTAGTTGTCCTTGTGCATGGCCGTTACTGACTTGGAGTTTCCAATCCACAGATTGACAGCATCAGGATCTTTGTCGAGCGCTATTCTTGCGAAAGGAACATCTTTTGGTACATCTGAGAATAGACTTATATACTCGTCACGGAGATTGTCATTCTCTGCAATATTTCTTAGTACAGTCTCATTGTAGTGAATATAGTCGAGCTTACGAGTTTGTGCATATCGGACTTCAGCATCGACAGGAAATTCAGGGTCCGTCTCCTGGCGAGCTACATACTCGAGTAACTCTTCGAAAGGCTGGTCCTCATAGTGAGGTTTAGCAAAGACCAGAGACTCCTCCCCAGGATGAACGGTAGGCATGTCAGCATTACTATTGTGAGTTAGTGACGACATCTGTATTGGATTATCATGTCTCAGAAGACAGATGGTAAGACATACCCATGTGGCGTGACAGCAACGTTCACATATTGGCCCTTTAGGGCGGAGAGCAGATACGCAGAGTTCCACTCGCGACATGCTTTCCACGAGGAAGCCCCGCGTCTTACGACGAAGGGTGTGTTGCGAGCGACGTATCGCATGAACTCGAGCGGACTGGGCTCATCGTGAAACTCATCGATCACGTTGCTGTTGAGTTCATTGAAGGTAGAGATGAGATTCTCAATGGACTTGTCTACGGAGAACGATGCCTCCCCAGAAGTATTTTCTGGTTTGATATCGGACATTTCGTATTGAGCAATGAGTTACGCTACTCACTTGAGGCTGTCGGCGTATTTTGAGTGAAGATAAGATTGGGTGAGTCGATGGTGGAGTGAGTTGATAATGAGTGGACAGAAAATTGCCCACACAAAACTCCATACACCATCGCCCAATGACTTTTATCCAAGCCCAATGCCGTTAAGAAAGAGAATAGTATTATAGCAACAGCTTCAGCACAGATGTTTTCTAAAACTACAAGTAATGATTAACAGTTCTACAGTAAGCACTGGCAATAAGTACTAAAACATTATTTAACATGGAGAGTTTATAGAATAGCGACCTAGCTGTATACACAACCACTAGCAGCCACAGACAAAGCTAGGGAGTAATACTTTGCCTATTTCCAAGGAGCATTACCCCTTTTTATTTTTATTTTTAGAATCATATAATGAGACGAAATATTATAATTGTTATCAATAAGTACTCAGAACCTAGCAGTTGCTCGGAGAAATTGTTCCATTCTTGTTTGCTGATTCGCAATACCAATACTTTGACTGGGCGCTAAGCTCAGACACAATGACTTCTGAGGCTGAATAGATAGACGCCATGTCTTGCGCTTGAGACAAATCCCAAGTATTGATTGGCATCCCCATCCCTTGCTAACCGTGGCTGGAAGAGCTGGAACCTCCGGAATGGAAACCACATGGCAACTGCATGGCTAGGTCAGTAGCTAAGTCGATAGAGACTAGAGACTTGGAAAGGATTGCCGATGTTAGTGGTTTATAAGCTGACAGGTTCATGGCACCTGTGGAGCTGGAAACAAATTGAGGTGCTCATGATGAAGTTGCTTTTGTAAACTTCCCAATCAGAAATATTTCGACGGGTAGCAAGGACATGGGTTTGAAGTGGTTTCCATACTAGGACGAAAGGGTGGCATGAAGTGCAGTTCCTTGCTTCAAGGGGTGACGGGCTCAATTAGCAAAAGATAAACATGGATGAGGATGATTGAGAGACCTGAACATCGGCCAACTAATTCTCTTGTATTGCCAAACTGGTCGACGCCTAAATTGATTCTGTGCAACCGCCAAGCATCACAAGCTTTAAGTGGGAAGAAGCAAGACGGAAGCCGAATGGATCTGGAATGGAATGGATGGGACCTTCAGTGGATCTGTAGCTAACCTTCCAGGGGGGTCTCGGGGGACACGGGATGCGCTGCAATGGAACCTGGTCCAGTGCAGATCCAGGTTCCTGGGCTGGACTTTCTTTTGGTTCCATTCAAGATTCGATTGATTCTTTCTGGAGACGTAGAAACAGCTGATTCTTCTTTTTCGCACATCGCCGTTATACGAGCATTGTTTTAGTGTCCCTATCAAAAACAGCATGGATGTTCTCCATCTCTGTATAGGTAGGTGCCTAGTACTTGCCTCATATCCTGACCTGAACTGAATCAAGGTTCCTTCTTAAAACGTGAGAGACAAGACACCATTACCTTCCATGCCCGTTCTTATTCGTACACGGGCCTCTCCCGCCAATGGAAACGGCAAGAGGGGAGAGCCCTTAGCGGCTTTATTGATCTCCCTTCCACTTTCCATTCCCGGAATACTTGGTCCAGCCCATCCCCTCAACTTGTCGGGACATTCATTAGCAATTCCCAACTGAGTCTCTGGTTTCGTTGCTTCTGTTCTTTTTCAGTGCAATAAATAGAGATGTACGTACTACTTTACAGGTAGTGTCTACGCTGCACTACCTGGTAACATACAGTACCAACTCGATCCCCACATTCAAGCACTTTAGAGTTTTGACTTCTGGCTTTTGACTTGGATTCTGGACTTTAGATCCAGGGCAACTGCTTGGTAGACTAGCATCGCGCCTTGTTGTCATAGCTTCCATCGGTTTGATCCAGTCCTAACTTGTATTCCAGGCAGGTACGGATAGCTTTTTAGCTTCCCATCCCACTTTCCATAGTGTCGGTCCTTTTTTACGTCCTTCATCAACCCCATCGTTCATCCCATCTCATACATACATATTAAGCTCAAGCCCAAACCTCTCGCATCTGCTGTACATTTACCGTACAAAACGTCTTCATCACCTACTACCTCCAGTGAGCCACACCACAGAACCCGGGTAGTATTGGTCTTAAACCCTGACCTTGTCCTCCCGACTTCAAGCGCCTAACTTAGTCAAAGTCTCGTGACCCGATCTGCGCTGCATTGGCATCTGCACCTGCATCTGGCCCTGGACTGGCCTGACTTAATCTGACGACAATCGACGTCCGTGGGAATCGCTAACACGAGCCTCAACGCGCCCCTGGTCGCTACTGCGGTCCTGGGTCTACTTCTCCAACGCTCGCTCTGTTGAGCATCGTCTGTCCTTCTCAGGCGGCGCTGCCCGCCTTAGTCGAACCATTGCCAGCAATATCCATACCTAGGTACTTCCAGGTATTTACTTCAACAGACGTTTTGGTCCATGTCACGCCAGCCAAGTTTCAGGATATTCAGAAGCTATTGCTTCATCTCGGCCCCCAACCAACTCAATCCTTTGCTCTCACACTTTACATATTCGCACATGGGACATTAGGCGACTCGAATCTTACCTACCGTCCTCATGATCTGGTACTTTCTGTACCCACTCCGAGGGTCAGTCTTATTTACCCCGATACACTCCGTCCCTGTCCTTCCGTCCCGTTCCCCGTCTCCCGTCCTCAACTCACATCCCGTCGCAGAACAACGGAAGCTCCGGTCCTAGCACCTACTCACCCTGTCCGGAGAGCTCTGCATCGCTATGGATCATATGCCGCCAGCCATGTTGTCACGACGCTCCTCGTTTCGGTGGTCGTGGCTACCATGCTAATCTATCCCATTCCCTATCTCTTCACAAGCGACTACGTCAATGGCGCTTCTAATCTACCTCACCATGCTTGGACTGTCGCCCAGCCGCTGCCTTATGGCGCAACAATCCACCCCGATGTAATGATGCGTTCTATCTGGGTTCATGGCAGTTATATGCAGGCATTGAAGCAAGATCTCCTTGTCTCTGCTTTGGAGCTGCAGAACGAATTACTTGGAAGCACTGAGAACTTTAGCCCTATCCGGGCCCGAAATGTTGCCCGTTATTTGCCCGAACCTGGTGCTGATCTTTCTACAACACAACGAGATGCTTTCCACGCCATCAATGGTCTAAATAACCAATCTTGGTTCTTCCACTCACCCCTTCAATACTGGGATTGTATTGAAGAGAATGTTCTGCTTGACCCTAATATCCTGGCAACCGTCAACGATAAAAAGACTCAGTCCACATCGGTTAATGTCACACTCAGACATTCCATCGTCTTTAGCGGGAAAAGGTTCGAAGAACGGCGTCTTGTTGCCGCTGATGCTCTTGTTATCACATTGATCTATCTAAGAGACTCGCCTGTCGGTGAACAATGGGAGAGGAAAGCCTCCTTGCTCCCAGACAAGGTGTCCAGCAAATGGGATATTTACCCAGCTGATGGTCGGTCCACCGCGAGCCAGCTGTACGAATTTCAGTTCCGTCCTATATCACGCCAAGATACGGCCATACTAGCTATTGCCTATGGTCTGACTTCTATCTATTTCCTTATGAGCTTGTCCAAATTGAGAGCCTTCAAGTCCAAATTTGGTCTCATCCTTACGGTCATTTCTCAGATCGGATTTTCCGTCATGTCTAGTTTCACCGTTTGCGCCATCTTCCGACTCGATTTGTCACGAATCCCCAGAGCAGCCTATCCATTAGTTGTTCTCTCTATGAGTATTGAAAACATATTTAGACTCATCAATGCCGTTATCATCACCCCTGCCGAGGACTCGACGAGCAATCGTATTGGCCAGGCGTTTGGAGAAACTGCTCATACAGCTATCGCTAGCTCGTTGCAGAATGTCTTCCTATTGTTGGTGCTCTCTCGCTGGGTATCCCCCGGTGTTTCAGCTTTCTGCATGTTTGTCGCCGTCGCGATCGGGTTCGATCTTTTCTACCTTTCAACCTTCTTTCTATCCGTTCTTAGCGTTGACGTTAGACGAACGGAGCTTAGCGATGCGCTTGCAAAGGCTTCAATGCGCCATCATCGTGGCGAGTCTGATTTCAGACCTCGAGGAACATGGGAGCTTGTGCTTCAAGGTAAAGCGACTTTGTCGACACGGATTGCGGGCACTATCATCATGCTTGGCTTCATCCTTATCGCCCAGTGGCATTTCTTCGAGGCCGATGCGATTCTCACCTTCTTCAAACACTTGCACAGAGGACACGATGCTTTGGAAAACAATAGCTCACCACAAACCTCTCTGGACTCCATCCACCAAGCGCGAAGCCCAAAATCGTGGCTTAGACTACAAGATCATGAGACAGCACAGGAGATCATCAGCATCATCAAACCCACAGCCCACAGCTACGTTGCAAGGGTCTATGAGCCCGTTGTATTCGTCATGAAGGGCTCGGATCGTATGCCTCATTACAAGGAACCGACTCTGCTCCCAGCACTTTACGACTTCATCAATCATCAACTCACGCGATTTGTCGTTATCATTCTGGTAGTCATTGCTGGCGTTCGGCTGCTTACAAGCTTCCTATTGTGGGAGGACGAAGCTGACGGGGACGATCGGCGTTCCGACACAGATCCAACCTTGGACGTCAAGTCTTTCCATGGAGGCCATGCCTTGGACATTGCGATGCTGACCGCTGCACCTGATGGCCGTATTGTGTCGGTTGGTCTAGACCGTGCAATTCGCATCTGGGACGCCCGTTCAGGCAGCCTACATTACACGATCGCCAAAGGTGAGGAGTCGGAGGATGCGCCCTTCCCGGTTCTGGCTATGGCTACGGATGATAACTCGAGATGGTTGGCCATATTATCTCCTTACAAAATAGCTTTATGGAACCTCAAGGAGAGCGTCTGGGGACCTTCGATAGCCGTGAACCTTCAAGGGCAGAAGACAGAGGCATTCTTTTTTGGCTCTTCCGATCCAAAGAGCGTCATTCCTAGACTAATATTAGTGCGTCGCAATGGAACATTGACCGAGTATATGCCGGGTGCAGGCGAGGGAGCAGACTATGGCATCTGTCGAAGCCCCTTGGCCTGCGTTCGCCCTTTGATAGGGAAAAGTAAGGATTCTCTACAACTCATTATTGGCTGCCGTACTAATACAATGGCTTTAATAGGAAGTAAGCAGGCAGCTCCTCTGGTCGCCATCATCACAGCATCTCGACGTGGCTGCGTTCATGCAGCAACCAAGGAAACACTGACTTGGAACTCACGAAGTGTGCAGCTGGAAGGGATTGAGCATGACGAAGTTCACCAAGTTGTGCCTCTCGCTTCATTAGGACTCTTTCTGATCGCTGGAAGCAGCCGAGTTCATCTTGTCGACATGGAAGATTACGGCCTTGTGCATACCTTCTCGACCGAGCGGATGACCCAACGTTCCCTGCAGAGCGCGTTCTTCAGTCGCTCATCGTCGCAGCTGGGAGCTGATGGACTCTCCTGGTTTATCTTGTGTTATACCAGTGCAGAGACCGGCGATTGTGTAGTACAAAACTTTGTCCCTCGAGAAGAGCACGAAATGATTTATTACCAAAGTCCCGCGGCACCATCTACTAGAGGTTGGTGTGCCTGGGAATCTGCCAAGGAAACGAAGAGGCATATATCGAACCCCGGTTCATGGAGTGTTCTGTCTGATGGCAGTGTTGTGGGTATACGGCAAAAGTCCAACAGGACTCTTGTTACCCAAACCAACGGGCAGCGAAAAACGGAGGGTCTTCGACACCGATCACCACGAAAAGAACCAGGTCGAGACTTATTGGGACGCTGGGAGATCTGGAGTGCTCCGCAGAGTGGTCATTTAAGAACCGATGAGACTCGACCCCTCTTTCAGGACGATGAAAGGGCAGGGCATCTGTTTGTAACAGAACTCGGCCCCATGATTCGAGTGGGTCAGAGATCGATTGCGTTCAGTTTTGGCAATGTGGTGAAACTGGTTACTGTTGGCGGGCATGAACGTTTTGAGAGCAGTGTGACAGACAAGAGCCTCGAGCACCTGAATGTCGGAAGCAGACGTCGAAAGCCAGGCGCATTAGTGCGACCCAGGGCTTGGAGCTAGTCTACCTGACGAGAAGCACTCTGGCCTAGGAATGTTCGGAGTTTGGCTTGAGGCAATGCTATATGTTTTGGATGCATATTGACTGGTTGGGGGTACATGGGCGTAAATAGGTGTCTTCTTGTTGTATCATTGTTTAAGAGATTCCCCAATGGAGCATATTCGAGGGAGGCGGATATTTTTTGGTATAGAAACCGACCGGCGTAGATATCATAGATGGTTGGAAATCAATTCAGTTACTGCGAATCATGACCACTGACATCATAATGGTTAGGTTCATGTTGGTCAATTTTGCGTGTGGTTCAACGAGGAATTGAGCAAGCGCATTCAACCCATGTCATAGTTTCACGTTCTTCTACCAGAGTATCAAGATGCCGCAAATCTGTTTCAAGTCGATCAATACGTCGAAAACGGGCATTGAGACGAAACCCCAACAGCAACCTCAATTGACGTCCATGTATATGCTGGAGACCTGGTGGGTCACACTGAAAACCCGGGAGTTTGGGAGAACTGCCAACCAAGAAGCACACCGCTGATTCAAGGCATTTCTGCCTTGGCCATCTTGTCTAGAGCCGAGCGACAAGGCAAACGAGTGACGTGAAATAGGAGACTATCACCAAAACTAAAGAGGCTGGGTAACCTCATGGTGGGTCAAATTGCGTGTAAGTCAAATCCCCGATCCTCAGGCAAGGCCCGTGGGTGGATGCAGATGCGCTAGGGCGAACTATGAATGAAAAGATTAATTGGACTCTGTGGAAGCTACGTGTCCACGAGGGCGGTCGCATGAAGGGAGGCCATCCGCGATGTCGGACGGATGATGATTGAGTGGAAGATACGAGGTTAAGGAAGAATTAATATGGGAGGTTGGGAGTACAGGGTAAGAAATGATTGGGGGATGGTCTATATTAGACCTTACTACACAATATCACAACCCTGCACAGGAGCAATCGAATGATAATGATGGAAGCTGAGTTGGATTCTGTCTCAATGTGCTGAGGTAGGCTCTGAAAACTCGGTCACCAGTAAATGTAGGGTGTAATCAGGTATCTAGTACAGTGTCTTGCTACGCTGGCTGCATTGAAGCCTGATGGAAGAATTGTGCAGTCAGACTTGAGCAGGTTCTGAAAGGAGGATCACATTACCTCATAGCTGTAAGCTGTCAAAGCCCAGAGCTTTTCGATATGCATGAAATCATTACAGACGACTTTGACGTGAGGTGAGACGCTGACAGTTGAAGCTGCGGGTCTGGTCTCGGGATAGTCTCCATTAAAGTGTCACTCTACTGCCAGGTGTTCGGCCCTAGGGACTTAGACGTGCAGGACAGTAGATGTGCTGAGTCACGCCCATCAATTCATCAAGCATATTCCTTGGAACGGGCTGACCGTTGATGCCCGTTAGGTATTGCACAATCCAACGGGCTGAGAGGGGGAAGATTTGCAATGGTGGAGTGTTTATAAGTAATTGTAAATGTTAATATAATGAATGAAAGCTCTCTGAGTAACGTTGTGTCTTGTAAGTGAGACCAAATGAAGCGGATGTTGCGTATATGTAACAGGGACTCGCAACGGAAAATCCCAAATAGGAAATTGGGAAAATGTCGAGTCGAAAAGACACGAGGAAGGAAAGATGCAGTGCAGTGATGATGGATGTCCAAACCTCCTGCCATTTATTCCATTTACATTACCTACTGCCTAAATTGTCTTTCAGCTTCCAAGGGGGAAAGAGCCCAACTCATTTCCACCTGACACTCTTAATATCACGGATGCTGAATATTTTCTTTTTCCCTTTGACTTTCCTTTCTTCTTCCTCACCCTTCGCATTATTTACCAACCTCCTCGAAATCACCGCCCCGCCGCCTCGTCGCACTTTTTCCCATTTCGACCTTTACTACGGATACCTTACCTATTGACCTGTTGGTTAGGTCCCTGTTGTTTTTCTTCTTCGTTACTTTTTTAGATTCGCCTACACCTAAAGTTCAGTCTCCAAGTTCTCCATAACGTGCTCGCGTTATACCGCGTCGGTTGAGCTCTCGTGTGGCGCGTGTTCCTTATTCTTATTCAGTACAGTCTCATTCTGAGACTTGAATCTATTAATCTACAGTCGTGTTACCAGGACCTCGATCTGCGTATATCTGGTGATTTCTTATCAATATCAAACATCCCTTCAGCGGCATCCACATTGAAAGACAAAAATAGCACTGCGATATCTTCGGGTTGATCGACTTGGCACGAGCGAAGGTTTGTTTATTCACCCAACTCAACAATCATTTTAAACCAAGTCAACTAGATCAGTAGTACTCACAGAATTACAGATCTCTTCAAATACCGACTGCTTGGTACAAAATAGAACCCTTTAAACCATCAACTACCTACGTTGCAACCACCGCGTCAGTCACCTCTCCCCCATCTTCAAACAAGCTCCCGATCAGACTAGATCTCCTACCCTGGTCAACTCCCTCAGCGTTCAGTGGTGCACTGTTAATAGTGGTGCCTCTTTGGGCTCAGGGTCCCCTGGTCTAGCTTGGCTGGCCTTCTCACAGACCTGCTCTTCAAGAGAACTGCCCCAGTCGATAACCCACTGACCGTCTTGTTAGGCCTGTTGCCCACTCTGCTCACCGCCTGCCCTTGTCATTCGCTGAACCTGGAGGCGCCTCGGCTTCTGTTTGCGTGCCAACTCTCACTCCCGTCCCATATCTTCGACAGCGCGCGCGACTGGCCGGCCGTTATAACAACTTTCAGACGAGCCTGCCATCCTGTCGTTTCTCCGTCATGCTCTTCGGTGTCGCTAATATTGCGTTTGTTTCCTGCTGCTAGTCTTTCGTTTGCCATCAAGCGTTCTGCTATAGTTCTGCGGTCCTTGGCACTCAATCGCTTTTCGCGTTTTCTCACCTGCGTCTTATTCGTCGTCATTGTACGTTGAAGCATCCGCAGTTGATCAGCACCAGGTCCTTGATCGTTCATGCGCATGTGCCTTGGTGTGTTGTTCGTCTCTCAACTCGAAATAGGCCAATTGGTTGTAAAAACATTCCTTGGTCGATACTGCACACTTAAAGCGTCATCTGCCACTCGTTCCTGTTCCAGCGTTGTCGTTCTGGATCTTCGAATCTCATCTCATCGCTACCATCCGAACTGACCATCACCAACACGCATCGGACCCAATCACAGCTTGCCAGCTGTCGCGCGCATTCACTTTGGCTCGCTGACCCCGTCGAGTCGCACCTCTACAGACCAAGCGATAGGCTCTCGCCTTACGGTTCCTGGTTTCCTTTGGCTGCCTCTCATCATTTTGCATCGTGCGAGCTGCTGCAACAATCTGCACTTCGCGCTGTTCCTGCTGTACGCTTTACTGCAGCTGTGGAGCTCGGCAACGGTTAGTTCAACCAACCTCCTTCTCCTTGCCTCCATATTCTCTTATTTCCCTGCTTCTCCTTCGTCGCATGTCTTGCTTCGTCTATGACGCCTGTCACCCGTGCTTTAATTCATATGCGAGGCTATTTCCTCCCCGTCCCACGGCCCCTCTGTTGCCCTAGTTGGTAAATCATATAGAAACTAAAGCAAAGCCCCTAGTCATTCGTGGACCCTTCTGCGTCTCACTCATTCATACCCAAGACCTGCATTGGAAGTGACAGCTGGGTCGCATGGCGTCCTCCGAGGTCGATCAAAAGTTTCTCGGCAAGCTTGCCAAAGCTGTCGAGAATGACAATCCTCTCCTGGCCAACATGCTCTTCAAGATCCTAGGATTGTCTCTAAACCTTGCCGAACAACTTGTTGCCGCAAAGAAGCAACGTCGACCTGACTATGAGCCTTCACCCAACGCAATACGGCGCGTATTACGAATCATATGGCTCTCTCGAGAAGGCAAAGTGATGCTTGAGCAATACGTCTTACCGATGGTCGGAAACTATGGCGAACTCAAGGTCCTCGCTTACAAGCTTCGTGCTTCTTTCTCTCACATCTTTGCCCTCTTTGGCAACTTCCCTTCAGTCTCTCACCTAGGCAGGCAGACACCAGATGTAACGGCTGCATTGACACCACGCATGGACAAGGGAAAGGGACGTGTCGCTGATATGGAAGCTGACTCAAGACCTTCCTCCGTCCAACCAACTCACCCTTTGGAAGGGGGACCTGTGCTGCCTCCACCTGGTTTCGAGAATCTTCCGTTATCACCAAATTTCCTCATTCCGGCCAAAGACTATTTACCCGAGGCGAAACAGCACTTCCAGGACGCCATCGAACTCGCTGACTCAATGCTCTGGGGATCGCATTCTCTTCGCCTCTCCGTCAAGACCGAATATGCTGCCTTCTTGTATGAATGCGCTCATGATGCCGAGGGCAGTCGGAAAGTTGCCAAAGATACCATTGCGGAAGTATACGACGCCACTGAAGGAATGGACGACGACATGTTTGGTGATGCTTGCGAGCTGGTTACGGTCCTGGGCAAGATGATGAAACGTGGTCTCGGTAATAGCAGCACCCCACGCAAGGGTCCAGCTATGAATCAAAACTCGGTACCTAGAGCTGTACCTCCACCGGGAATGGAGAACCCGATATGATGGGATTCGACTAATTTCGCATGAAGCTTGGTAGTCGGTCGCGAAAGTGGTGACATTGACGCTTAAGCAAAGGACTGGCAGTTATGGTACCAGCTCGGTGACACTATCGACTGACGCGAGCAGGGAGCCAGGTTGTTTTTTTTCTTCCGGTCTCGAGATGCACAAGAAGAGTCTGGGCAAATCCATACCCGACGGCCCGTTCCGCACCATACCACGTTAGATGCCGTTTGTTCCTTGTGGAGCCATTAAATATCGACAAGATCAGCATGTCCCTGACCTGGTTCACTACATCACGAACTCCGTTGTCGATAGGGCAACGATGCTACTTATTAATGGAACCCCTCTGGAAACGTTGGAAGACACATCCTGAGGCGTCTGGTGTTTTCAAGATCTTTCAGGAACTGACAATCAGCCTCGAGTCTTGGTCTCACTAGGACAATTTGACTCAGGCTGATTACGTGCGCATTCCGTTGTTTCACTTCTGCTCTGTTATTTGATACCCTTTATTCGTTCTTGGATTCTTGTCTGTATATGCATAGGGTTTCTAATCTAACCCTTTGTAATCTGCATTTACACCGAAGAAATTGGCTTTTATGTTTGTGCTTATCTAATTTGCATTCAACCGAGGGTTGGGAAAAATAGAAAGGGGCGTTTGATATTCAGAAATCGGTCGCATTTACTTGGGCGCGCCTAATAGATGTATCATTAAGGTAGCGTTACTGTTACTGTTTTTTTAACAATTAGTCACGAAGATTGCACGCCCTGGTCATTGATTTCATCTACTTGTTTCGCATTTTTCTATGGTCGAGTGGCTATGAGACTGATCCCTCTAAGTTATCAAAAAGCAACTCTAGCCATGCTCCGTCCACTCCGCGTCTTGCCTACTTCTCAAGTATCAAAACTACCGCACCGCAATATGCCCGATGGCTCCATTGATTAAACCCAGCCGTCTCTCTTGAATAGAGACTCGAAACAAGCCGCCATCCCTGATCTCATTCGGTCAAAAGAGGATTCATGTAACAAAACCTTGTTGTGACATGACCAATTCGTCTCTCACTCGTCAAAATTCACTCGTCCGAGTTTCCTTGGCCCTGACCATCGATCCAGGTCTCGACCCGCTTGATGCGTCGCTCCAGCTTGCGAGCTGCGGAGCGATCTTCTTCTGCCTCCGCGCGTTCACATCTGTCGCGGATTGCCTCGAGGGGAACCATCCGGCCTGTCACGTTGTAAAAGTTGGCCTGCATCTCTAACCAGCGAGATCTCTTGTACTTGCTGTCAATGGTGGCCAGAAGGTCACAATCCCGTTGGTTAAGGTACGCATCCGGCTGTGGATGGATTTCAGCTGGATACATCTCCTTGTAGATGTGATCCTGCAGGTATCGCATTTGGTGATGTTTTTCAGGATCACCGTATTCGAGACAAGATGACGCCTCAGATGCGTTGTCAGATGTTCCCTTGCCTGTCTCACTGGGAGAGTCGCACTCTTCTTCTGTCTTGGCCTTGGCGCGAGCCTTGGCCCATTTGTTCTCGTTAGCAACCTTGCTGTTACGTAGACCTTTGTGCCACTTGTTTCGAGTGAAGGTATTTCCGACAGGCTTGCCCTTTGGCTTCACGATGGATTCTTCGTCTTCGTCGGTGTCATCTTGTTCCTCGGTACTGTCGCTGCCCGAGCTCTCATCACCATCCTCGACCTCGGAGCCATTCTCGCTGGTCTCTTCTGGCTCATCAACTTGGTCACTGGTGTTATTGTTGGATGTAGTTTCGTGATCGTCGACTAGCTCAGAGGTCTCTCCCTCAGTCGTCGCACCGTCGGTCTCGGGCTCCGTGGTAGCATCGGAAGCAATGGCCTGACGCTCGAGGACTTTCCAACGAGCCCTGACATCATTTTGCGTCTTGCACAGGGAAGTTGAGATGAACCGCCAAGTCTCACCAGCCTCCTTCATGCTTCGGAGACGGTAGTCCTCAGAGACCGACCAGTTGGGGTCCTCGACAACAGGGTTAGAGTACTTGATAGCCGTGTTGAGGTCGGTAGAGGCTTCGTCTGTCTGGCCTGAAGACTCGTTTTCGGTTGAGTAATGGGCTCGAGAAGCTTTACCCTTGCCTTTGGCTTTGCGGTTTTTGTTCTTCAAGTTTGATGACCAAGTGCTCGCTGTGGACTCGTCACCAGACGACTTCGCACCCTCAGAACTCGGGAACTCAGCTTGGCTGGGCGTGATAATCTTGACACGGAGGTCTTTGCATCTGGCCTTAGCCTTCCCCTTACAGCAAGCCTTGGTACACTTCATAGCGTGTGTTTTGTTACAAGGGCCGGTGGGAGCGACATTTGACATGCTAGACTCATACTCCGAAGAGTCGTAGCCACCTGAAGAGGCAGACAGGCCATAGGCTGGTGAGCCCTCAAGTTCAACGGGCCTCATCGCAACAGTGTCACCAGGCAGCTCAGGAAGGTTGGGAAGGGCGTTTTTACGCGACATTATGATCTGGTTGATGGATCCATGGAAGCTTTCAGGGGAAAGCGGAGTTGTCATGACGATGATGAGAGTTCGTGGTGAAGTAGTGTCTCAAAAGCAACGTTGATTCTGCTAGTGCTAGAAGGACGTATCAATACTTGCTGTTATCTCTAGGTGGCGATCAGGCTTTGACCTACTTGTGAAGGGGTACTCAATATTGTGTCGAGTCAAGATGACGAGGGACGGAGAAGGGGCTCGAGATGTGTATAACAGAGAGTCTGTAGACTGGTATGTTTGATATCGAAAGCAACGATGAGAAAGAAAGATAGAAAGGGGAAGGTGCGACAAGGGAAGAGAGGTTTGCTTTTTTGATGTTATGCAAGATGTTCAAGGTTGGAGGAGAAAGGCCTTGATGATGTTAGGGGAAAGGTTCAAGTGTATGGGGGTGGGTTGGAGGAGGAGAGTAAAGCGGAGGGTGGGAGAGAGAGGGAAGTGAAATAGATGTAAACAAACCTCGCGCTCCTAGAGGTGCGGGCTCGAAGATTCTCTGAGCTACACGGAGTGTGCAAACGGGTTATGCTGCCAGTGCCAGGGCTCGGCGGGTAGTGGACTCCTGCGTCTGCCCTCCAGCTGGACTAATAGATATCAGAGAGACCACTGACATGTATTGCACTGTAAATCAAACGAAACACTTCTCTCGTTGGTTCAGGTCAGAAAAAGAATCGAACATCGATTATGTGACAGTTTTAACTAACACGCAAGTGAACAAGACGACTGCAGTGCATAACAATATCATGTTTCGATGCATGTTCCCTATAGACGTCCAGAACAGTGCCTACTCAGACTTGAAGAGTAAGCACACAAAGAATCTTTGTTAATTCCCGACTGATGTTCATTGTTATAGATAGTTTTATCATTGTCGTCCCAATATCATGCATGATACGATAACCGGCCCCAGATATGATCGTCCATCTAGCTACACTACACATCAGTTCAGACCCAATGGGACCATGTCCAATCCTGCTGACTCATCCCACAACCGATTCAACTTAGCATCTCACCATTACTTTCAGTGTCACTCTTTTCTTTAACATTCGTCCATCAAGATATCACGAACCTTGACCACCGAGGACACAAAAGACAAAGTATTTCAACTTAACGAGCAAGTTTAGGAAGGGTTTCGGGTTAGTTTTCCCATCGTCCGATACTTATAAAATAACCTTTCTAATACCCACTAGCTATCCACTCAGACTTAACTGAGGAACTCTCCCTCTCGACACTCTGACCACTGGACAACTCCTAGTCACCCAAAGAAGACACAATGGCTGAACTTCTACCCCCTCTTCCAGCGGAGTACGCTCGCGGTCTTGAGCTTATCGACGCCGCCCATGCCGAAGACTCTAGGACAGCTGAGGGTCCTGATGGAACGACAATTCCCTATGAACTCAAGTACGCCCAGAAGATGACCAAATGGCTCGCCCGGCTATGCCCCGAAGCAAGTCCCGTTCTCCAACTGGCCTGCCGAGCGCAGCACTTTCGAAGGTAACCATCACAAGCTCTGCCCGCGTTTAACTCTCAACTTACACAACTCGCATAGGTGGGAAATCCCTCGGAGTAGTTACCCCATGACTCGTCCAGGCTACTTGACTTGGCGAGCAAAGCTCAAGGCTCAAGCTGCTGCTCAAGTTGCAGAGCTCCTGGCGTCTCCAGAGATTCAGCCGCCAATCTCCGAAGAGAACCGGTCTCGAGTAGCTGCCCTGATTCGCAAGGAGAACCTCAAAGCAGACGATGAGACTCAAGTGCTCGAGGATGCGGCATGCTTGGTCTTCCTTGATGACCAGTTTGACGACTTCGAGAGCAAGTCGGATCTCGACGAGGCGAAGATGATAGGCATCCTTCAGAAGACATGGGGCAAGATGGGTGAAAAGGGCCGACAGTTGGCTCTCAAGATGAATCATAGTGACCGGGCCAAGGAATTGATAGGAAAGGCACTTGCAGGTTGAATGAGTACGTCTCTTACATGCAACTATGCAGCCTCCCCCCATTGACCAATACAAGATCTTATGTAGCGTGTATCTCCTGAAATATGACAACTTTGCCAAGACTGATCTCTACTCGGGAAATTCGTGGAAGTGTCATGCTCATGCCACGATCCTGAACGAATAGTATTGAGCAGGCTACATACAGTCCTGCAGGCTACCGTTCAGTATAGCCATGTCGTACAACTCCTGAATGCTAGGGATAGCCAATACACCTCTTTACATCGTGTTAGCCATCGAAAAGCCTTGCTCAGGTGAGGCAAGTTGAGTCCGAACTTGTCGTCTCACAAGAGTCGATAAGGAAAGGAGCACAATGGGTATCGTAATGCCAAAGGTGAGATGCCTCGTTGGATCTGCGCGCCCTGCGTATTCGATAGGCGCATCAAATAGTTGAAGAGACAATGAGTGTCCGCGATTCTTCGGCCACACATCCGATACCGATCCGAGACACTGTGACAACGGCAGATCATCTTAACAGGGGCAGGAGATCTTGGTCATAAACTGACGTATGTGACACAAAAAAAGGGGACCCTGTTGTGGCGTCGTTCACGACAGGAGACCAATCTACCGTCATGTTTGCCAGCCACTTTGAGGAATAGCATCAGCATCCCTGCTACCATCCACCAACCCTATGCCCTGGGCCCAACGCCGCTACGCAAATTGGTTTCCATTTCGTTTTTGTTTACTCATCCTGAGACTTCACGTTGGTTCGTGTCACAATCGATTGTCTTAGGCTAATTCGATTGATGCTGCTGATCGGTGCGTAGTACATGAGATCCTGCGTGTTTCCGATCCAGCACGTCGTAGGATATCACAAATCTGGCCCTTCTATCAGATCCCGACAACCTGGGACTGCAACCTTATCCCGCCTCACCTTTACTCTTCCCTATCACTCGTCAGCCACTGGAAGGAAGTCTCGGAAGGTATGTCTTCCGTAATATGTCGTTCTCGATGACAGTTGGCAACTGAGACTCGACACTCGGCTTCACGCATGATGCTTCGAGGACGTCGTAATTGTGACGTGCGCAACTTCTCCTGGATGTGAGGCAGAAACTACTCGTCTTGAAGTCAAGGGAGCTTACCCCCATCACAACTGTTGGTATTGCACTCCGTGTGCGTATTAATGGTAGAGGCTGATTGGTTATCTTGTGACACGCAGCTGATTGTGTATATCTGCTGACAACTTGTCGCTAGTTAGTAAAACGTTGCAAATCACTATGTATCCTGACCTCTCTTAACTACCACATTTCCTACTACTCAAATATTCGTCAGGTCATCTCGTTATCCTGTAGGGAGGCTGCCGAGCCCTTCTCTCGGTCTCTTGACAAATGATATGCGGTTTCTGGGCCGAATCAGGCATATCGGCTAAAAGGTTGAACCAAAGAGCTACCTACAGTGCACCTATAGTATCAGCTGGTTGCATAGAAACCCTGCCCTGCCTACAGCTTTTCAGCTGGCATCGTATTGAGACAAGGTCTGACTGGAGCATATAACCGCATCTGTAAGGACTGTGTGTTCATTTGTGCCCTGGATCTTTTTAGCATAGATTACTTGATAGGATCTGGAGTTTTGGGCCCATCACAAGGGATACATTGCATTAGTAGCCAGCCATCGCCGTATTTGCAATTGGCTGTCTGCACTCTGTACTGATTTGCCTGTCTCGGAGCCCGTGGGGCTATGATCAGGTTATCATTGCTTTTTCGAACCAAAATCCGATGGAGCTGAAAAGTGCGTTCACGATACCCTTGCACGCACTGCCAATAGTTATACTCTTTTTATCTGAATCCGAAGGGATGGTAACCGGACCGCTAGACAGCTGCAGATCCATCTCTGGGCAATCCTCTGCACAGACATTGTTGAGCGTTGTCAACTTTGTCAATGCCACACCCATGCTTCGTCACCAATCACTGACCCCGGAGCTCCCTACTGCTTGCGTTTCCTTCTCGCCAGTCCGGGCTGCTTTCTATGATATGATATGATATGATGTCTCCTCTTCTCCCAAGCCTTCGAGAAGCCAAGCTCTACGGCGTTGTGTTCAACCATTGGTAATAATCATGCTTCGAGAAGTTGGTGCACTGATCACTGGCAAGCTGATCAGTCTTGAGACCAGGGTCTTTCGAATTCATGATTGGAATCGAGTCATGTATGGTAATCGACCAAGACCAGGGGGGTCTTAAGGTCGATGATGGATTATAGGCAAAGTAGCTGAACCGGATCCACAAAGTTTTCCTCGTCGTTGAGGTCTCATACGTCTGTCCTGTCTGATATCGTGACGATCCTGAATCTGGTAACTATGCCAGTTGCCGACCAACACCTGGTTTGATCTCAAGTCCGACACAAGTCACTCCGGATCAGAAACTCCCTTTCAACACATCCAATTTGATGTATGTTGTAATAGGCTCTTCAATGAAGTATTCCGTTATTGCATATGCAGATATTTGCTGTTTTTGGGCCTCGCCTGTGATATTTTGCCTTCTGCTGCTCGCTATGTGGCTGTGCGTCTACATCCTTGAGTGCTGGCGAATTCAGTTGCAAGGGCAGACGATGGACCTCTTTGGGCATAGGAGACACAAAGCCCAAGGGTATTGTATTGTTCGATAACGGCGCGAGCCGGCCGAGACTATTGCAACCCACTCATCAAGTCATCTGACACCGAATGGGTCTTCGGGTCGACGTATGTTGTCGGGCGTTCAGGGAACAAAGAATTCCAGAACAGGGTCGACAAGTTACCATCAGTCTGCAATGATATTGGTAATATGAGAACTGGCCAACCGTCTAATCGGAATCAAGAATGCATCCCTGTTACGCCTCAGCTCGAGAAAAAAGGAGCAGTAGCGGACATGTCTCTTTCCGAGTTTCCGTGGAATGTCTTGGATTTTGGCGTGCTCTTAGCCAACTGTCACCCTGGCTGGGGAATAACACCATAACCCTGGAGAACACAAATTGTCGGACCAACAAGGCTGGTCATTGCAGAGATTCGGATATATGCTGTTGTGGGTTATGAATTCAAGTCTATGTTGATTCTTTAGCGCAGTTGACGAAGGCTGAATAACCCGGACCAGTGGCCCAATTGGGTAACATTGATGTTCAAGTGCATGTTGCGGGAACGCCGTCAAGTCTGGCTAAGTCGAAGAGAGCAGGGATTGACATCCCTAATGACACGCAGTTAGCAGAACACAGGTCTACAAGGGACCTGCGCTATCGTGAGTGGGCGTAAGTTTCCCGTGCACGGGAGACGATCGACCAGGATGCAAGGACCTGGGGCCTGGGTCAGGTCTGCGGCAGCCGAGACCAAATATGCACACGATGCGGTACTACTGCATGCATGACGAGTGCTCGAACGTGTGTAGAAAGCGTGTGCTGGACGTAGCTATGTACTGTATATATGTGTCGTGTGCGTGTATGTGTGACAGGACAAGGCTGTCTGCTGCTAAATGTAGGCCGAATGAAATATGTGGCTTCGCGGGCTCTCTTGAATGACCAGACGGTCATCAAGTACCATCCTCTGTTGCCAATTGTACACACTGCTGGACTGTGGGTTGTGTCGTAATAGATCAGGACTCTTGTTTGTGTATGTACTTGTACATAAAGCAGTATCCGTAAGTACGGTAGCACCGCAACTACTGTAGAGCTAAGGCAGTCTAGTTCAGTATTGCAGACTCGAACGGACGTGGGTCTGCCCCAGAGGAAGGGTATCGAATTGGCGGTTTTGACGGCAATGAATTGAATTCTGTATGTACACAATTGCGCGTTACTGTACGGAACGGTACGATACGGAAGGGGCGCCGCTCTCGAGTTAGCAAGAGGTGATGTGAGGTGAACGTATGGATGACGGGTACTCTAACCATCGGACATTATCTGGATGGGTGCATTGCATTCGTCGTTGTCGTTGAAGAAGAAGCAAGGTTCTGTCCTGTTTGTCAGTTCAGTTCAGTACAGGGGAGTTGAGACACTGACAGGGATGAGTTCTAGGGTCCTCGCTTAGCACCATCACTTGTCACTTCAATTCAACACACCCTGGGGAGTCGTGTTTCGGCCTGGCTGGGCACGGCGACAATGGACAAGAGGAAAGAGGAAGGGAAGCAGAGTGTCCAATTTTTCTACGAACGCCTGCTACCATCTTTCAGGTTGATATGGATAGTATTGGGGCAGGTGCGAGCTTATAGGCTGATTTGCTGGGTACCTAGGGAAGGTACTTGGACTTAGGTTCCTACCTTACCTGAAGACTTTAAATTGAGTTCAGGCCTGTTTATGGAAAACAAGAATAGAAGGAGAGAAGCCGACAAAAGAAAAGTACCGCCTTCTTTCCTTCACCTCTCGTCACCTTACCTTACCTCACCTCACCTCCTCCTACCTGCCTCTACATCCATACGTCTAGATTCCTAACCGACAGGCAGCTTTGGTTTTTCGCCTCAGTTTTGATCCATGCCCTCCTTCCTATTCATTGCTTCTTTCAGGCAAATGATCACGCCCTAGGTCTCTTCCTTCCTTTCCTTTCTTCCCTGCCTTCCATCAGTTTGCCTTGATACCCATCCCACAGTCACGATACTTCCATTGCCAACTCAGGATATAATACCTGCTTAACCCCCAACTCCTCCAGTGCCTACCTGGTCTTACCTCTTACTCGCTAATACGGTGTTGTTCGCGGCTAAGCACCTGTATTCCCCACAGCACGTCCTAGTTCTGCGCCGTACCTGCAGTTTCATCTATTGATACCTATCACCATCAAGAGTGTCAGCAACTACCGAGCTCAGGGTCCATATCTAACCCTTTGTCTTTTCTCCCAATCCTTGTCTGCTTATGTTTATATTTCTTTCTTCCCTAATTATCAATATCTTACTATCGTCACTCGGCCACGTTGAGCGCGGTTGCCAATCTACATCAGACTTCTTGTTCACACAAGACAGTTGTCGATAAAGTCAACAGGACCTTTGTTCATTTACGCCTGGAAAGAGTTACAGTCCTCGTCGCAATTGATTACCTAAAAGCTGTATGTCTGGCCGAGTCAGGATTCGTTCTACTTCTAGCTTATTCTGACAGTGTGTTTTAGGCCTCCAACAGCGTTTATCCTGACCTAACGTATTGCACTACAGTGCTTATCTGGCTCGTCCTCCGGTACTTCTTCAGCCGTTTCACAGTTCGACTTACACCAGGCTCCATCGACAACCCACTCGATATTAGACCGGCTGCTTGTCTCGACCAATCAGTAGCCTTGGACTTCTAGCTCATTGTCTCCTTCACCTAGACTACGATATAGGACCCATCATATCCGCCATCTTCCCATTGTTTTCACCGCTGGAACTGTCTCTAGTTGCTTCCAGGCTGGACTTATACAGGACCTAGCGCTCGCTCCCTGTTGATCCTCTTGTGGCCCTTGCTGTTTCAACTCAACGGTCTGGTGCCAAGTGAGCTCAGCTACCCGCCATTAGACTCATTTATTCTCGACCTTTATTTCTGGTTCTTGCGAGGGCTGGTAACTGGGGCTTGACAGCAGAACTTACTTATGCCAGGCTGAGGTAGCCTGGTTATGAGAGTCGCTCGTTCTCCCCCTTTCACCTTATCCCCTTTGCAGCCATTGCTGATCCGAGCCGGCTGAACCGTTTCGAACTCTAGAGCCTTAAGCATAACTGACACATCGACTCGAATTGGTCATCAAACAACCATCATGTCGTTTCAATTCCAGAGCGTACGTTCATCGACCCCGCTCACTGACCTCTTGGCTTGAGCCTGGCGTATCCAGACTGCCAAACTCACTTAGTATCAGGCTAACAGAGTAGTACAGCCATTTCAACAGGAACAGTTCGACATATTCGAATGGCATCCCAAGTTCCTGTCCTGTCTGCGGTACTTTATCGATCATGCTCAGTATAGCCCTGCAGTTCAAACTGTAGCTGCTTGTGTAAACATTCACCTCCCTTTTCAGAAAGGCAACCCACATCCTGTAACTCCCACACACAATGGACCTTCTTCTTCGTCATCCTCTCGGGCATCAGGGTCTGGTAGTCTCCATTCCACTGCCCCCGCAGCCTCTTCAATCACTCTCATTCCCTACATTCGCCGTCTAATAGTCACCGGATTCGACACTCCCGCGGTTCTTCACGGCTTTTTTGGCGACGACTGGATACAAGGCATTGGACGCATACATGAAAGTGAGCGCAGAAACTATATGTTTGCCGCCAAGAGTGACAACTGGCTCAGAGTCAAGACTCAATATGATATGGACGACGGACAAACGGTCCCATTCCTCAGACCACTGCAAAACGTTACTGAAGACGAGATACAAGCTGCTGAATCGAACTGGAGCGAATGGCTTGCTATGCAAGATTGGATGCTTGGACCCAGGGCTCCGGATGATCCTAATGATCGTTTCGTCGCAATCAAGAAGGAACGCGACTGAGCGAGAAGATATGGCTAGAAGGTATTCGGTATGTACAGTGCTGATCGAAGGTGAATCTTGGAGATATAGGGCGAGAGGGTCCAAAATTTAGTTGATCTAGAAATATATGGATGGACTGGACTCTGGAAATGGAGCAAGGGAACAAAGCAGTTGGATCTAAAGAGAGGTAGGGAACCAGCACCTACACTTGCATCTTCTTCAGCATAGCGTTGCCACTTTACTGGTTTGGTCAAGACTTCCGAGATTATATATAATTTTTATTCCTCGCCCTGGTATCGCCGTCAAATCCGTAGTCCATGTCTATCTGTGTAAGGGGTTGGATCGGTATATACATAGGTAGAGGATCAGCCAGCCCTTCTTTCATCTGACTGAGCTTGAGGTACCTATAAGAGGTCGAAAGACGTATAGCACTGGCCGGTTGAACGCCCCTTCAAAGCTAAAATGCCCATCCTTTCCCTTTGTTACCCATGTGCCAAACAAAAAAAGAAACCAAGCCTCCTTTTTTCCCAGCAGACTTCATACAGCAAACAAAGCCGCATAAGTTCCATCAAGAGATGTTCTCTTCTCCTGCTTCGGTTTCTTGTTCCCTAACTTCCATCTGGGTTGACCAAATAGTCCTCCTAAATCGTAGGTGGCCGCTTCCTCCTCCTGTCTCCAACGCCTTGGTGAGAAATACCATCACCATCCCCAATCATATTCTTTCCGCTCTTCTCACGAAACAAATGCTCGGTGTGCCCAAAGACGATAATGATAGTGCTAGGGTAATGCGGGTATCGAAGGAAAGACGGAAGAGGGATATAAAAGAAAATTGTTGTATTATAATAGTATCAGTTGAGGAAGCCCTTACAAGCCGCAGTGCCACAGAGACAAGGGATGCGGTCGGTGCTGCCGATTTCGCGTTCGAATTTGTAATCGTACGTCAGCTCTTCGTCTGTGATATTGTGTTAGCGATATGTACGTGAACGGTGATAAAGAATAATGGTACGTACTCATGGCAATGTCGCGCAACGCATAGATAACAATGCGCTTGCTTCCCTCAACCTTGATAATCTTGGCAGTACAGTTGGGCATACAACTGTGGTTGATGAATCGCGCAATGCCACCCTTCTTGGTTGCGTCGATGACAGTATTGTCATCAATACGAAACAAATAACTGCTTCCGATGCCACTCTTGAGGTAACGATTCTCGCGAATTTCGGAGATCTGCTGTCGAACCTGCTCTCCGACATACTCGATGATCATGTCGTCCTTTGCAATGTTCTCCATAGCGTACAAGCCCCAGTTGTGAATAGCCGAGCGAGCAAACTTGACGGGCTTCTTGCGCTTCTTGAGCTGATTGAATTTGAACACATCAGAGTCTTGGCCGAGGGTCTTCTTTTGATCGTTAAGGTCAGCAACGTAGCGACGGTTGGTAGCGCGATTCGCTCGTGAATTTCCTTTAGCGACCAATTTCTCGGCAGCGATTCTGGCGGCTTCCGCAGCATCTGCAGCGGCATCCTTACCCGCCTTGTTGCGAGCTTCTCGTTCTTGTCTTGCCTTCTGCACCTTGATATGGTGAGGTAGGTACTTGGACTTCTCGGAGTTAAGGATTTTCTTGACACCTTCAGCGCGGGCGCAGCCAGTTGGATTGGGCACATAGTATCCTCCAATGGTGACAGGTGAGTCCAGCGTGCGATTTGCAGAGTTGAGTTCCCTGATGCGATTGCGAGTCCACAACCACAACTCCGGGTTGCCTATTTCCTTAGCATTGAACCTCCTGGCAAGCTTGGCCAAATGAGGCGTATCTGAAGCGCCCACTGTTATGCCTTGGAATACCGGTAAGTCGGGGTTGACACCGTCCCGTAACTGAAGGGCGGGGGTCAAGGGCTCAGTAGCAAAGAGCTTCTCGTCAAACTTCTCTGGAACCACTTCTTCCACGGACAGTTTCTCAGTCTTCTCTTGCTTAACTTGAGAGGATTCCTGGACTTCTTCTTCATCACGCTGGGAATCTGTCTCAGTTTGAGATTTCAATGCCTCAGACTCCTCAAATGCTGCCTTCTTTGTCTTCTTGGTTTTCGCAGCTCGCTTCTTCAAAGGCTTGCCAATTGCTGAGGCTGGGGTTTCAGAGCGAGAAATTCTACTTTCAGCATCTTCGCCCGTTTCTGGCTCAGGTATAATATCGACAGAATCTTCACGTGTCTCAAATCCTGAACCAAGCGCTTTAAGTTTGACGCCAAATAGTTCCTCGTCCGATTTCTTGTGGCGTTTCGACCCTGGTCCGAATGAAGCCTCTAGTTTTCGCTTTCTGGAGGCTGCCGAATCTGCTATGGCAAAGCTGGCCTCGGTCATCGAGTCATCCTCGCCTTGCTCCCATGGGACAAAATCATCCTTGGAAGCTTCATCATCGGTGCTCATTCGGCTGCGAGGGCGAGATTCAGCCTCTTCGGTTTCTCGAGCTAGCAGCGCAGGAGTATCTGTATCGTCGTCGGATTCGGCATCGCTGTCGAGGCTTCGTAGACGGTGGTGGAGGGAGCGGAACGCATTTCGGGCAACAGGTACGCGCGTTCTAGCGAACGGATCCTTGAAGGCACTCTTTTGCGCCTGACCCTTAGTCTTGGTCTTGCGAATTCTCGGGAGAGCTTTAGGTTCGAGCCGGCCAGTTCGACGCTCGATAGGGTCAGCGCGGGAGTTGGGTGTAGCCACACGGGAGCTGTCGTTGCCATCCTCGATGCTGGGTATCTCTAGAATATCATCAGGATGCTCAATGTTCAACTTTCGTCGTTTGGCGGCATGGTTGGCAGGATCTAGAAAGTCTGAGAGAGCAGGCGCCGCGAGCTTGGTGCGAATATGTCGGATAAGATGTTCCGTCATCTCAAGTCGAACACGTTCCACAGCCTCAGTCACAGGGTCAAAGTGCTTAGCTCTTTGCTTCTTCTCCTCTTCAAGATCCGCTTCTTCCTCGCGTCGTCGTCGATCCTTCTCATCACGATATCGCGGCTCGGCATGTGCCTTTCGATCGGGGCTTGCGCTAGAACGTCGACGACCAGAAGCATCTTCGCGACGAGGACGGGGTAGGCAAAGCTGCATAGTCATGTCATAGTTAAAAAATTCGGTGTGGTTGACAGCTCGAAAGCATCGCTCGGCTTCTGTCTTTCCAGTAAACGAATTGCGGAAGACAATAAAATAACCCGACTTGTCCACGCGAATTTCCTCGAAGCCGTAATTCTTAAGTCGTTTCTTCATATGTGGAAGGATACTTGGTAAGACTGGGACACTATCACCTGTGACATAAATATATGGATCGTCCGCGAGTTTTTGTGAGAGATTCGAAGGTTCAATGTTGAGTCCTTTGACTTGCGAACCAACCAAGGGTAGTTGTGGTGTACCAGGGGGGATGGATTGTCGCTGAGCCGATGGACCTTTAGGAGCGGTTGGAGGAGGTCTCGTAAAACCTGGAGCTGTCCCAGATTTGGGACCAGTCGGGGGTGCTTTGGCTGCAAGGGCAATTCTTTCCTGCTCGATTCTTTCGAATTTTTCCTTTTCTTTCTTGAGATGCTCTTCCAGCATGCGCCGACTTTTACGGCCTTCGGCGTCGTATTGCACATGAACAAAGTCTGCGTCGACCTTGATGTTACGGGTTCGCACAGCTTTGCGAGCTGCGTCAATAGCAGACACATGCGGACGATCGGGTCGCTTAGAATCTCGGTATCGAATTGTCGCGAATCCAAGATAACTACCAGTCTCTGGGTGCATCTTGTTGCTGCTCTCTGCTATCTCACCGAAAGTTGCAAAGATGGCCGTCACCTTGCTGAAAGGAATGAGTGGGTTATATCTGGTCACGACAATCTGTGTAGGTGGACCGGGGCCAATCGAAGTCTTGGGGTCATATGGATAAGGCTTGATATTCTCAGGCGCTGTCCGTAGTCGTGATTTTGGTAGGTAGTAATCGGTATTGATATAACCGAGGCGACCATCCGACCGAGCCAGTCGGGGGTCTTTAGGGGGGGCGTCATCGTCCTAATCAATTCATTAGCCATGAGTTTCTTCACCACAGATGACGCCCCCCCTAAGGAGGGATGTTATAGTTATACGTACTCGACCGAATTCTTGATATGTGGGCTTGGCGCTTTTGCTGACGCTCTTATTGTGTACTCGATCGAGGAGCGGATCATATGTGCACTTGAGGCCCTTTACGGAGGGCAAAGGGTCTCGAGCCGGAATGCGCTCATTGGAAGGAAGTCCGTTTGATATCGAGACATTAGGGCCAGTGGCCGGTGAGTTTCGAGAAGGCTGTCTCGCGGCCTGGTCGGGGTTCTGGTATGTAGACATATCTGGCTTTGCGGCGACTGGGGCCGAGGAGCTTGGGGATTCTTTGGAGGCGCTTGGGGTAAGGCTCGAGGTGGGAAGACGGGACGAAGCTGCAGTCGCCGCGGTACCGTGGCGGGCGGATGTGCTAAATATCGATGAAGCCGCGCTGCTGTATGAGCTGGCCGAGTCGACGGTGCCAGGAATGTCTGTGAATGGGGATTCGGTATCGTCAGGTTGTGTTGGCATAGCATCCGACGCAGAAACAATGCCGTTTTGGCTGGTATTCGCGTCGGCTCCTATCACAGCTGTTCCTGTTGTAGGGTCGGTTTGACCGTTGATAGAGGCCGATACCGATGCTGTTTTAGAACGATCGTGGTCTCTAACCTGGTCTGCACGAGTTTGAGCCTGAGCTTTTACCTTTGGAGCAGTGGGGAAGAACTCCGCGAAGCTCGCGCCGAGCGGGCGAGTCATCGTGACGATGCGCTCTTCCTACTTCTTCCCCCGTGCTTCTACCATGATATGATTGCGTTGAAGTGTCGAAAGGCACACCGATTGGTGAGAATCCTGACCAGGCGGCGATTCCAGGCGGATTGTGTCGGTTGTGGTAGCGATTATGTGGAAAGAGTTGAGATGTTGAAGCAGGCTTCACGCGACAGATCAAACGTGAAGTTGAATGTGGCGGAGCGGCGTTATCCACCGACTCTAGAAGCAGTAAAGAAGTGGGAAAAGACTGTCGACGATCTGAAAAGTAGCGTGGGTCAAATTATTGATGCGCGCGACCAAGGTAGAGACGGTATCTGATAGCAATCTCGAAGCGTTGGAATGTAGCGAAGGGGGGGAAGAAGGAAAAAATTGGCTGACGACCAAGGAAGTTAGGTAGGTACAGTAGTTGACGATTGATCTGGCGTCCAGTTTGCTTTGACTTTTGGTTCAGGGATGAGTAGCGTTAACTTAGCGGTAAGGGAGCCACACTTTGGGGTGGCTTGTAGGATAAATACTGCTGTGATTGGCAGTCGTGTTTGGTGTCAATACACGGTTGTCGGGGTATCGTTTGGTTGCCAATTAATGCGGATGTCCCACTCAGGTACAACCAAACCAGCCAGGGCTGTTCGAGTGACAGGATCCAACGTATTAAAGGTTTATTCATCTATATAATAAAGCCTGCAAATACCCTCCTGCTGGAAGTCTCTTTGTCCTATCAAACTATCCATTGTGACAAAAGTCATTTGTTTCTTTTGTAACCATTTGCTAAACGAAGTGCCCTACTCAGTATAGTACAGATGTTGATGTCGATGTCATCGTGCATGAAAGGAGACAGGGCTTTATTCCAGAATCAGGATAACAAAGATCGAGTGAATTGCTCTCGCTCTTTAACAAAGGCAAAATGTTTTATTTGGCTAAATCAAGAGTCACTATGATTCCCCAATATCTTTGTGATTTCCATGTCATTTAGATAAAACGGAATTCTAAATTAAGACGCAGTTGGTGCATATCTTATTTCCTAACCTACACTCAATGGCGTACAAAGGTAGGATTACTCGACTGGCACTTGGCCCAACTTTAACAATGAAACACCAGATGATAAGTCATTATGGGAGGAAATTCATTCATCGCCAAAGCATGGCGGAGCCAGCTGGTACTCGATAAGTAAAGAAACTCGATTAGCATACAATGTAAAAAATCATGGCCTATGTGTCTTGAGCCAGAACCCGCAAACTCCACCCCATCAGCTTATACGCATTTCTTGATGAGCTTGTTCCTAAACGCCAACCCTTTTTAATAATACAATATACTGAGCTTAAAAGTCAAACTTGAGCTCAAACTCCTCATCTTCATCATCGGAAATGTGGAGAGGCTGGCTCAGTGGTGGAAGGTCATCATCTTCACCATCCTCATCAAAGATCGACATGAACTGAGGTCGAGGCTTGATCTCCTGCTCCTTCTGGCGGAGACGTGCCGGAGTAATGGTCAGATCAGACTGTACAGAGCTCACTGTCTCTGAATGCTTGACTGCACGCCGTGTTCCCACAGGCGCAGCAGCTTCACGCCGTTGAGCGCCGACCATGGACGACGCGGACCTTCCACGGTTGTAGCCAATAGTAGTTCGTGACGCAGCCTCGCCTGTAGCACTCTCAGCTCGTGATGCTTTCGTAGGGACGATGCTCCGAGCAGCAGGCTTTCTGCCCTGATACAAGCCCGTCAAAGGCTTTCGTGGCTTTGTGCTTCGGACTACTGTAGGGAGCCTTTTGTTACTGCTGATGTCTGAGTGAATGGACAAAGCAGAGGCAGCACGTCTCGAAGCCAGACTGGATGGCTGTTTGTTTCGAATGCTGTTGACCTTACGTTCCGACGCATCCAAAATAGAAGTCTTGGATGCTGGCTTCTTGATCTGCTCTTCATCATCTGACAAATCGTTGATGTTGAAAGTCAAAGCATCTGTCTCTTGTTTGTTCTTCTGCTCAGCCCTGCTTGCGACCCTTTTCATAGTTTCAGCAAACTCCCTATCTCGTCGAGAAACACCCTCATCGTCGACAGGATTGTAAAAGTGCTGGTAGTATCCCTTGAACAGATTGTCCTTCTTCAATCCCTCGAGCGTCAACATATCTCTGGGGAAGCAATCGGATTCATAAGGAAGGTCCTTGGGCTTTGGCGGGGCGTATTCAGGCTCCTCCTCCTGCGGTTCGATGGTCTTTTGTTCTTCTTTGAGTCGAATCTCAAGAGGCGCAAGGTCTATCGGTCGTTGTTTGGGCTTTTGAGCTGTTGGTTTGAGTGTCGTCTGTTCGATGTCCTTAACAAGGTTCTTCACACCCCCCAACTGCCCATTCTTAGCCTTGGCATTGGTGGTTTTGTTACCCAGAGGAGCTCGACTACGGCCTCCTGCGTTGAGAAACTGTATTAGCCAATTGCTTTCTGTTTCTAGGACGTCATTCATACCCATTGGAGTGACCATGGCTTGTCGAGTTCCATTGCCTTTGTTTATGGTCTTCACCCCGCCTTTGCCAGTAAAGGCAGTTGGGGCATTCTCGTCATGCTGAGGGAAACGAGAAGGCGTCTTGGGAAATCGTGAATTGTGCTGCTGTTTCGTTGGGATCTGCTGGCTTAGAACCAGGTTCTCTTGGTCACGATGCGCCGCCAACATGATGGCTACAATAAGCGAAACAAGAGCTTAGAATATCGTTGTCTTTGAATAGAATTAGGCAGATGCTGGTCTCGTCATTGGAATTTGATTTAATCAAAGAGGTAATTACGCGTGGAAGATGAAAGGGTCCGATGCTCATCTGCCAGGACCTCCAAGGCCGGGATGTTTTGGTCGGCCTGTGCTGGCTGGCGGGGCAACGGGCACCTTTTGGGTGCTTCCTCCCTGGAAAGTGCCGGCATGTGAGCTTTGAGCGCCACAGGCGAGCGACCGCCACAAGCCAATGAGGCTGGATCCGACGGTGACCTCCACCGTAGTTCAATTGTGGAGGGGCATCACTCCTCCCCTTTCTTGATAGGTACTTAACCGCCTCATCTTACATCCGAACAACGCGACCTTTATATCATCGCCAGTTTCCCTTCCGCTTTTTTTTCTTCAACCAAACCTAATCTTTCTTCGCTCATCAAAATGGATCGCATCAAGGAGGTCAGTCACCAAATAGCTCCTTGTTACCTACCCCGCCATGCAGCCCCAAAAGGAAGGGACCGTTGTGGAGGGGTAGACTTATCGTCGACCCATGCTAACCTGGTGATGGTGGATAGAAAATGAACCAGCTCCGTCTGGAGGCCGACGAGGCCAGCGGCAAGGTCGAGGAGCTTCAGAACAAGGTCAAGGTTCTCGAGCAGGAGAACCTGTCTAAGGAGCAAGAGATTACCTCCCTGCAGCACAAGAACAACCTCCTCGAAGGCGAGGTCGAGAAGCTCGAGAACGCCGTCAAGGACTTCAAGAAGGCCGCCGATGAGGGACAACAGCACGGAACCCAGAACGAGACTCTCCAGCGAAGACTGCAGCTCCTTGAGGAGGAGGCCGAGAACTCCGACAAGACTCTTCGTGATGCCAACGAGAAGTACGCTCAACCCCCTTTAGCGAGCCCCCTTTACCGCCATTTCGACAACCACCAAATTTCCGCATAATAAATGGTATATTGGCTAACAAAGCGATTTTACAGGCTCCGACAGACCGATGTCAAGGCTGGACACTTTGAGCGCAAGGTCCAAGCTCTTGAGAGCGAGCGTGACCAGTGGGAGACCAAGTACGAGGATATGTCGCAGAAGTACAACGCTCTGCAGAAGGAGTTGGAGGAGCTCCAGGCCGAGATTGGCAACATCTAATCGAACCTCGATATTTATACACTTGCGCCGGTTGCAGGATGTTTGTTAGCATGTTCCTCAACCATCAGTATACTCGTTTAGCTGTATGATGGTTTGGTTGCAGGGATCTCTCAGTATTGGCCAGATGAGCGAATGAAACAGTTTCCGCATGTCATGTTACGTTTCTACTAGCTGCTTGAAGCTGGCTTTTCTCAAGGGTATCTTTTGTAAATGGTGCGCCTGTTTGCGTCCTTCTCTGTTGTCCAAATCCATTGAGCCCAAACAAATTTAGCCCGACCTTCTTGCTGCCATTTTGCTCTTTTGGGCTCTAACCTTCCTGTCTGCAAGTTGTCTTTCAAACTTGGTGTCGTATCTGAACTTCTTCTTCTTCTTCTTGGGTTCCCGCCGGGCCTTCTTTACATCATCCTTTGTCTCTTCAACCTTCTTATCTTCGCTCTTATCTTCGCTGTCGAACTGCGGTTTCTGAAATCCGTCTCTTGTTACCGAAACAGACTCAACCTTGACTGTCGTGTAACGATCCTCATCAATGTACTCTTCTTCGTGGTCGACAATGTCAAGCTCAGGCTGGTCAGGGATGCCGCCCCATTCTTCGTCGTCTTCTTCTTCAGAATCGAGGCCAACAGCACCAGCAGCCTCTGACTCTTTTAGTAATCGATTTACGGTCTGTACGTGCTCTTCAACTTCGCGTTTTCGATCTTCCCGTATCTAGACAACACATGTTAGCATAATCTGAATATTGAGAACCATCAACCAATTTTGCACGTTGACGTACCTGCTTTCGCATGTCAAGCTTCTCCTGACGAGCTCTCTTAGCAGCCTCCTCCTGCGCATTTTTGATACGTTGTTGCTTGCGCTTATGGAAGCCAGTTAAATATTCTTGTCGCGCATCGAAGTCGAAATTTACTTCTTCAACAGCAGATGTTGCTTTTCGCTTCTTGTACTGTGGCGGAAGAACGCTCTTCTTGGGCCTCGGTTTGGCGAACATGATTCCTTTTAAAGACAAAAATGTCCAAAGTGCAATTGTAGTGTAAAATTATAACGAGTGAACTATTTTATCGGCTGGCATCGTTCCTAAACATTCAGAAAATCCACTGTCGCGAAAGTTTCCAGGGTCGCCCCACAGCATACGCTCACCGAGGTGTGCACCAACCGGGTCTTTGCGTCTATCGATGCGGTTACGTAAGGTGGCTGCTACTGCATCAGCTCTCTTGATGCTACCATTATCATCACAAGCTGGAATCGACAGGCAGACACAACGCCCAATATCCAGCAAATATCATCCAAGATGCGTCTCCAAATTCTAACCGGCGCTCTTGCGCTCAGTGGCTCAGCTGCTGCTTTCTCCGATTCATGGCCCCTTGTCATGTTCTCTACCTCCCAGTATGACGCGCCCCCGTGTCCCATACTTCGAGCTCCCTGCTGAACGATGACGATAGGTTTTCCGATGCACCCAGCAGCAACCAACTTCAGACGCGATCTCAGGCCCTCGAGCAGGTCAAGGACCTTTTGACTTCATGTCCGACCGACAACTACGTCTTGATTGCACAAGAAGGCGCCAACGCAGCCGACATTCGACGACCGGACGCCAAGTCCAACCTTCACCAAGCTATCGCGCGCAAGGAGATCCAGGGCAAGTTCATTGTGCCTGAGGTCATCGGAGAATCGATTGATGCGGATGCGATTCAAGATTATATCCAGACGGCGTGTTATGAGCAGGCAAAGAAGGTCGAGCCTCATTTCACCCTTATTAAGGCGGAAGACGATAAGGGTTAGTCACCGAAGTAATTCATTGTACCAGATGGGATATTGACGTATTACAGAAGCTACCAAGCAGTGGGCCTCGAACGAAAAGTGGATGAAAGACTCCTACACCGTTCTGTTTGTCGGTACACCCTCCACCAAGGCCAAGACCGCCTCTACATCGAAGAAGGCTTCCGGCTCCGAGAAGACCATCTACGAGTCCGAATTCATCGAGCCTCTGCACATGGACTTGAAGCGTGATGTCTCGGATGGTTCCAAGGCTGGCAATAACACCCGTGATACTCGTGGCTTGTTCGAGAAGTACCAGTTCTTCACTCCTGGTAAGTCTCTATCTCTTCTTCATGCAAAGTTACACGACTTACTAACATGATCGAGGTATCTTCATGGCTCTCATCACCGCTATCGTTCTATTCTCCATCCTAGGTGTCGGTCTCCGGGCTCTGGCTAGTCTCGAGGTCTCCTACGGCGCTTTCGAGAAGGATATGGGACCCGCTGCGCAGAAGAAGCAGCAGTAATTATCTGTACTTGGTCAATGAGCGCTGTTCATGTGTAAATCTTCCATGCGGGACGATGCTTGTATATCAGATTATGGAGTTAGGGTTTCTTTGGTGTGACTTGATGGGAGGATCAGTATCGGCATATAACGTTGCGAGCATCAATTGTAGACAGATCATAGGACGAGGACCTAATTTGGGCCTCGATTCAAGTTTATTGAGTGCTTTTCCAGATGAGATTCGAAGCTGTAATAAAATTCAACGCCAAACTCCGTCGTGATACCTCTCTAGTCATGAACACTAGATCCCTCTACTAGTGGTTATGCATCCCGTAGGACACTCGCATCTAATGACGTTTGCAGAGCAGGACTTATCACCTCTACACCAAGTGGCTGGGTAGCAAGAAGTTGGCGATGCCCTCCTTGACGGCGTACTCATGTCCGCAGCTCCCACAGACGAGCTTTCCCTCGGACATTTGCGTCTCGAGAAGAAGATGGTGAAGATCCTTGAGTGTCTTATCATCACCCTGGAGCTCAACTGCTGTAGGAGGCTGCTCAGGTAGTTGAGGGAAACCCAACTGTAACAGAAAAGTGTCAGGAAATCGTTTCAAACACAGAAACCAAGTTTCATCAATGTGCTATGACTTCAAACTCACCTCAGAGGCTGTCGTGCGGAGCGCCTCCCAGTCGAGCCGGGGCAGGACGTTGATGATCATGTCGGGGTTCAACTCAATATCGTCCTGGACGAGTTCTGCGTCCTTGGGGTGAAGAGGGTAGGAATCCTTGGAAGACCTGCAGGCCTTGACGGCGCAAGTGAGGAAGTTGAGACTGAGAACCTTCATTTTGTCGACCTTGCAGAGAAGCTATCGTGTAAATGGAGAATGTATAGCCGTCTGAGATAACTGGAACCTTGAATTTGTCGTTGTCTTGTACTTACAACTTTTTTTTCTTCTATGGCGGGGGCGCCGTTCGGTGATGAGCCACCAGCCCCACGTGACAGGGATATCTGTAGATGAATAGGTTACCACGAACACTGCTACGAGATACTAAAGTTTACTATAATTTAGGTTCATGGATCACATTGAGGGACAAAAGCGACTGGAATGACCAAAAAGTATTTATGTTTGATGTGTTTGGTATTGTGTTGATTGTACTGTCTTATCGTTTATAGGATGCCGAGTCTCGAGTCGCTTAGAATCGAGAGCGCTGTCGGGCGCTGCGGAGACCAACAAAGACGACACCAGCAAAGATGGCGAAAAGGCCAATCTTTTGCAGGGGAGACCATCCAGTGGAAACTGCTTCCGCAGCGAATTCAGATGTGCCGTGGAGGTCTAACGAGACGAAGGCTAAGCATCAGCATATCCTGCCTTTTTGGGGAGTTTATCAATGGTGGCGAGACAACGAGCAGCACAAGTGCAGAACAGATGTCGCCTCTTAGAGCTCAACGTGAATACCTTCGGGGGGAACCTCAAGCTCGCCACTCTTGGCGATCTTGACAGCTTCGACGGGCTTGTCAGCTCCGGCAGTCTTGGTGTTCTCAATCTTCTCGATAACTTCGTAGCCCTCGAGGACCTCACCGAAGACAACGTGTCGGCCATCGAGCCACCTAGGGATATTTGTTAACATCGTAATACAATTGATAAGCCAGGAATGGGTTGCGCTTACGAGGTGACAACGGTGGTAATGAAGAACTGGGAGCCGTTGGTGTCGCGACCAGCGTTGGCCATAGAGAGAAGACCCTTCTTGGTGTGCTTGAGCTTGAAGTTCTCGTCCTTGAAACGGTCGCCGTAGACTGAAGATGTCGTTAGTCATTGAACCTTTGAGTCGAGACGAGGCCATCACATACTAGACTTGCCACCAGTGCCGTCACCCTTGGTGAAGTCACCACCCTGGATCATAAAGTTCTTGATGACACGGTGGAAAGAAGAGCCCTCGTAACCGAAACCCTTCTCGCCGGTAGCCAGAGCGCGGAAGTTCTCAGTGGTCTCGGGGACAGTCTTGCCGTAGAGACCCATGACAACACGACCGAGAGGCTTCTCGTCCTGGCCCTGGACAATGTCGAAGTAGACCTTGTGGGTGATCTTGGGACCCTTGGCAGCCTCGGCCGTCTGGGCGAGGAAGAGGAGGCCGAGCCCCAGGAACAGGGCCGACACGAAAAGGCGACGAAAGTTGAACATGATTGTTGTTTCTCTGCCTCTCAATTGATGATGGTGCAAAGAATACAGAACAGAAACAAAGAAGGTTGGAGAGAGCAAGCTCGGAGGAGGGGACACTTATACCATAGGTAGACCGCTGACCGGGGCCGGGGGTAGCTGGAGAGACCCGCGCGACCTACCTAAACTGCGTGCAGATGGTCCCCCGCCACGGCCGGACTGGGAGTGGAGAGCTCACTCAGCGTTCCAGCACGTTTCAGCGGCTAAAGCCACCGTTGTAGGGAGTTCATTCATTGGTGCCCTGCTGTCTGTCGGGGTAAATGGTAACAAAAAAGATAAGACATCTACAGCAGCTTGATGTCCGAGAGCCTCACTAACTTTTATGTCAGACATCCCTTGTCACAGCTCACCTCACCAATTGTCCCCACTCCGCCCGAGCTCCCCAGTGGACTTTTTGGTCTTGTACCTCCCAGTGAACAGAGGATCGAAGGATTAACCCGAGTTTTACCGAATTGCCCATCTTTTTCCAATTGCACGTCAGGTTCGCTTGGAATTCGAGATCGAGGCATGCGATTGTGATACCCACGATAATCAGTCACCATGGTATGTTTGTGCCAGTTCTTTCTTTTCTGAGTCACAGGTAACTAACAGTGCATTAGGTCTTTCTTCTAGGCGTCAACTTCGGCGAGCAGAAGCTCGTCAAGGTAAGTCCTTAAAACGACCATCGATCGCTCTTCACGTTCTCACATGATCCTCCGATAGAAAGCCCTTGAGTCCTTCTACGCTCTTGGACCTACGACATCTGCACGAATCATGGCCAAGTACTCGATCCATAAGCTCGCCAAGGTCGGATCCCTGGCTCCCCGAACCGTCACTTCCATCACAGCCGAGTTATCGCAAATGACCATCGAAACGGACGCAAGGCGCTTGGTTCAAGAGAACATTCGACGACTAAAGGATATGGGATCATACCGTGGTAGACGTCACGCAATGGGTCTGCCGGTGCGAGGTCAACGAACAAGAACACAGACAGCAACGGCCAACAGACTCAACAGGGTGGAGCGAAGAGGTTAAACAAATCATTGCGAAAATGGGTTGTCTGGCTTTGGGCCTGAGAGACGGCCTGAATGTTGAAATCACAATATAATAGCATATGGAATGCTATAAGGGGAGATACCCCAAGGAGACTACGCAAGCCTGGCTATCTCCTTGTTGTACAAGACTTGTATATACAGTGTACGATCAAATGGAAACGAAATCTAGATCGCCGTGTTATTGAGCGCGGTATTAAAGACTCTACGTATCCTTTGAGGAAGCCTCTCTCGCCTCATCGAACTTCATCTTGGGCAGGTCATCCTCCAGTGGCAGCTGCCCCTTGTTCTGTAGTCGAGCTGCAACAGTGTCTACATCTTTCCATACTCGGAGCAGGTTACCACCAACAACCTTGGCTGCGTCAACATTGCTCACGCCCTGTCGAAGCAACTCGGCGATCAAATCCGGATACTTTGTAACGTCTTCGAGTCCCTTGGGCACTGTTGGAATGCCGTCAAAGTCGGTGCCGATACCAACATGGTCGTAGCCAATTAGGTTGCCAATGTAGATGATATGCTGAGCTGCATGTGCAAGAGTAGAGTTCTGTGGGTAGAAATCAGGCATACCGTTTTCATTCCCAGCATCAACGCAAGAAATGAAATCAGGGGCGATGTTAACCATGACAATAGAGTTGCGCTGCTTGACGAGCTGCAGAACATTGTCCTTGACGTTTCGTGGATGAGGGCAGACACTGTAGGCTGAGCTATGAGAGAAGATGACAGGGGCTTCAGAGCCAGTCCAGTCTTCTCCACCACCCAGAACGTCGAGCATAGTATCCTCACTGTCGAGCTTGGTTAAAAGTGCATTCATAAATATGGAATATGTGCGACATACCTGACGTGAGAGATATCAACAATCATACCAATGCGGTTCATCTCACGAACGAGCTTGCGACCCAGAGGACTGACCCCTCCCCACAGAGGTTCGGCCTTGCGAGTTGGGTTTTCTAATACAGCAGCATCGGCGAACTTGTTATGGCAGTTGTGAGTCAGGGTAGCATAGCGAACGCCGAGCTCATGGAATTTGCGAAGGTTGGCTGCTTTGTTGCCAATCTGGTGCAATCCCTCGATACCGAAGGGCGATATCAATTTGCCCTGCTTGAAGACCTCGAATGCATTAGAGCTGTCGACCTTTTCGGAGAAATGACTGGGATAGGCCGCCTGCAGCCTAGTCATGACATCGATCTGATCCAATGTGAACTGAACGCCTATGGATGGTTTGATTAGTAAAGTCCCGCTAGCCTGTCATATATGTAAACTCACTTGAAGCATAGTTCTCATCGGAGAAGTCAGAGCCGTTCGATGGGCAAGGGGCAAACAGACTCCAGAAAGCACCACCGCTCTGTCCCTGGCGAAGACGATGCAAATCCACATGTCCAGGAAGTTCACCTTTCTCAAAAGGCTGAGTAAAGTTCTCATCGTAGATCTGATTGCCATACGCAAACCGCAATACTATTGGGAAATCGACATGGCCATCTAAATCGATTCATATTAGTACAAGCCCAGTCACAGTAGAATAAGATAGAAATACCTATCAATGGGGTGGTAGTGAGAATATGACGTGCTCGCTCTTCGGGTGTCCGGAGACCACTGCCATAGCGAGGAACGCCATTATAACGATTGCTAACTGGCCGATGCAACAAGCTGAGTCCCAGAAGGGCAAGGAATATGGCTAGAATAGCCCTTCGAGGTGTCAACTTTGGTGAAGAAGGAGTCTCATGATAAGAATTGTTGTGAATCTGAGAGAGCAGTCCTCCCTTGACTGAACGGTTTGAGCCCCTGGTCCTCGAAGGCCGAGTGGTGTTGTATGCTAGGAGAGGTTCCTGCCGCCCCATCGTGATGTAACAAATGAAAGATAATTGCGTAAGAACAAACTGTTAGGAGAAACGAGTTGAAAGGGAAGTGCTGGCTAGTTAGGTGTATGATGTTGGATGAAACGAAGTCAAGATAGCGACGTTACAGGGGTGAGACGAGAGGTTGACGCCCTGGCACCTCGGGCTGACAAATATGATATGCTTCACTTAAAAGTTAAGTTGAGATGAAGGAGCTATCACCTGGAGATGACTTTATTGGACGATATTTGTGGTTGGAGGACTCGGCAATTGTAGCAACAGACTTATAGCTTCTCATATACATTCATTCGCATCTACCGGATGTGATGGGATAGCTTCACACGCAATGCTACTTGGAGGACTTCCCTGCTGGGAGACGTCCGTTAAGGTCTTGCTGGCGCTAGCTCAGGAACGTCGCCACAGTTCCACACAGAAAGACAGGGGTGCTCTTCAGCCACATGCATAAATCTTGTGCAATTGGGAGTTGACCCACCGTTCAATGGTACCGTTTTCGCAAAAGTCACCGTTTTTTCACAGACCACCGATCTTCGGAAAAGGAAAGCTCCATTCCGGCGGGCAGCCAGAGCAACTTTTTGGAGGGGCACCTCACTAACACGCCAGAAACACAACTGTATACTGAACATTGAACTTCCATTATAGCTCAGACAGGGAGTGTTTTTGGGAATGGAAGAGACTATATTGATAATCTGAAAGCTTCCAAAGTCCTTTTACAGTTTCAATCTCTTTGTAATCGCCCGTAACGTTGCATGGAAGGTGAAGGGAATATAGATTGAATATAAGTATGATACCCAACTTGAACTCAACAATCCAATTACGAAATACTTCCAGTGACTCACTCTCTGCGATTGTATCACCAGTGTCTATGCTACAAGTTCTGTACAGGTAACTGCTGTCTCAAAACAAATCCATATCAAGGAGTCCCTTCTTACTGGTAGTTCCGACCCTTCAATGAAGCCACCCAATTGGGTAAGGTCCAATCCACCCGAGGGGCAGAATACTGGCAGGTAGCGCGGGGCATTAATGTGATTCATCCCGCCTCAAACATCGTCTTTTCCTTACACCTCCTCCAAAAACTATCGCCATGGCTCTTTCAAACGAGGAGAGACTCGGTCTCATCAAGGAGAACCTCGCTGAGGTTCTCAACCCCGAAATCATTGAGGGCATTCTTGCCGAGGGTCGCAACCCCAAGATCTACTGGGGTAGGTTTAATCTTCCCTTGCGCGCCATGGCCTGCAAGCCAGACTGCTAACCTGAATACTTAAGGCACTGCAACCACCGGTCGACCTCACTGCGGTTACCTCGTCCCCGCTGTCAAGATCGCGCAGTACCTCGCCGCCGGATGCGAAGTTACCGTCCTCCTCGCCGATATCCATGGCTTCCTCGACAACCTCAAGGCTCCCATCGAGCTCGTTGAGAAGCGCGCCGAGTACTACAAGTTTGTTGTCGAGTCTATGTTGAAGTCTTGTGGAGTTTCTACCGACAAGCTGCGCTTCGTCCTCGGCAGCTCTTACCAGAAGACCCCCGACTATGTCATGGATTTGTACAAGTTGTCTTCAGTTGTCTCAGAACACGATGCCAAGAAGGCTGGCGCCGAGGTTGTCAAGCAGACCGGCAATGCACCTCTGAGCGGTCTCTTGTACCCTCTGCTGCAGGTGTTGGATGAGCAGTACCTTGACTGCGATGTTCAATTCGGCGGTGTTGACCAAAGGAAGCTGTTCGCTGCTGCTACTGAGTGGCTGCCCAAGCTCGGCTACCGAAAGGTATGGCTTTATGATACTGCGAAAATGGATATTGCTGACCTCCGACCTAGCGTGCCCATCTTATGAACCCCATGGTTGCCGGTCTTAACGGTAACAAGATGAGCTCAAGTGACGAGAGTATGTGCCTGTGAATCAACTGGTGCGACATGTGCTTACAGTCTATGTCAGACAGCAAGATTGACCTTTTGGACGCCCCCGAGGCAGTGACCAAGAAGATCCGCAAGGCCGAGTGTGTTCCCAAGGAGGTCGAGGGTAACGGTGTCTTGGCACTTGTAGAGTTTGTCCTACTGCCAGCCTCTGGCTTAAAGAATGGCACTCGAGAGTTCAAGGTCGAGAGACGGGACGCCGAGCCCCTTGTTTACAGCGACATTAAGCAAGTTCACGAGGATTACCAAAAGGATGTGGTATGTTCTGCTTCCAAATGGGTGTATTGATGGTGCTGTTTGCTAACATTCTGATTCAAGTTGACACCCCAGACCCTAAAGGCTGCTGTGACGGAAGGAATCCTTGCCCTGATGAACCCCATCCAGGCCGACTACCAGGCCTCGAAGGAGTGGCAAGAGGTCACCGTGAAGGCCTACCCCCCACCCGTGAAGAAGGAGAAGAAGGTCAAGAACCTGGGCACAAGATTCCCCGGTGCCAAGGGTGGTAAGGGCGGCGATGCTGCTGAGGTTACCAAGAAGGCTGAGGACCTTACCATCAAGGACGTGCAGGAGACCCAAGCCAACCCCACGGCCTAAAGATTTTAACGACAATATAGAACAAAAGCAGAATAAACAGTGAAATGATTACGATTAATTTAAAATAGATTTGCTTGAGTTCTGACAAAAGTCAGAACCTTCAATGGCTCTGTTATGAAGTTGCAACGGCTTACAGCTCTGAAGGCCGAAATAACATGGCGGTTAATATGTATAAACCCACGAAAGTATTGGATACTTGAAGAGAACAGCTACAGAATATAGTTCCATGAGAGTGGTTTTGAGAAACTAGAAGTGTAGTATATATTGAAGTAGAGTTATGGAATTATAAAATTAAATGTCTTGTATCCTCCCATCGAAGAATCCTTTCCCGTTAAGTCTTGGCCAGGGTTTTATACCAGTGTGTATGTACCCAGTTCACATATGTACTTCGCAAACATGAAGTTGATATGTTTACTGGCCTTCCTCCTCAAAACAGCAAGCATCGTAAACGGAGAACCAGTTATCCTCAGCTTCGAAACCCAAGGCCGAGATGCTATCATCATAGAGCTCGCACTGGCCAGCACCAGTGATACCCATGGCCTTGCAGTCCTCGTCATCTGAACAAGCAGCCTTGCATTCCTCGAGATCTAAGCCTCCAAGCATATCGATGAGGTTGTCACTGCTAGTGCTGAGCTGACCTGTCAAGCCGCAGGTAAGGCTAGACCTGGCAGGACAACCAGAGATAGCAGACGCGGATGTGGTGGTAGGTTCAGAGGATGTGGTTGTGGGAGCAGCTTCGGCGTCTGAGGAAGTTGAGGGAACCGAAGTAGTGGTGTGGAGAGTAGTACCAGGCTCTTGGGTGGTGGTGGGTACAGAGGATGTAGTCTCCTGAGAGGATTCGATGGTAGTTTCGGTGGTGAGAGAATCGGAAGCGATGGAAGTGGACTCGGTAGCAGGGGAGCCAGTTGTAGTAGCCTCCTCGTCAGTGGTGATAGGCGTGGTCTCAGCCTTTTCGGAGCTGGTGACTTCCACAGCGGTAGTGGAAATAGAAGCCTCTGTCTCGGACTTCCTCACAACATCCGAGTATGCGGCTGAGGTCTCGGTACTGGACTGAGCATATGCCGTAGTTGTCACTTGGGACTGAACAATGGAGCTTGAAGGAGGATGAGGTCTGCAAGGACCAGCTTGAGCTCCGATAGCAAGACCAGCCACAAGGGCAGTGATGAAAGTATTGACTGAAGGCATGATGAAGAGTAATCAAGTAGTAGAAGTGAATAGTAGGAAAGAATGGTTGATGATGATGAGATATCCAGCAGTGAATGAGTGAACTGCAAGCTCTCTATATAGTGAAGAAGAATGAACGACTCGTCTAGCAATACACGAAGAATCAGAAATCAAGAACCAATTCATGTTACCCTTTGAGGGAATATATGCTCCTTTATAAGGGAGTTTAGACCAGCACAACCCTCAAGATTGAATACAAGACCCCCCCAGTTTTGTAACCTGTGATCCATCCGAACAGTTCAACTTCAGCTCGCTCGGCCCTTTCTCTTGGCGAGAAGAAATGAAGTTCCCCATCTTCAGGTCGGTTAGAGGCTAGGAAGAAAGCACTTACACCAAGTTGATAACCTAGCGCCATGGCTGACGTCGAAGGGTGGGGAGATGCAGGTCCCCAAAGCTAAACATTGAAAGAAAAATAGCCAATTATTGACTGTGAAAGGAAGGGAGGAGCACGCCGAGGGCGCCAACAAAGGGCGCTACCGTATTTATTGATGGAACGATGGATCTTTTCAAGGGAACTCGTCTATTTTTTTCGCCGAAGATACCGGAAATAGCTATCCCTTTTACTTTTTGCCATGTTGGTCTACAGCGCTAATGTTACAAGGGCTTCTTCTTCTTCTTCTTCTTCTTCTTCTCCAACAGCTCATGTGGTTCTCTGTGTATAGCATCAAAGAGAGACATGATCTGGGGTAAACCGTTGTCTTTTTATCTGGGCATGTAGATCATGATCTGCATCGTTACAGATAAGGCTGAGCCAAGTTACTAGTATTATGGAACTCAATGATGTCCAATGTTACCTTGATACCTGCTCCAAGGTATTGCAAGGTTAGCACTGTTGTACAATAAATATGAGACTCGGGTAGAGGCTAGGTTATTACCTAACCTTGATCACCGCCCTAAAAGAGGAGGCCAAGTTCAGCTCAGCTTCCAAAACTTAACCGACCAACATATGGATGCGTTGTGTTGGGTGGTCCCTCCTCTTTTTGGCGACTCATTCATTCTCTTGTTTTCCTTTGACTGAAATTAGAATCTTGGCTCTCACCACAATCACCAAAGAAAAGGTCTCTTAGGGCCTTTGTTCAACCTACGCTACGGAGATATCTTTGTTTCGGACATTACATCGCCTAACTTAACCTACGGATGGTTAGCCTCTAGAGCCACCTACGCCAGACATCCACCTCACGATGGGTCGAGGACGAAGGTTAGCTTCATTCACCGACTTATCCCCAGAGCTCCTTCGTCAAATATTTGGACACTTTTGTTTACACTGCTGCCATAAAACAAAAGATTATCTCCTTCAAGAACCCGGCGTCTTGGCAGAGAATTACTGCAAAGGCCGCCAGGTGCTTGTGGCGTTATGTCTCGCCTCTAGACGCTTTCGCGATGTTAGCCAGGAAATACTCCATCATGTGTTTCTTATTGCACCTTCGGAATCGGATCTCGTGCGACAGCCTTCGGTGAAGACGTCATTGGCTCGTTTTATACGGACCATCGCCTCAAAGCGTCACCTTGCCGCGGCAACAAAGGCGGTTGTTTTCTTTCATTCGTTGGAGGCGCCCAATATTCAAATTCAAGATGCCCAAGAGTGCTTCAGACATGTTTCTGAGGTCACAGGAATCCAATCTTCAGAAGTCTGGGATCAAAGAAAGAATTTATCGCCTTACCGCGATGACTTTCTCCAAGAGCTGATACTTGGCAAGGCTCACTCTCAGTGTGACCCAAAGACGATAGAAGAGTCGCATGCGAACACTCTGGCTACCGAGTTGTTGTTCATTCTAGTTGCTTTGCTACCCAAACTCCCACATCTGGCTCTTGATGTCTCGATCCATCAGACCTTCGATCAATTAGAAGCACTGAAAGCTCTGGGAGTTTCCCGTCTACCACTGAAAGCACTTGAGATCAATGGGGCATCCGACACAGCATGGCTTTCTTCGCAGCTTATAAACTGTTCACCAGATCTTGAGACTCTTTGCCTATACCATTCGACGTCCTTGCCCGAGATATCGACTATCAAGACGCTTCATCTCCGGAAGTTTCGAATGAGCGTCAGGCAACTTGAATCGATTCTCTCTTCCTGTACTGGACAACTGAGAACTTTTACATACGAAGCTTCAGATATAGTCGCTTATCACGTCGATGAAAACTCTTCCTTCATGATACAAGCTCGCGATGCTATTCAAGCTCTCGAAAAACATAGCCAACGTCTCGAGAAGCTTCATCTTGATCTTCGTATCCGAACTTTTATGTGTCGAAATACAAAGATCGCACCGATGCCTAGCCTGGAAACCTTTACAACATTGCAAGAGCTCTTGATCAACACCGACGCGGTATATAACGACCAAAGCTCACAACTACAGTTGGCAGATGAGACATTGCTTACCCGATTCCTTCCTCCCAATATCGTGTCACTGCACCTTGTAGAACCCGAATTTCCCACCCGTCCTGCACGTATACAGAGAGGGTTGGCCGGCCTTGCGGAACTGAAGAGACGGGACTGGGGACGCTTTCCCAACCTCAAGCAAGTGACATGTGATAACAAGGAGATATTCAAAGAATACTACGTTAGGAATGTGCTCTCTGAGGTTGGGATTGATCTCATCTACAAAGAGTTTCCGAGGCCGGATTGGAGTTATGATCGAGGACATTTGATATCTCAGTATCCTCAAAAATATACAGCCATGCAGGAGAGGTTTGTGGAAGAGGAATTCTGGGTACATCGATGACATGGTCCGCCAATGCCAGATGAGTCTGATGAGGATCTGTAATAAGAACCTGTCTGATCAGTAGAAAGATAGAGGGTTTCTTACATGATCAAGGGACAAATCGACAGAGAAAGTAGATGTTCCAACAGTTGAATCGTTGACAAAGTACTCTTCCATTAGAGCCAAGACCTCGACCGTGAACAAGTGCTGAGGTGAGATGAATTTAGGCGAGCCCCTACTGCAGGATTCTTTGGCACTGCCATCAATATGAGGTTTAAATTCAGGGGACAAGTTTGCTTTTTGTTTGTATGGATGTAAATAAAAGCGGTGGCATCGATGGCAGTTAGTTACCTACTCCTCAGGGTATCAGAAGAATTGGCCCCAAGAGCTCAAGAGACGAAATAATTTGGTCACTTTATGTCAGCTAAGACTAGCACTTAGGCTAGTTTATTATGGTAGCCTAAGCCTTAGAGGACATTTCTGCTCCTGTAAAGTCATTTCATTCATGTTGTTGTCATAGGAGATGGTTGACAGTAACAGACCCCTGAATTAACCCAGGAACAATTATCTGAAACGTCCAGTGCCTCTAAAATTAGGTTCCCGCCTCCACTAATTCCATCCATACGAGGAATAGCAACATGCCCAACCCAACAACGGGCATCCATATCCTCAGGGGTCTGGGACTGATGATCAGGGCAACTCACCAGGTGGCTGGGAGAGCCTAATCCACTAACGAAAGCGAGCTGCCCAGTGAGAGGCCTCTGAAACCACCACAAATACCGTTTCCGTCTCTAGCTGTGGCTGTGACGTTCCAGTTAGTTAACAGCAATTAACGACTTTCAGATTGGCGATTGCAGGGAGAAAAACTTGGTCAAGAACAAGTCAATAAATCAATCAGCTGAACTGAACCACCTGTCAAAATAAAGTACATCTAAGCTCCATGTTGTGATATACCACAGAGGTATCAAAGCGCTGCCTTCGCATTGACTTCTGGGTAGCTCTTAAAATTGAAGAATGGATACTCAGACATCGTGTTCAACGTTGTCCGTTCCATCGTTCCTTCCTCCTGGGTTCAACCGTCCACTGTGGACTCGCTAAGCTCGGCTGTTGAAGGGCAGGAACAGAGTAGACAGGACAGTCTAGGACAGGCAAGAGAGACACGATCCACCTGCTTCCGGTTCGACCATGATTCTGTCTTCTTGTGAGTATCCGTACCTGCCTATAACATACAAGACTTCAAACTCCTCCAATCCTCTGCAATCTCTCTCTTCTCGACATTTTATCATTGAAGCTTGCTTCTGTCCTCCCACCATGATATGCATTCAAAAGGAGTGATTCTGCATCAAAAGTCCCCTGTTCATTAGCACCAAAACGTCACCACACCAATACGTACTTACAGCGGATGCCAATGCCAACCAAGCGCCAGCCACCTTCAAGCTAAAGACACAAGCCATCATCTCCATCTCATCCCAAATTCACCCATACGGACCCCAGTTCGCGACCTTCCGGTCCAGTCAACGCCCTGCTTTGCTCCCCCATTCAGCCTTGCTTATCCTTGCCCGTCGGTCTCAGTGTCAGCCCAAGCCAAGGAACAGAAAGTTCAACGAACCAAATCCAGATAAAAAAACACGGCACTGTACTGTACAGTCCATCTCTGTCCGTTTGTACGCTGCAGTATAGGTGTCCATGGTACCCCCCGATACGCAATCCCTGGCTCTCGCACAACAATAAATTCAACTTTCAACTGTGCTGCCCCTGCATCGGCAGTAGCCGTCTCACGAACCTAGCCTACGCAATACAGAGACACGCAGCGGATACGACCAACGGCGATCATCTGTCTGCATAACAACACCAACGGCCATTTCCTTCGACCGACATCACCCCCTATACTTGCGACGATCGCGACGACACTCTCTGTCACTCCCGCCCTCACGCCGACCTTCACGTTGCGAACCACTCATTCGCAAGCCCCCCACCGCTACAACGAGCTTAGGGCTCTTAGTCTTACTCTGATAAAATCAACAACGGGAACCGCAAAATCACCGCATCAATCGAAGGGGTTGGACAAGGCAGACCATCATGCCGGGGTTTGCTGATTCCTTCTGGTCGAGCGACTATGCTGCAGGACTGGGTGTCCTATTCACCAAGCTGCAACAAGGCGTCCACGAGAACAGACAAGTCCTGACTATCGCACGCCTACGTGCCGAGGCAGAGGAGACTTACGGCCAGCGCCTTGGCGATATTGCTCCTTCTGCTGACAAAATTGCCGGTGGCTTCAGTCGTGATGATGGAGCTACTGTTCGCAAGGTATGCGAACATGCCTCACTCCCGAAAGCGCTCAGTGCATGCGACGCAGTGCACTGTCGAACTATGCGATATAAGCGCTTTATCGATTGAGTTTACCGGCTAACGAATTTTAGGCCTTTGATGGCATGCGAACCGAGATGCAAGATGCTGCTCGTAACCATCGTCGCATCGCTCAAAGCATTCGCGACCTCGTTGTCAACCCTTTCTCCCGCTGGTGCGATGCCCACGAGGCTCGCATCCAAGACTCACAAGATGAGCTGCAGGTGCGAATCAAGGCTCATGACCGTCAAGCCGAAGCTGTCAAGAAGCTCCGATCCGTGTATTTCAACAAGTGTCGACTAGTGGAAGATCTCGAAGAGGAAAACAAACTCGCTTTCCAGGACCCCGAAACCAGCCCCAAAGCCAACCAGAATATCCCCGAAATTAAGGTCCAGCCTCACAAGGAAGAGGAGCCCGAGGAGGAAGAGCTTTATGAGATCGGCGACGATACTTATCAGCCCGAGCAAGTCAAGAAGATTCTTTCCCAAATGCTGTCCAGCATCAAGATGGGCGAGACCAAGGTGCCAATTCTGGGAACATACCTCAACACTTCTTCCGGTTCCGATATTGTCGAATATCTGCAGCGCAGCATGGGCAACATCAATGTCGCCTATGCCGAACGTATCGGTCAAGATCTCGTCAACAACGGTTTCCTTCGACTCATCGGTAACGTGGGCAGCACATTCGCCAACAGCTCCAAGATGTTCTACCAATGGCAATCCAAGGCTTTTACAATGGCTGGTGTCCCCGAAAAGAAATCTATCAACCGTACTTTCTCACTCGCTTCGACCGGATCTGAAGGTGGTGCCGACTCTCCCGTCGGAACAGTGAGCGAGTATCTCGCCAACTGGAAAGTTCTCAACAACGCTCATCCGAACGAGACCCCTAGCCAGCGCATGCAACGAGAAGCTCGTGAAGCTGATGAGAAGTACCGCGAAGGCGTTCGCAAGCTTGACGAGCTGCGATGTGAGCTTGAGGAATCAATCCATCTCCACCTCAAGTTCCTCGAGCGATGTGAGCTCGACCGCCTTAAAGCTGTCAAGACAGTCATCCTCGACTTTTCAGGCACCATTGGAAACGTCATTCCTAGCCTACAGTCTACTGTGGACCAGATGATGCTCTTCCAAGAGACCATTCAGCCTGAAAACGATCTGCGATATTTGCTTGAGAACTATCGCACTGGAAGCTTTGTGCCTAAGGTTGTGGTGTACGAGAATTACTACAATAAGGTGGACGAGCAGACGTTTGGTATCGACCTCGAAGCCCGTGCTAGAGCTGATAAGAAGCGAGTTCCCATGATTGTTACAACTATCCTGACCTATTTGGACCACCATTACCCTGATCTTGAAGGCGACGAAGCCAGGCGAGGCGTGTGGCTGCTGGAAGTCCCTCTATCACAGTCACACCGTCTGCGCTCCAAGGTCAATGATGGCAAGCCTGTTTCTCCTGATGTTTTTGATGAATTTGATATCCCCACGGTTGCTAGTTTGCTCAAGATCTACCTTCTGGAACTTCCTGGTAAGTACACGCATTTCACAAATTTAACGCATAATGCAAACTAACGCCGTATTAGATTCTTTGGTCTCATCTCATGTTTATGAGATTATCCGAACTATCTATTCCACACCCTCTACTGATGCTGACGAGTCCTCTCGTATTGCCGCTCTTCAGTCCACTCTGTCACAGCTCCGCCTTACTAACATTGCGACACTCGATGCTTGCATGAACCACTTCACTCGTCTTATCGACTTGACCTCTGCCGATGAAACATATGTTTCATCTCTCGCCTCTGCCTTGGCCCCTTGTATCCTGCGACCACGAACCGAAACATCTCTCACCATGGAAGAGAAGCACGCGTACAGACTGGTCCGAGATTTGTTCGCTCATAAGGACGCAATCTTCAGTGCCCTGAAGCGAATGTCCATGGTCAATCACTCGTCTTCTGTGGGTAGCAACAACCGACCTCGAGCCATTAGTACCGACGAAAGCAACCGTAAGGCCCTTATGGAAGAGCGGAATAGGGCTCTGCTTGAAAAGGCCAACGCAAGCCGAGGCCGTGATAAGAGCCCTGCCCCAGGCCCCCGCGGTCATCGCCGAGACCGTAGCACTGGCGGACCGGAGACCCGATTCCCCATTGCAAGCCCAACAGCAGCATCCGCTGTCGACCGACACCGCACCAGTCTCGGAGGAGTCATCAAGCGACAGAGTCTCGAGGTTCCCGAGCCTGATAGTACCGCACCAGTCAATGGTGAGGCAGAGAAGGAGAAGTCTGATACCGACTCAGAAAAGAGAGATAGCCGTGACAGCACAGGACGAACACCGACCAAATTCGTTGGCGGAAAGCGAGTTCCTGTGGTGCCGTCGACTCCTCCTTCTGATTCAAACCGCGGGGTGCAACTTGAAGATGCTCCGATGGAGGACTAGATGTACGCCACGGAGCCGACTTACAGCCCATGGTCGAAGGCAAACTTTTTGGTCCCACCAGATACAAATACGCCTTGATCTTCAACGGAGTTGGGAATTGGTACATAGCGGGGATGAAGTTATAGAAGGAAGAGGCTTGGGTTTGAGGCAACGTCAAAAGACTCGGCCATACAATCTACCTCGTCATGTGTATGCGTTAATGGAACATGAGCAAAAAAGAACAGTTGGTGTGCTTTTTTACTTGGTCTGTGTTTTCCTGGATCTAGTCTATTCTTGTATTTATCCTGTATCACGATACAACGGCGATTCTCTATTTGTCGGGAGGTTGATTTAACAAACGTCTTGACATTCTACAGTATGTAGACAGGTAGAACGAACACATTATGACTTGATATGAGGAATGAAGTCGAGGAATTTGATGCTTATTATTATTCACTTCGGTCTGCCTGTCCCTCCTCCTTTCTGAGCGTCCCTTTTATACTATCGTATCGAATGCTCGTTTGACCTTCCAATCGGCTTGTATCCATATCATCGCCCCTTCTTGGGCATTTATCTACTCATCTTGGATCTCGGCAGCGCGCGGCACCTTCTTCTTCTTTTTCTTCTTTGTCACAGCTACATCGCCACCAGACGCAGGGGACTCGACACCGCGAGCACTACTATCATCCCCACCCTCGTCCAATACTGCAGCACGGGGCGTCTTCTTCTTCTTTTTCTTGGGCTTAACCTCTTCGCCCTCTGCTCCTTCGGTGATGGCATCTTTCTTTGGCTTCTTCTTTTTCTTCTTGACAACGGTGCCTTCAACGTCAACCCCTTGTGCTACGTGAATACGTTCATTTGCACGCTGCATTTCGAGACGGAGTCGCTCGACTTCTTTCATAGCTTGTTGCATCTCGACATCCTCGCGCTGTTGCTGCTCATAATCGAAGCCGGTCGATGGTTGGCCCTCTAGACTGAAAGTGCCAATGCTGCTCGAGTCCACACCGAGCAAGCCCTGCTTTGTCTTGGGCTTGAGCGCCTTGGCCTTTGAGAAGCTGTCCGAGTTATTCTCCGAATCATACGATCGAAGGCCCCCACTTGCACTGCCTTCGAGGGTTTCGTCCGCTGCGATAACAACCTTTTGTCGTGGTTTTGGTTGTGGTCGAGGGGGCTGTGCAGCAGGTGTCCCGGCTCTTGATAGATCTAATTGCATGATAGGTATAGAGTCGATGTCCAAATCGGGGCCGTTGCTACTCTGAAGAATGTTATGGATGGGTGTCGAGGTTCGAGGCGTGTCGTTGCTGGGGATATAAAAGGGGTCATCTCTGTTGCGTTCAACACGTTCTGCCTTCCTCCGAGCAACGATATCCGCATCTAAGTATGTCTCTTCGTCGGCTTGTTGGTAGGAGCTCACGTAATCCTCTTTGGGTTCCGATATCCTGCTAATCGCGGGTGCAGATGAGTCGATGCTGGTAGGTGGGGGTTTCTGGTGATAGTATGTCTCAAACTCATCCGACTCATCGGTCGCCAATGTGATGGAGTCGGCTTCCGATAACAATTTGGTTAAGTTTGCATGGATGGGCTCATCCAGGTCAAGACCTGATGGCACTGGAACGTTTAGTTGAGCACCCTTGGATACCGAGTTGAGTTCCCAACCATTGAACAACGAGGGGATTGCCTGGGTTAAAAGTAACGGCGGGTCTTGGTCAACATCATCTGTCGATGCCGGCTGAGACGAAGCAGCCTCAGCTGTTAGCTTCAACAGCTCTGTGAACTCGACTGCTCGCTCCTGCACCTCAAGACTGGGATGCAAAGCGAGAGGCTCAAAAACGTGGATAATGCGTGCCATGAGAAGTGACACCCTTGACTTCCTCTCTGCTGTCCACGGCTCGCTCTCATCTCCAACAATAGTCGCAAACACTTTGGTGACGGCTTGAAGAGTGGTCGTCAAAACCTCAGGGTTATTTGTTCGGGGTAGAAGCTGCAACAAGCCATTGAGGCCTTCGTCCGCAACAGCGAGTTGTGATGCATATTCACCCATGATCCAAGCTACTGATTTTAGTGCACCTGAAGTGATACTGTATCCTGGTGGTGTATCGGTATTGAGTTGGCTGAGGATAATCTCTGCCGCTCTCACAGCTGTTGATCTCATCACCCGGACCTTGACAGCAACATTACGCAGCTCATCACCAATCCTTTCTGAGACGTTGGCCCTCGCTTTATCCGTTGGGCCCAAATCGTCGTCGACCTTGCGAGACGCTGGTGCCATGCGGACAAGTTGTGTAAGAACGTCGATGTACCAGTCAAAATCCAATACACTCGAGTAGTTGTCCTTTGAGCACATGCCTAGAATCCTTCCAATGACGTCGATTCGATAGTCGTCGGGCAAAGGGATTGACTCGGCCTTGGGCTTTGGGGCCGGCTCGGCGAACTCATCCTCGGATTCATCAAGGCCATTGGGAGGAGTTCCAGGTTGGGACTTATCCCGGCTGGGCATAGATAGCTTGAGCTGCTTCATGAGGCGACTGACAATTGACATCAGATTGTCGCCGGTCACCATGCCCTGTACTAGGTCAAGAGCTTGTATTCGGATAGTGATGTCGGGACTGTCAATACACTCCAAAATCACATCCTCCTGCTGTGATACTAGATAAGGATGTGTTGTAACGATCTTGTTGAACGCTAGCAGAGCAACGTATTTGACTGTGCCTGGTCAGTTCATGCTTCAAATTTGACGGCACGATTGTGTACTCACGATTAGGATCACCATCTATCATGACCATGCCTCGCAACTTGTTAACACATAGCGTAGCGATCTCGTCAGTGCCAGAATCGTCGGCGTTACCCAAGATGCCACCTTGAATGATTCCGTTGATGCACTCGTAAAGTAATGACATAGCAGGCGTAGTCCTGATGATATTTGTCAAGGGAGGTAGGAGCTTTTTCACAAGTCGAGGTTCCAATGGCGTCAAAGTAGCAAACTAAAGAGAGTCAGAACAACAACAGGATAGCAGTAGTAACAAGGAACCTACAAGCTTGATGAGTTTGATGGCCATCCAGTTATTACCACCATCAACCAAGAGCTCAAAGAGCCGGGGAGCCAGAGGAAGGAAGTCATTCGGTCTTCGCCAGCCAAGCTCACAGACCACGTTAACGATAGCCGCCGTGACACTCGGGTCCTCGTCAGGGTCCATCAGTCGTTCTTTAATCTTGGGCCATGCCGCTCGGAGAGCTTCGGGGTACACCAAAGCAAGGCGATACAGCGTTACCAGCGTCTTCTTACGGATATTCGAATGGCTATGGCTCAATCGCGGTAGTAGGTCTTGCAGAGTCGATAGAGCTAACGAGGGAGTGATGACATGAGGGAGAGTCGCGATGGGGAGAGATATAACAGTCGGTGTCGTCGTGCCAAGGTCCTGAACAACCACATTTAGCGAAACAGGTATCGAGAAGCACAAGACGTCGTCAACAAACCTTCTTCAGCAGATTAGTAGCCAGCATCAGAACCTCAGTGTCAGGTCTAAAGCTCTGAACAGCTCCCAGGTATCCCACTCGCTTCTGGTGGTACTTGGGCGACGACATGACCTCGAGCACATGAAACGACGCCCACGACATGTCATGTCCAACCATTTCCAGATAGATGAGCTTCAGAAGCGCCGTCGCCTTAAGATCTAATCACCGAACGTCAGCGACTAGCCTCCTCCATATAGCTTTACTTATGTCAAACGAACCCATATCCTGACTGCGAACTTCGGCGCGGCACTCCTTGAGACTCTTTTGGATATACTCCTTCTCATTGCCCTTATGGTTCCGTAGCCCCCGGATGAGATCGTAAAGAGACTTTTCAAACCTGCGCGCAACATGGTCAGCGCTTGTCCTAGATGCTGATATCCAAAGCTTCAATTCGGCCTACATGTTGAGAAGCTGCCCCGCGGGCGTGGGGCCGACCGTTTGGAGGAGGTGTTAAGGTATTTAGGTGATAGGGACGTGGTCTCAGGGGCTTCGCAAGGGGACGATCGAGCGGCGCATCTCGTATGGACTATTATCGATGGTGAGAGGATGCTCTGATCAGCAACGGAGGGGAGGTGGATATCGCGTGCCGGTGAGATGCGATGGATGTTATGGTTGGTGTTGAGTACGTATCTGTACAGTACAGCGCCTTTACTGCCCGAGCATGACGGAATGGACCATCCTAACCACCTACGGACCGCCCTTGACTCGGCAAACAGGACGGCCCGAGCTGGGGAGTGTCTACAGCGGTGTGATCCCCTAAGAGCTTAGCGGGCTACACTGTCCGGGTTGGAACTTAGGTGGGGTTGTCAGGACCTCAGATCGATAGTGGCGTAAAGTTATTCTCAACTCAGTCTAACAGAGCCTCAACACCATCATAGATTTTCTATTCCTTGTCTATATCTTTCTCGTCACGACGATTGACTGTTCATCTCGGGACAATGCACTTCATACAGCGGTGACACTTCGAACTTACACCTTGATTACCCTGCCAATCACTTCCAATGGCCCTTCGTTGCCTTCCCTCCAGGACGATCGTCCCACGCCCATCGGCTTTTATATCAAACATCACCAACCTCACTTGCGCCTCAACACATTTCCGCCGCTCTTTCATCTCTCTTCCCTCCTCCGAACCCCAAAGGCTAACCGCCCATCGTACTCTACCATATCCCTCTGAACCGCTCTACGATCTCATTGCCGACGTCGACTCCTACTCTTCTTTCGTCCCATACTGCTCCCGCTCTCGAGTAACCCGATGGTCCGATCCTGACCCCGCTACCGGTCAGCGGTACCCCACACTCGCCGATCTACATGTTGGCTGGGGAGGGTTCGACGAGGTTTTCACAAGTCGACTACGATGTGTGCCAGGCCAGTCCGTCGAAGCTGTTAGTGGAGAGACTGTTCCAGGCGGTACCGGTCCTGATGCGTCGGCTGTCTTCCGGAGCCTAGTGACACGCTGGTCCGTCAGGCAAATTGCTGGGCCTCCTTCACCTCGCACTGAAGTTCATCTTGCCATCGATTTCCAGTTCACAAATCCCCTCTATGCTGCCGTGAGTGCAGCAGTGTCTGATAAGATAGCAGGCCTGATGATAGAAGCTTTCGAAAAGCGAGCGTTTGAAAAGCTCAACTCAAACCGAAAACTTTAGAACTGCGTAGATGTCTTTGTCGCATTCGCATGTTCTCTCACTCCTCCTTTATCCCCATATTAGTACTTATTAGATTTGGCGTGGACTGTCTGTAAAATTAAATGTACATTAACATCTCACTCAAACCTAGATATGAGAGATGAGCAATCACAACAAGGAAGTCAAATCCTAAGATTAAACAAATCATTCTGCATACTCCAATCATTCTACATAACGCATGTCTAGAACAGCCATGTCTATAAAAACAAGCTGATCCGCCGTATCCAAACAAAATAAGAAGAAAAGAAGAAGAAAAGCGTCATCCTTTCGCTGATGCCTGGACTTTGATCACTTTGGCCCTGTTTCTGCCGTGCCAGAAGAGGATCAGGCCCCCCAACATTGGATCGTTCCCTTTAACCAATATCGTCTTTCGAATCGTATCATCATACTCCGATCCACATGCATATAGGACAATTCGTGACGCCTTTGCGATATGAAACGCTAACCATGAGTTGGGAAAGGACCAAAATTCCGCTGCCTCATTTTTCCATCTCAACAAATAAACCAAAAACTAAAAAAGATGTTTTCCAAATCAAGCCGGCAGCCGATGCCGGTGAGGTATCTGCTAACAAGTAAAAACAAATCAAAATCGCAAAATCATCTTCTCATGAAGCCATAAGTGTTGCCCCTTATTTCTTGCTGGACCTAGACAGACATAAGCAATGTACACGATTAATTGGATTGAGGACAAACTCACTTCTTCTTTGGAGGTTTGCCGAACAAGAATCCAGCCACGCCTGAACCGTGGTCCTTGGATGGCTTCTTGTGCTTGCTTGACTTGCCAGATGTAGGGCCGACAGTCACAACGTTTGGTACGGGCATACCACCACCAGGACGCATATCTTCAGGTGCCCATCCTGGAGGGGGTGGGACCCCAGGTCCAGGCATGCGAGCACCGTGTGGCATACCAGGCGGTCGCATCATACCAGGACCGCCGCCCATGGGAGGACGCATGCCAGGGGGAACAGGAATGGGACCATGCTTGCCATGATGCATGTTGGGCCCCCCAGGCATCTTTGGTCCCAATGGGGGCATTTTGTCCATCGGCCACATTGTCATAGTGATGGACCAATCTGGCTGGACCACCTTTTCCCATACAGAAGGCAAGATGATCTCTCCATCAGGGGCAATAAGATCGTAATGGCCTTCCATGACGTGAGGACCCAAGACGTCGACCTGCATAAAGGCTTGCTTGATAAGATCTTCCATGCCCTGGACGCATGTTAGTGACAATGCCTTTCAGGGACCAGAAATTGTGGTACTTACCTGCCAAGTGGCGCATAGGTGGAAGGGGAAGCTGAACTTGCGACCAACGGCGTCCTTGAACCGGATCGGAGCCTTCTCAGCGGACTTGGTGGATTCTTCAAACTTGGCCTTTGCCTCCTCCTCGATCTTTGCTTTCAATTCTTCTGCGGCCTTCTTCGCAGCCTCCTCAGCAGCGGCAGCTTCTTCTGCCTTCTTCTTTTCATCTGCAATCTTCTGAAGGGTCTCAGCTTCGGCCTTCGCACGAGCCTCTTCTTCAAGCTTCTTAAGCTTTTCGGCTTCTTCGGCGGCCTTCTTCGCGGCTTCTTCCTTAGCTGCCTGCTCAGCTCTCATAAGGCGTTCAGCTTCCTCCTGTGCCTTCTGTGCAGCAGCAGCTTTGGCCTCGGCCTCCTCTTGCAGGGCCTTTTCGAAACGCACGCGTGCAAGCTCTTCAGCCTGTTTTCGCTCTTCCTCCTCTTTGATCCTCTTTTCCTCGGCTGCCCTAAGCTCAGCTTCGAACCTCAGACGGGCTTCTCGTTCAGCTCTGACTCGCTCTTCAGCCTCCCTTTTACCGCGCTCCTCGGCTGCCTTCAACTCTGCCTCTAACTTCAGACGAGCCTCCTCTTCAGCCTTAGCTTTGGCTTCTGCCTCAGCCTTGCGCTGTTCGGCGGCCGCTTTCATCTCGGCTTCGTACTTCTCGCGCGCCTCCTTCTCGGCTTGTGCGCGGGCTTCGGCCTCTGCTTTTCGTTGCTCTTCGGCTGCCTTTGCAGCAGCTTCAAACTTCTTCCTGGCATCTTCTTCAGCCTGGATGCGAGCTTCAGCCTCAGCCTTTCTTCGGTCTTCGGCGGCCTTCATCTCGGCTTCAAACTTGAGTCGAGCCTTCTCTTCGGCCTCTGCCATCGCACGAGCGTGTTCTTGCGCTCGCTTTTCCTCAGCCTTTCGCTCAGCCTCCATTCTTTCCCGGGCAGCCTTCTCCGCCTCGAGTCTGGCCCTCTCGATTTCTTTCTTGGCCTCTTCTTGAGCCAATCTCATGTCTTCCATTCTTCGATGGAAAGCTTCCTCGGCTTCTTTTCGGATCTGGGCTTCGGCTTCCTTTTGTTTCTCCGCAGCCTTTTGCTTCTCTTCCATGGCCTTGAAAGCAGCAATTTCGGCTTCTAATCGGATTTTATCAGGGTCCTCCTTGGGGGGAGCTGGCGTGGCTGGTTTGGCAACAGCTACTTCAGTAGGGGGCGGTGGCGGCGTCAACTGCTGCGACTGATGTGCTATCTGCATCCCGCTCATATGGGCCGGCAAATTGTATGGATGGGGCTGCATGGCACCATAGTAACCATTCTGTGGTTGTTGATAAGGCATCATATCGTACATGCCTCTTCCTTCCCCACCGTAGCCAGGAGCGCCGTAAGGGCTGGTGGGATCACCATAGGCACCACCAAATGGCACCATTTGGCCATTGGGAGGGTATGCTCCCATGTAAGGTGCCATCTGGTTCTGATAACCGTGCTGTTGGCCTCTGCCATACATTGAGCCCGGACGAGCACGCCCCGGAGGCTGATGATGCCCATAGGCACCACGGCCATGAGGCGCACCATATCCGTAAGGATCCTCCATAGTAGCGGCAGGCGACGCTGCTTGATCGCGCCGCGGTTTACGCTGAGGTCGTCTGGGTTCCTCCTCAGGTGAATAATAATCCTGTGGAGGACCTGGTTGGCGAGTCTGCAACTGATGCGACTGGTGAGGAGGCAGTTGACGAGGGGGCGGTTGACGAGAGGGCGGTTGATGATGAGCTAGCTGCTGCTGGTGGTGAGGGGGGAACTGATGCTGTGGTGGGAATTGGTGGTGAGGAGGCAGTTGGTGCTGACGCTGAACAGGTGCGTGATGGCGATAATGCTGGTCGTGGTCGCTGGTAGAGGCAGAATCAGACGGACCAAGACCGTCGTCGTCGTCGTAATCGTCTTCGTCGTCGTATAAGTCGTCAGAACTGTAGTCTTGACTATGTTCTTGAGAAGAGTCGTCGTCGCTGTACGCCGAAGTAGACGTCTCAGTAGGGCGACTGGTTGAGGTTGGGGCTCTGGAGGAGGGGCGTTGTTTGAGCCTGTTCAAAACAAAGGTGAGTTATGTGACTAAGAAGGATGCGCAAGAGATGAAGCATATGTGTGGGAGAGACAAGTAAATAAAACTAGAGGGGGCGCAGTTGAGACAACGAGAAGGGTGGATATGAGAAAAGACAAGAGGGGAGGGAGGGGAGGAACGCAGGCGCATGAAGATATGGGACGGAAGGAAGGCAAGGTAGGTAATGGAGGGAGGGGACTTACATTGCAAATACTTGGGTGGGATGCCCTCTACCCACGACAATCTGCAAAAGAGAGCCGGAGCAAAGGCGCTGAAAGTAGGTTGGAAAGAAAGAAAGAAGGCAGCAAGCACAAGCAAGCACTCAGCTGACAGGGCAGAAACAATGCCGAGCAGCCCCCAAAAGTCAGAGGGGACGGAACGATGGGGGAAACGGAGGACGAAGTTTGTCGTAGCCGTGGTGCACCTCTACAAGTAGTAGGTAGAAAAAAACACACACACAACGAAGAACGTCGGTTTGCTTGGTACGAGGGGCGAGGAAGAACTAGACTTGCGCAACAGGCGTCGAGTGAGGGGTCGTAAATTTGAATTGGTGAGTACGCCACCTAAAGATGACGAGGGCGTGACAAGCGAGAGGTCGGCTGGTCACGAAAGCAGCGCAGTGAGACGGGGGAAATGCCTGCTTGTGAAGTGAAACTGGGTGCGGAGTTCACAGAACAAAAACTGAACGATGGTTAGGTTGCTGACGGAGGAGGGTACCAAAGTTGTATCTAACGTAGCAAAGCAAAGTGCTGTACGGCGCACGTTAATAAGATCAGGCGCAAAGAGCCCAGCCAGCGGGAGTAGTGTGGGCGGGGTGATGTGGATTCAGGCGGCGGCTGCGAGCAAAGCAGAGCAGAGCGGCAGAAATCGATCGGCGGTGAGGGGTTCCAGATCGTTCACTTATGGGTCACTGGACAAAACTCCGGACAATATCTGGAATAGGCGTTAGATAATGGATGCAGACGATGTTTCCAGATGTCGAGCGCAAATAATCAGTTGTTGTCGACTGCTCTAACGAGCATTAACAAACTTCCCCAGAGCGATTCAACTGAAACGACCATCGACCGTTGTATCGCAACGGTGAAAGCTTGTTGAACGAGAGCTGTGGGTGTGCGTTTATGTACACACTTAAAATTTCGGGTGTGTCCGTACGTACCGTCTAAATCTTCCAAAAGAACCAACTTCGTGGTCACAGGATGTCAATCTGAACTTCGTAGGCTAGAGGAAACCGATTATTTCGACTAGAAGACATCAATTAGTTAGTTCAGCTGGGCACGAGGTGAAAATATTTTCGACATGAATGTCGTGAACAGTCAATATCCTGGCTGGCTAGGGTCTCTCTCTCCCTTGCATGAGTCCCAAGCAGTATAGCGGCGTGGAAATCTTTTTTTTTCCTGCGCATCAAATGTCCATGACACAGATCTGGGCCAGGAATTGTGTGTAATCCTCAGCTTCAAGAGAACGTAGCATCGACTGAGGTTCAGAGCAGATGTCGAATAGCAACGTTTCTGTATCGTCAATCTGAGCCATGTGTTTCCCTACGTGTCGAGCACCGAAACATCGATCGTTCTTGTCCTGTCAGCCGCCCTGAACCCGGACCTGGACTAAGTTGGACTTGGGAACCCTGGTTCGTCGCCCTGTTGATGGGGTCAATGGGGACCCTGCTCAAGCGTGCTGCTAGGCTCTAGCGCTCGTTGGGCTGGAGCTGGCGGGATGCTTGGGCTAGGCCATTGGGAGTGATCCATGAATCTGAGTGGCCGTAGTTGGAGCCGTTGGAGCCCATTGCTCACCAAACTCCCGGTTTATCCCAGGCTTCTGTAGCCCGTACCCATTTGTGCCTGTCAAGTCGCTCTCCCCCATGTCCGTTCGCGTTCGTCTTTGTTGCAAGCCAGTGCTAGGGCGTCAAAAATTTGTGAAAGCGGTTGCCCAACCCGGGGTGGGGGCCAAAAAAAAAATGAGGATGAGCGAGCCCGAGGACCCAACGGTCTTGATGTCCATGGAAGAAGCTAGAGTCGTTGCGTTGCGAGAGCGGTGATGTTACGATACTCTAGATAGGTATTGGACTGTGCTGTGCTGTGCTGTAGCATTGCCGAGAGAGGACCAGACCGCAACGAAGTACGAAAGGTCTTAGCAGACTAACAAGACTAGTATTGTGCGGCGGCAGCATTGCCGCTGCGTTGCGTTGCTTTGCGTAGCGTAGCGTAGCGAAGACCGTAGGGTAGCGAATATCGTCATAAATGTCATGCAGTCATTGACTTGCTTCCGATTCTGGTCCTGTTTCTGCTAAGCTACTGCCGGGGCATGTTTGCCTGCTGCTTTGACACGACCAGTCGTGATCACATGGGCCATCTTTTTTTTGGAGTTGAGCCCACCCCCAGATGCAACCGAGACAAGATGGGATGGGATGTTCATGCGGAGAGAGAGAAGCCGTTGATAGAAGGAGAGGAGACGCTAGTTGAAGATTTGTTTACATACCGTTTAGATATAACTTCTGAGATATTGATGCTTGACAGAAAACGAGGTTTGATACTGAGGATATCACACCCACAAGATTCTTGATATTGTTGATCTGTTTGATAGACGGATTGTTTTTGTGTGAATCGGTAGTGGACGGTAACCAGCTTGTTTAGTGGGTATTTGGGGAAGGTGGTGGGGTGGGATTAATGGATCAGAGTTGCCCGAACAGTCCAAGTTCAACAGTGACAGTGACTTTCTGTTTAGAGCACGAATCGCAGGTTTGACGGACGAAATGAAAATCAAGATTCAAACAGACAAGGCAGTGAGTGAGTGAATCAGTCAGTTAAGTAGGCTAGGGCACAAAAAGATGAAAGGACTTCTTTCGGCCGAGAAGAATTTTCTTTTCTTGTTGCACACACAATGTGGAAAAGAAAAGGAAGAAGGAAACGGAACGAAAAAAAGAAAAGAAAAAAATCAGGAGCCAAACAAAGGATGGTAAAGTAAACAGGCAAATTCAGTTAGGGCCAGGGACTTGCTGGCTCTGAATGAATATGACTCTGACTGACTCTTTGCTGTGACTCTCCCTCTCCCTCTCTTACTGTTTCCCTTCAGCTGGGCTGAAAAGATCCATGGCGGTGCTGCAGCCCAACGTTACGCAACCTCCAGTCAAGATGCACAGATTCAGGTGCGTTGCCGTTCCTGTTGCTAGGGGAGGCAGACACAGAATTCCAGTGGAGATGTGGCTCAACCGTTCATTCACTGTCGTCGAATGATACAGTTTCGTTGCTCTGACCGCTAGAATGATATCGTTTTCTGTTAGCGCCGAAGGAGGTTTGAGAACCGCCAACACGACACTAATTTGATAGCATCCATGGATGTGAAGCTGCCGCGGATAGTGCTGTACTGTACTGAAACCTATTAGTGTTATCATGAGGGTCGGTAAAATCAGCAAACAGTTTCGTCTGTCATCCCGTCTGAGTGACTTGACTTGAACCTGCTCTGTTGCCAATGGATATTGTACTGTTTGACAAAGGCTGTGCAACACCATTGACCAATTGTTTCTCAGTCTTTGACCATTTGCAAAACGAAGAAATCGGAACGGACCGAGGCGCAGGTGTCGCTACCCGGAGACAGTCACGATATCATATCAGTGGTGATATCGTACTCAATCGACTAATCACTGAAGCATGGATAGATGAATTAAGAACAAGAGAAAGAAACCTGAGGCATTGGCAAACCGTAACCTCCTTATATCCCCATTTCCTGTCATTTTTAACTTTTGTTTGCCATCTTCCTGCCGTCAACCAGAACAAAGCAATTCACTCGCCCTGCAACTATCCTCTTTAATCCGCTGCCCTCCATTCTGCGACTGGCTGACAAGGAAGATTTGCGCCCCATCTTCAGCGTTGAGGCCCGATAGTAGGAACCCAAACGAAGGCCAGCTCATCACCAGACAACCAACATGGAAAGGAAGATCTGGAACGCTGCAGTAAAGAGCAGTATGAAGAACGTAGTTATTGTCTAGACTCTTGAGACGGTCATATCATGCTTGACTGATAGTTGCGGATGGTAACAGCATGGAGCTTCTGTAAACTGCTTCTCACATTGACACATACTCGCCTCAACTTGATACCACCCAACTAAGAGCATTCGACATCGAACATCAGCACTTGCGCCTTCCCGCAGAGCCTCAGCCATCCATACGTGGCCAAGTGTACAGTGGCGAGGGCACTGCAAGATGACATTAGTAGCTGTTCACTTTTATTTGACACCCTAATTCTCTGCAACTCTTCCTGTCAGTGAAAGTCGGTCAAACAACTAGTCATTCCACGTTCCTGACAGGATGTTATACGCGTGAGACCAGACCAAAGTAATAAACTCCAAAAATAAAATCGGGAGATCCGGGACGCATCGACCTCGTCCCCGTTTGCGCCATGTCGGCTCTCCCGCGATACTCCGCTGTTCGTTGGTGATCCATAACAGCGCCTATCGTGAACTGCCAGGGGAATAAACATGATGTTACGCATTCAACGTGGAGACTATCCACTTTCGCAAGACTCGAGCCTCGATGCCGATGTTATACTGATCGCGATGATAATCATATCATCACATACCGTACGGTAGTTGTGGTCTGTAGTATTGGCCGTACCAGATGCCGCCCATCGCCCTCACACATGGAAGAAAATAGACTCGCTGTTAAAGATGGTAAATTTCTGCCTAAGCATCCGACGAAGCCAGCAGAAACATTGAGTAATCTCAATCCTGCAAACTCAGCCTATTTCCCCTGTGAATAAACTTGATCATCATCCATTTAGAGCACGGTGGACCCCACCAGCATGTCCTTGTATGGCGCCACGTGCTGAATGCCCAGCAATGCCCAACTCGGCGTTGCTACCTCCACTTGTAAGGTCTGTCGGGACTTTGGAGGACCGCCATGACCCATGTTGTGCATGCTCTGTCAATTCCACCTCCCAAGACCCAGACGTATCGACAATAGGGAACGAGCTAATCGCGCAACTCATCCGATAAGAGAAACCTTCTTGGCAGACAGGTGATGCCTCCTGCTCGATGTTTGGGGTCACGGCATCTGCAATGCGGCCTCCTAGCCATATCATTGGGTCTGCACCCTTGCGTAATCGATCACTCACCTAACAACCTCTGAAGACGACTTGTTCAGCAACTCCCGAGCAGCAGCGATCTCATCTGCATTGTACCCCTGCCACAGAGGTTCTTGAGCTCCGTATCTGCGAACGATCTCCGCCAGTTTTTGGGTCGCCGCCTGATTCAACTTCTTAAGAGTTTCTTGATCTGGGAGCGCGAACTCGCCGTCTTCAGGTTGCTGCTTCTTAGACTTGGCTGCTTCAGCCAAGACTTTGTCAGTGACCTTCTTCAGGCCATAGTAGCCGCGCAAGTAGTCCTCGCAAAGCTCAATGCTTCGGCAAAAGCGCTTCACTGAGTTTGCGAGATACTTTTGAGAAGATCCATCGCTCGTTTCGTTGGCCGCCATCAACGTCACCTCGCCCAACTTTGCGTGCAACTATTGCTCAATGTCAGATATGGTCAGTCACAAGTGAATGGAGTGACGTACGTTCCACGCGTTCGGTGCGAGGACAATAACCTCTTCCAGGGCATAGATAGCTTGAGAGTACAGGCCTTGCGAAAGATAGAGATCCGAAAGCTCTGCCCAGCCCTCAGCATCTGTAGGGTTGAACTCGAGCAACCATACTAATGATGAGATCGCCTCGGGTGTCTTTCCCATCGATCTCAACAGGGCCACTCGTCGCTTGGCGATATACTCATGTATGTGTCAGTACTACCTTTAATGTCCACAAGGCATCATGCTCACAATGTTTGTTCCATCCTGTTGCAGAATATCCTCGTATTCCTTGAGAACGGCCTGTAGTTCGTTGTTGTTTGTTGCCGCTGCCTCCTTAATCAGACCCTTGAGCGCCATCACGCGTTCGTTCTCGTCGCCAAATCGCAAGATCAACCTTTCCAAGCATAAATGCGCTGAATCGTCATCGCCTGTTTGGAGGCACGTGATAATCAGGTTCTCATATATAGTCCATAGCTCAGAAGTCTCTGCTGCCGAGAAGAGTGATACGAGAGGAGAAGCCGAGAAAGCTTTGGGGTTGCTCTTGAGGATGGAGGGAGCTTGCTGAGCGAGACGAAGAGCTTCAGCTGGTGACAGCTGGCCTTGTGGCCGGGCAAGATCAGTAGCCATGCTGAAGTATGAACAGAATTCGATCGCGTGGGTTTATTAAGCGAGCTATTGGTAATTAAACCGCTGTATTGTTTGGATATGTGCGTTGGGCGTATTGGCGTTGATGATTTACAGCGGAATGATATGCTCAATTGGACACCAGAGGCTTGATGCTACGTGCACCAGCTTGGCCATATCGCTCATGATTGGCTGTCAGCCAGAGAGCTTGCTCTGGCCGGAATATCAGAGCCTCCGACGTTCAAGCTTCAACGTCCGCTCATTGGCCGAAGGGAGACCCCACATCGAAATTTCGAAGACAAAATCCAACTTTTCACAGAAACTTTTCTTGACTTTCGAGCATCCTTCATCCTCACTTCGACAGTGCCAAATACAAGTGCTGTAATAAGCACACTGCTTGTGCCTGCGAGTGCATGCTTCAAGGACATAATTAGTCCAAGATGACGTCTTCAGCGCCAAGTGACGAGGCCGTTGCGAGCCCGACACTCGAGTCCATTCCTGCTCCTGTCCAGGACATGGCCGCGTTGAACGTCAAGGATCCGGTCACCGAGGCCGTCACCGAAGCCGTCGTGCCCGAGACCGAGGCTGCTGAGGTGCCGCCTCATCGATCGCATGATCCTACCAATAACTTGAAGCGGAGTGATCCCTTCCAGTTTGGTAGCCGGTATCTGAGCGAAGGAGACGATGTCTTCGAGTTCAATGCCTGGGATCACGTGGAGACTGACGATGCATACAAAGAGTACGCAGAGCAGCAATTCGCGAAACAGCGCCAGCACCCCGTCTCGGACTTTGAGAAGAGTAAGTCACCACCCAAGTTTTCACATCAAATTGCTTTACCCCAAGGTGTCCTGATGATACAACACCAATGCATAGTTCATCTGAATTTCATGAAGACAAACTATTCCTTCTTATTCTTTCGCTCCCATCTGATCCACACCATTTATACACACTTTTTCAGTTTTGCAAACTCAAATGCATGAATAGTTGCTAACATGACAACTCAGGAAAATTTAGTCAGGACCCCGCTAGATGGTGGAACTTGTTCTACAAGAACAATGCCGCCAACTTTTTCAAGAATCGAAAATGGCTTCAGCAGGAGTTTCCTGTGCTGGCCGAGGTAACCAAGGAAGACGCTGGTCCCAAGCTCGTCTTGGAGATTGGCGCAGGAGCCGGTAACACGGCTTTCCCGGTCTTGGCCGAGAATAAGAACCCGCAACTGAAGATCCATGCCTGCGACTACTCAAAGACTGCCGTAGAGGTCATTCGCAAGAATGAAGCGTACAATACCGACTTTATCCAGGCTGACGTATGGGACGTCGCCAGTGATAGCTTGCCGCCTGGACTCGAAGAAGGCTCCGTAGATGTCGCCGTATTGATTTTCATCTTCTCTGCTTTGTCACCCGATCAATGGGCTAAAGCTGTTGAAAACGTTCATCGAGTACTCAAGCCGGGTGGCCTGGTCTGCTTCCGAGACTATGGAAGAGGTGATCTGGCCCAAGTCCGGTTCCGCAAGGGCCGATACCTGGACGAAAACTTTTACATTCGAGGCGACGGCACCCGTGTCTACTTCTTTGACAGGGATGAACTCTCGGATATCTGGACAGGCAAGAAAGCCGACAAAGAGTCCGAAACTGCACTAGAGACTACCACCCCTGCTGCTGAGGGAGCTGATGCCGTTCAGAGCACAGACACAGAGGCAGCCGAGACAGAAATACCCCGATTCGAGGTGGAGAATCTTGGTGTTGATCGACGACTGCTTGTCAACAGAGCCTCAAAGCTCAAAATGTATAGATGTTGGCTACAGGGTCGGTTTAGAAAGAAATAGACAAAAACGTCAAGAGATCACCCTCTGGTTTCCTCATGTGATGCTGGCCCCTGCACTTAACCCTGGCCTCAGACTCTCAGTATAGCAAAGCCTCTCGCAGCTTGGCTCGCTCATCAGCACCAAACCCAATGCCGTCCAGATACGCATTGAGGCCACCATACTTGTTCTCAAGGTGTTTTTGGAGGCCGATGATCATGTCATCCGCGGTGTAGAGCCATTCATCCGTTAATCCGATTTCCCGAATCTCGATAAGACGTTGTTCTCTTTCAGGAACAAGTGCTTCGTCACTGAGACTATAGTCATGCTCGATGGCGGAGATGGGCACGTCCAGAATCATAAGCACCAGCGCACAAATGAGGCCTATACAAAAGTCAGTCTGGACATAAAACAAAGATACCGTTCGTTTTACCTGTTCGGTCTTTGCCTTGAGTGCAATGGACAATTGAAGGGAGAGCTGACTGGTCAGCGTAGAGTGATAGAGCCTCGTGGATCTCTCTCGTGGACTGATCGAGCGTATCGAGGCCTAGTCCTACAAGCCCACGGGGGATCATGACCTTCTCTCCAATGATGTTGATAGCTTCAGTGCGATAGCCACATACAAAGAGGAAGACAACACGACTTTGGGAAGGTGTCAGTATGTTTAATAATTATATCTGATTGTTTCTTGGATACTCACAAGAAATCCCACCATGATAGCTGGCTTAGTAGAAACAACTCGAATGGACGACCGGTGATCTTAACTTCGCGATAGTTGAGGCCAGAGATTTGAAGTGGCTCAGCAAGAGCTTCGTTAGATTGGACAAGCGCAGGAATACTGGATTGCTCTTTTCGTCTCTTGGCTTGATTAAGATGCTCAGTTCTACACGTATCAGTATGACTCTTGTTGTGATATGTAGCACATGGTGGTCGTACTTGGTTCTCAGGTCAATGACTGTCTTGACGCCAAGATCGTTTCTGATAAGCTCTCTGTCTGGAAGAGTGGCATCGTCTCATGGGTTCTTAGCACTGCATGTTTCCATATGACAAGTTGTTCATACCTGGTCTCGCGGAACGGTAGAACAGGCCCTCACGGATTCGTCTACCAGATGTAAGTCATTTATCCTGCAATCTATTGAAGACAACGATGTGTTACCTTGTACCCAAGAAGTCATTGACTGTCTTGCCAACATCACGAAAATTGAGGACGTTTTGAAGACCAACGTGGGAGGTCATGGTGATGCCAAGAGACCTGTTCTTTCAAGGCTAAGTCAGTATGGCCGATTCAAGGGTCCGCCAATGATGTGATCTCGTCGTGGCCTCGGGGCTGTGCAAATCAACAGACAGAAGACAAGCCGGAATAATAGTTCATGTGTAGTGTAACACAGGCCAGACATGAAAGTGAAACCATATTTTTCAGGTCGATCAACCGAGCCAAAAGCGCCGCAAGAGATCGGAGGGTTCAACTCAGCCGCTAAAAGAGGGCTAAAACAGACTAAAACAGCGACAAGCAGCGTCGATCTCAATGTCAATGCCGAAAACACCGAGGGGCCATTCCGTAACTAAGACAAAAGAAAGACAAGACGCACCGTTGATCCTCAGGTGAAGGCCAAGGTTTCAGGCACAAGCAAGACTTGGTTTCTGGTCTCCTATTGGGGTAAAGGTTCTGAAAAGAAGACGCCTCTAGATCTGAGATACCCTCTAGCTTGGAGGCTTTTCGTATCCAAGGTTTATATGTCGATGCCTTAATTTAGCCAATCTCAAGATAATGCCAATAGGAAGAAATATGTCCTCCCATGAAGGCCGGAAGCTAAAAAATCGATAGACTAGTCTAGTACAGTGCGGATTGATAGCGGTGAGGTAACATTCGCTTGATTCGTGGTATGATAGTGAGTAGCTAATGAGACATGAAGGTGTCTATTTGAGCTGTCGGGGGGCTAAAGAGGACAGACAATTTTGGAAGCTATTCCATTTTCACCCTCATCATGACCGCTTTCAAGCGGAAGAAATGCACTCAAAGCTGAAGAAGTAGTGACTAACACATCCTAGCACTGTGTCAGGCTAACAACTAGCGTCAACACCTGAGATCATCGCCAAGGACTATGTGACGTCACAACTAGCACTATCTGGGGTAGCGCATCGCAGGGCCGGGAAGGGAAAGAGCTACGGCAGTGACCCTGACGTATGCTTGCCTTTGAAGGAAAGGAAGGAAAGCACCGTCTCGGGGCCAACGACGCCATTATCATTAGCATGAGCATTAGAGTGAGGACTCCCATGCCGACGCCACGAGGGTCTCATTTGACAGCATCATCGTTTATCGTCTTAGTCTAATAAATCTTGCTTTACCCGTATTCCTCACTCTTGTTCCCCCTTCCCATCTCTTCTACATTGCTACTACTTACAGTCCATGACCTGATATACCATATACAACCTACACGACCAGATCCTCAAGCATTGTATACTTACTACTCATATCCCTGCAGAGACAACACTGTCGGGTCCACAAGTCAAGCAATTCCCGCTGGAGACGAATATCCGGCATACCCATGTATAAGCCAGATACGGTCAATTAGATATCAACGATATACGACATCAAGTCAGCCAAGATCCTTGGAAACCCATCCCAAGACGCTGCGAAAAGCCCTCAAAAGACTCTTCCCCACGCGCTGGGCGCATCGCGATCACCATCGCAGCATCCACTCGTCGCTCCAATACGAATAGCTGAGCGAACATTCTATTTACCTGCATCACCATGCCCACCAGCACATCCCAGCAACCAACCATGATCCAGTCCCAGCCGGCAACGGCCCCAGGTATGTACCCAAGTTTCTTATGGCTGACACTCGTCATCCCGCCTGCGGCGTGGCCCTGCCCATTCTGACACTTATATCCTGCGTAGGAGCCAACAACTCGGGTCGTCTCAAATACGCAGATCCCCGAGATCTTCCTAGTTATCCATCTGCTGGCCTTCGTCCTGACGGTGCTGCTGCAAGTGCTGCCGCTTCTCTTGGATGGTCTAACCAAAAGCCGATCGAACTTTGGAAACCCGACAAGACGTCATCGGCATCCGCAGCCGCCGCATTAGCAAAGAACTACAAAATGGCACCAACATGGGAGCCAGCATCCAACTCCGATGGCCACAAGGCCGCACTTCTAGCCGTTGGTTCAGCCACCGCCGCATTAAACCATACACCAAGCCAGCAAAAGTCTCATGAAGGATGGGGGAATTCTGCTGCTACTCAAGCTGTCGGCTCTGCAAACGCTGCATTGAACCGATCATCAAGTCAACGCAAGGCTCATGAAGGATGGGGAAACTCGGCTGCCACCCAAGCATTTAATACAAATCGAACCAACTCCATGCGACAAGCTAATCCAAGATCATCCGATACTTCGCTACAGGGGCAAAAGTCTCTTGCTGCAGCCAAAGGAGCCATGTCAACTACAAGACGTCGGGCTAAATCTACACCATCAGCTCCTGATAATTTCGTCCAACCATCGCTACAGTCTAATACCCGACCCGATGCCCTCAGTGGAGCTACCCTTGCGCATAAGGCGAGCATGAAATCCAGGCCAGCGACCGAGAACGGAGGTGCCGTACCAGTTACTACCATGACCCGTAACATGTTCACGTCTAACCCTCCGGTCAAGCCGGAGGTGGATGAGCGACAAAACAACGAGCAACTTCACGCATCAGCGGTCGCGATGGCCAGAAAGATGTACCTTTCCCAGCAAAAGGTTATCGACGAGGCCAAAGAGAATCACGGACGAGACTCTGATGTGGCACAGCCTAAGCCATACGTCAACCTACAAGATGCTGCATACAAGCAGGCACAGGAACGACTGGCGAAACTCGAACAGGAACACCAGAAGAACCGAGACTTCCAGTCATACTACGGAAACGATGCGTCAACTCCGAAGCGGCGGTTCACATTGAACAAATTACGTCGTCGATCTTCTAGTGATGGTGACATGCAAGACCGTCAGCAGTCAGAGAAGATCCGTCAACAGATGTCGCTCTTTTCCAATAAGCTTACAGAGGTTGATCAGAAGAAGCGTCAAGACGACCGCAACGCGCTGCTGGCTGCGGCACAACGTAACGTCAAGGCTCGTCTGCAAGGCATGGACGAGAAGGTATACAATGAGACTGGTCAAGTCAACCCGACTCTGATGAGCGAGTGGGAAGTGAAGGCGCATCAGCTGGCCAATGCTAGTCACGAAAGCCGCAATGAAAACAAGGGTAAAATTGACATTGGAGGTGGAAAATTCATGGATCCTCATGATGTTGATGCCATTGCAGCCAGAAGAATGCAACCTCTTTTGGACGACATCAATGAGAAGGCCGAAATCGAACGGGAACGATTGGCTACGCTCAAGATGGAAGAAGAAGCCAGAAAAGCTGAACAGGAGAAGCAAAAGGCACGTGAGCGTGAGATCAAGGAAATCACCAAGAAGCTTAAAGGTATGTTTAATGAAATGAGTAACCATGATTCCCGCTAAGACGTCGAACAGATCAAGAAAAGCAGGAGTACAAGGCCAAGAAGGCCGAGGAAAAGGCTGCTAAAGCGGAAGAAAGGCGCTTGGCCAAAGAGCAACAAAAGGCCAGGGGTGACACCGCCGTCTCTGGCGAGGAAGCCATTGATGATGGCGACAGCACTCGAAGTGAAGATGCTGCATCTTCCCCTGTTGCTGCAGCTGGCACCGGTTCAACTGAGCCGAATGCGCCAGCAGCCATTGATACGGAGCCGGGCACCGCTGAGCGAGGTCGAAGAAAGCCCAGTGATGCAGCATCGCCAACGTCCAAGGTCAAAGGATGGATCAAGAACCGCTTCTCAAGGGGCAAGTCTCTTGGAGAGAAAGACCGTGAGAGTCAGGGTGAAAAGAGAGGAAGCTTCGTTGGTGGTGCCGCTCTCAGAGACCCTGACACCAACCAGAGTGCTACAAGTCTTGATAACCGGGCGACTAGCATGCGAGATGTCGCACTTGCTGGCCGCGGCACCAATGGCGAGTCGAGCGACCGCGAACGGGATGCACTGCATGATTCACGAGGGGTGAGCCCTGTGAGCAGTGATTCTGATGATGACGATCAGGTCCCTGCCATCACACCTCCCCCTGTGATCAAGGACCCTGCTGCGCGGGAAAGTCACAGTCCTTCAAGGGACTCTAGGTTTAGAGAAAACTTGGACAATTGAAGGAGGATTGGATATGTTGAGATAGACGGACATAATGAATCGGGTGGACATAATGAACTGGGTTGGATAGGTGGATAGACTTGTGTTTGGCGCATGAATTGGGTTTCCCCGTTTCTTGATTCTTGATTCTTGGTACTGTTAGCAGCACAGCGTTATGATAAAGTATTGGCTACTACGATATTAATTACTGTATTACAAAAGACTAGTATTCTAAGTCAAAAAGACTGTCTAATTCGTTGGTGTGGTTCCTGTGCTTTGTTCGAGCTATGACGCAGTATTTCTTGGGGGATACCAAGATTGATGTCATAGCCATGTTGTTGAATCCGAAGCTTCCGTAAGGGTTCGAATAGATGAGGAATGGGTATGTGAGACGCAATTACAAGTATCATGACAGAAGGATAAATTTAACAAACACATAGTAGACACGGGTTGATAATACAAATTGTTCTATTCTTGTCCAGAAAAACGTAACTCGGTGCTTTGACAGATCCATCTATTTGGACGACCTATGTAATAAAAACATTATGCAAGCCTGTCTTATTGTAAAACGAGCTAATTTCCAATCCAAACGCCATGCAAAGGGAAGAGGAAAAGGGGAATCATTCCGACGTAAGTCCATGTAATATGAGACGTTGTGTATGTCAACAAAGTTGAGTAAAGTTAAGTGATACCGTGCCAATAAGTATGTCGTGTAATCACTGATGTTATATGGGGGAGGTACAGAGCGAACGATGCCCGCATGCGGTTTGGCTTGGTCTAAAAGTCTCTAGGGGGATGACCGTTTTGGGCCATCTCAACATCGTTTCGTTCGTTGATGTTGCTGCGCGACCCTTCGTTGCTTGGGCTGCTGGAATCAGCAATGGCAGAAGGCACGAACTTGTTCTGGTACCTTTTGTGGTGGCTCTTTGTGCGGATGGCAGGGTACAAGTCAATAACGAAGGAGATGGCGTAGAAGGTAAAGATGAATGAGATGACCCATTCGAGAATGGCAGCGGCGTTTCGCTGCTTAACGCGGCTGGTGACGGCAAAGGCGATGATGAGGGCCACCTCGACGATGATAAAGGTGAGTTTGACCCAGAAGGAGATGCGAAGGACGCGATGTTCACGGTAGTCTGAGCAGAGTGGTTAGTAAGAGGTTCCACATGAGTTTGCACAGAGCAAAACTTACTGATTCCAAGACGCTGATACTCCCAGCAGATAAAGACAGCAGAGATTAGATAGCCTCCAATAAAGAGAGCCAAAAACATATGATGCAACTTGGTATATCTACCAGTTCGGAAAATGGACAAGCAGATAAGTCCGACAGTGCCAACCGCAGCAAAGAAAATTGAGAGCCAAGTCAGGATCTTTTCCATGAGGGTCCTGTTGGGCACGAGGCGACCGCGGTGTCGCAGCCATCGTTCCGAGAGGAAAGCAGCGTCGAGGAAGATAGAGGTGAGAACGCATCCAGTGATGAAGAGCGGCCACAGGCGGTCAGCGCCGACGTTGGAAATGTATGCGACATCGGAATAGCGAGACTGAGTAGGATATCGACGACCGTTCTGGTTAACTCGCCATTCGAGCAGGAGACCCAGAAGCATGCCCAGCCATACTAGACCCGACAGGACAGGAAACCACTGATTTCTGTTAGTGAGATTTATTTGGATGAGAGAAATTGACATACCCAGTATGAAAAGACGCCTTTAACAGCCATTGTCGTATGTTGGTTAGGTTATGTTTATGTTTATGTTTATGTTGTGGTATGATGCAATGCAATTCTTGGTGGTTTTATATGAATTGACGGGTATGGCCAAATGCGGCAGCTACAACAGCTGACTTTTTTTTTCTTCTCGTTCTTGGCAGGAACGAGCAGAAACGGAATGAATTCCTAGAATAAATGAAATGAAATTGAAGAGAGAAAGATAATACGAGGGAACAAATGGTTAAAGGGAGCCAGGGTATTAATGGGGTATTATAATACTTGGCAATGGGTCCCAGTTACGCAACTTGAGGTCCCTTAATTATTCCAAGCTTTTTGCTTCATCAGCCGCCGGGGCTGGGGAGGACTAGCAATAATGTTTTAGTCCCCTGGCTATATGATCGTCATACATGAGAAACCTAAAACTCCACTACAAGAAGGATAGTGACATAACTGAAAGAGTTGTTGTTCGGATCCACGGACTGTCCCGCGGAGCCGGGATATAAAACCGGCTCCTGACTTGACCTTGTCCCTCTCAGCCTTGTTGTTTACACTTGTACTTGTAAGCGCGCAGTCACAGCGGAAGAAAGCCAAGCATGGCTATGAGTTATTGTAGTTACTTGGCATTTACGCGGCAAGACAGGGGGTGATTCGGCAGTGAATTACAGATCTCTGTGGCGCAGAAGAAAAGAACAATCGATTAGTAAAGTGGCTGTCTACTACACCTTGGGCAGTCTAAAAGGAGAATTTGTCATGCAGACTATTTAGTGATGGTTAACTGAGGAAGGAATTATAGAGCGCTGTAAAGAAAATGACATCATTGGATTATTACATCATGAGACCCGACTTTAACATCGTTAGAGCCCGAAAAAAAAAATAAGCCTCAACCAACGACGTCGATAAGTGGAGACACCCTCTTTAGTTTTTGAATCATGAGCTGAAGCAGATTTGATATCCCGCGAGTCATCCTCCAATCATAATAATCTTGTAACATTCAGATACCTAGTTCTAGTTACAACAGTATTATGAAACCATTTTCGACCTCAACCCCAATAAAGCTCGTTGCGATCATAGGTCGGGCTGTTATAAGAGTTGCGCGTAGGCGAGTTCGAGTACCACTTCTGCATTGTCCCTGGTACCTTCTGCTTCCAACTAGGAGTACGATACTTCTGCAGGTGATGCTGCTTATATCGTCGGGACTCCCGAATATCCTTTGCTTCCATCTCTTCCTCATCAGATCTTCCCATATACACCTCCCTCTCCTCCTCCTCATCATCATATCTTCCCCTATAAACATCCTCCCTCTCCTCCTCATCATATCTTCCTCTAGACACATCCCTCTCCTCCTCATCATATCTTCCCCTATACACATCCTTCTCCTCATTGTATCTTCCCCTATACACCTCCTCCCTCTCCGGGTCGTGATAAGCATCATAGGGGCTTTTGACATAATGGTCGTTACTGGGTTTCTGTGAGTAATTGTCCATGTGAGCGGATCGAGGATCTCTGTAGTCACGCACAGAAAGATGGTTATAATGAGGCTCAGCACGCTTGTACTCATCGTGCTTGTGCTTGTAGCCATCATCATGCTTGTAATCGTCCTTCTTGTACTCATCCTTTCCGTACGACTTGTGCTCGTAGCCATCGTCATGCTTGTACTCATGACCATGCTTGTAGTCGTCCTTCTTATACTCATCGTGGTCATACTCATCGTGGTGCTTGTAGTCCTTCTTCTCTTCCTCGTACTTGTTCTCGTAAGAGTTGTAGGAGCCCTTGTTCTCAAAGTCGTTACCGGTGATCAAAGGAGTGTAGGTGAACTTGTTGAAGGCCTCCATGACGCTACCCTTGGTGCTGCCATCGTTGGCGCCCTGCTTCTCCATGATGGTCTTGAGCGCCTTCTTGCCCTTGATGCGACGGCCAATCTCATAGGTCAGAGCCTAAAAAGTGTGTCAGCATGGATAAATGAATGGCAAAGCAGACCTGGCTTACATAGTTGGCAGATCGGAGACTGTTGATCGAAGTGAGGACAGGGCGATCGACTTCACCCTCGAGATACTTGCTCTTATGCTTGAGCACCTTGAGAAGACGGATCAGGGCGTTGGCATACTGTCAAGCGGTTTTAGCATGATCTTTCCAAGGACTTTCCAATACAGAGGGGGCGCACCTCAAGGTAACAGTCAACAACATAATGCTCCTTATCGCAGCCGAAACACTTCTGAAGTGTAGTGTAGTCGATCTCCTTGTCGTAGACATCAAGGTGATGCTCAAGCTTGTAGATGTGGTAGACCACACCCTATATCCCATGTGTTAGTCTCATCAAGATTTGTCTAGGGTATCGTTTCGACACACCTTCCAGCAGCCCTCATCATTGCCGCAGTCCTTAGACTTGACAACATGGATCACCTTCTCAACCTCCTTGGTGAGATGATGGAAGTCCTTACAAACCCTTTCCTTGGTGAGGATATGGCAAGGCTTGATGGGATGCTTGTGGTGAACATGATGAATATGCTCATAGGGATGAAGATGGTCATGCTTATGCTTGTGGTGCTCATGGTCTTTATGAACATCATGATGATGCTCTCCATGATGTTTTTGTTCATGGTGTTTGTTGTAGTCGCTGCTCTCGACATCCTTGGAGCCGCCGGGAATGGCCATACCGACGGCAGCAGGGATTGCGCAAAGCGCAACGAAAGGGAGGGACAGTCTCATGGTAAAGACTTCCGAAACAAAAAGAAAAGGAATTCAGAGAATGTGCAATAAGAACTTCAAGTTAAAGAAGAATGGTGCCAATGACTTGAACTGAATCAAACTGGCGGACAAGTTGCAATCTTAAATAAATTCACCGTGTCGCCTTAAGTCATCTCTTTTCCAATCGACTGTCCCTTTATGCTTCGATCATGGAATCATCGACACATGTCTATCAAGACTTCAGTGGCCGAAACCTGGGCCCTTTGATCAGCCTCTTTGAAGGCGAAGATGTGATCCTTTGCAAAAAGTCCTAGCGATTCCCTCAAATAAAACGCGCAGATTCTAGCACAGGGCCGTTGCCATTAAGCACCGGTCGTGTCATGGCTCAAGTTTCTACAACAACGGAAACGTTGGGGCTTTTCATTGAGGGGAAGCACGCCCATATCGAAGTTCCTTTGCGGTAGCAATGCCAGTAGAGTCGTACAGGACTCGTCATCAGTCCATTGAGGCTTAAGAGTCAGATTATACTCCTCACGATGCCTTCACGTAACTCGCGAAGAGCAACTTTGCTCTAGTAACGACACGGGATATACTTTGAGGGGAGTCCGAAGGCGTTGTGCCATATTGCCACCTGTTGCTGGGAGGAATTACACGTAAGTACCAACACGATCGCGTAGCAAGATACGACCGTTATAACATCGTTTTCGCGTGCTCGACATGTTGGTAAGGTAACAAGAATGAGAGGCGAGTTGTAGATTCGAGGTTCGTGTAAGTCGACAGTGTCGGTACGTACCTCGACGCATCGGCATCTCAAGCTCCGACGTCCCGATCTCGAATTTCCGATAACGATAAGCTTGGATCTTAAGCTTCCTCCATTAGACTATCATCGACTCAATAACCCCAACACCAAACCTCGAATCACGTCCATCTTTTGCGCATCAACGCGCACTCGCTCACTCGCCCGCCTGTAACTTCCGCATGATTCCCCGCCCTCACGAGGGCTCTCTATAGCGCTACAGCTGGCCGTTCCAGCTCCTTTCCCGATTGTCGCTTTGTTCTGCATCCAACATGGCGCTTTCACCAGTAGTAACACATACGACTGAGGCCGGTCAGGCGCAAACCCTCGGGCGCGCGATCTCTTCGCCCCTCAAGAATGTCACCTCGCAAACCTCTTCTTCCAATGGAACGCCTATGCCTCCTGTTACTTCTGCGCCTGCGCCCACGAGCATCCCTACGACACTCGATCTCGCGGAGCAGATGAACGATGAAGAGAAGCGCAAATATGTCAAGGGTACGGAATATTCGACAATTCATGATAATCAACCCTAACATTATTCAGGCAAGAAGCTAGGTGAAGGTACCTACGCCGTAGTTTTCTTGGGCCACCTCCGCTCAAAGCCCAGCACCCTCGTGGCCATCAAGAAGATCAAGGTCCAGAAAGAATATGACGAAGGCATGGCTCCCGACGCCGTCCGCGAATTGAAGCATCTCCAGGAGCTCTCTCATCCCAACATTATCTCGCTCCTCTCTGTCTTCTCCTCCAAAGATCAGAACCTCAACCTCGTTCTCGAGTACCTGCCCCGAGGCGACCTGGAAATGCTCATCCGCGATACCGAATCCGTCCGTTACGGTGCTGCAGACATCAAAACCTGGATGAGCATGCTCACTCGCGCTGTCTGGTTCTGCCACGAGAACTTTGTCCTCCATCGTGATATCAAGCCAAACAACTTGTTGATCGCGGACGACGGCGAGGTCAAGCTTGCTGATTTTGGTCTGGCGCGCAGCTTCGCAGATCCCCATCAGCTCATGTCCTCGCGCGTCATTACTCGATGGTACCGACCCCCTGAGCTGCTCTTCGACGCGAAGCACTACAGCGGCGCAGTCGATGTCTGGTCCGTTGGTACCGTCTTTGCCGAGCTCGTCATGCGTGCGCCCTATCTTCCTGGAAATACAGATCTCGACCAGGTCCGTCTCGTTTGCGAGCTCGTTGGTACTCCGACGGACGACATCTGGCCTGGCGTTACTAAACTTCCTGGCTATGCTGTTCCCGGGCAACACCCCGTGCGTGGGAAGGACTGGTACGAGATGCGATTCGGTACAGTTGGTTCCGATGGTGTAGATCTGCTCATGAAGACCCTTATTCTGGATCCGAAGAAGCGCATCACTGCCCGTGGTATGCTCGAGCACCCTTGGTGGCACTCTGAGCCCAAGCCCACACGCAAGCAGGACCTCCCTCGCAAGGGCGGTACAGGAGCCGACGACAAGATGGGTGCTGATCTCAAGCGTCGTCCAGGCGTGATTGACGACGACAGAGGTTCAAAGGTTGCTCGTAAGCTCGATTTTGGCGGTATGAAATAGACATGAGTAGATTCGGCGCGGACATAATGGGCATATGAAATATGGCATGTAATTCATGGGCATTCTTTGGCGTTTGGTAATGCACAAGGTGAGCAATACGCACATCTAGAAATAGTACAAAATGATTCAAAAGGGGAATTCTATTAGATACTCAGATCCTTCATACTCGTAAATTTGATCATTGATATCTCTCCTATCCAAACACTCAACCCTGACATATCTTCATAATATCGACGTTTTTCCTCGTAAATGTATCCAAACGAATAGTGTTCATCCGAACTGCTCACATGAGCGAGCACTCCATTCCATACATAGCTCTCTCGACGCTCTTTCTGACCTGGTACCAATCCGCTCTCCTCTGCGCATACTCGTAAACTTCTTCGGCACGGAATACACCGCCAAAACGGTCGCCATCCGCAATAACAGTGGCCATTTCGCGCGCGTGTCGTGGATCAATGAGAAAGATTTGACTTAGCTCACGCAGGGCAGCAAAGTAGGCGAGCAGATCTGCGTTGCGCAGGGTTCTAATGTACTCGTAGTAAATGTTCATATCAGCGATGAGAGTGATTGCGCCCTCGGTGCTGATACGTTGGCGTTTGAGGTGTTTACAGATGGCTGTAAAGAGGCGCAGACCAACCTCGCCATTGAATACATCAAGCATAGACTTGTCAGTCGTACCAACTAACATTTTTGTATGTGATGACACAAGCTCAACGATACGTTTGGCTGTGGCTGTAGGGCCAATGTCAGGCTCTGCAGCGGATGCGGCTGGTTTCTCAACGGTGCTGGAGCCACCACCAAATCCAGAGCCAAAGGCAGAGGAAGAGGTAGGGGCTGAGGGATCAATCGGGTTGTAGTCTGTGGGCGGTTGAGTTGTACCTTGGAGATACTCAACCTCGTCCATTAGGACATCGATACCCTTATTGAGACCAGCAGCAACACTCTCGTCGAGCATCTGCTCAAACTTCTTCTTGGCCAGACCTGCTGGATCCAGGAAATCGTTGCGGTCGGCGATCTTGGGAGCAGCGAGTTGTTGCTCGTAGAAGACGTCAATCATCTGCGAGATCAAGTCTCCTACGTTGACGAGCTCGATAAAAGTAACAAGAGGTGCCACACCCGCTTTGTTGTGGTCATTAACTTCTCTTGGGTTATAGTGCGATAAGTGGTCAACAGCCATGTCAAAGCCCGTCTTGACGTGCTTCTGTCCGAGAATTCGAAGCAACACCACGAATATGGTCGCGCATTGCTCTCGCGCTTCTCCTCCGGCTTGTCCGCCAAGATTAATAAAGACAGAAGCACGGCCTAGACTAGTTTTGGCAGCGTGTACCAGATTGAGTGCGACCTCAATACTAAATAGTGACTTGATACCCTCCAGCTTTGATGCCATGATAGCAGCCTTGGCTGCGAGTTCGTCTGTGGGTGCCTGAGCAGGTAAGGGGCTTCCTCGGCCATCGAGACCCAAGCTAGGTGTCTCAGGTCGTGAAGGCTGAGGTGTTAACGACCCTGTGCCATTCAACTCTTTAGACGCCGACATTGCTGGCTTCGTCGATGAAGGTTTATTTGTTGCAAAAGGGGAGCCTTTGGGAAAGCTGGGAAGGACAGTAACTGGCATCATGACGACTTTTTTGAAGGAACTCAAAAAGTCCTTCTTATCGGCCGAACGGTTGATGTTTGACATGTAGAAAGACTCGAGAGTCGAATCCTGTTCGGAAAGCTTCTTCTCCCAGCTCGCGACTTCTGTCTCAGCATGATCTGTAAAGAATTCCAACTCAGCTTGAAGGTATAGGTCGAGGTGAGGTTCGAAGACGCGTAATGAAAGCTCCTTTGCCATCTCCTTAACATCCCTCTTTGATCCCTCAGGGGGTGTAAGGGATTGGAAGAATAGTAGTGTCTGCTCGAAAACACCGGACACGGCCTTTAGATAGGCTGCCATAGTACGTTCGTGGGCTTCATCGAATAACGGTGTTGCATATTCCATGATAATATCCTCCCTCACCTTTTCCACAAAACTCCAGAATACCTTTGCAGGCTCGGGAAAGATGCGTTCCATGACCGAAGCTTGCTCATTGACCTTGGCAAGCAGCATCTCGAAGAATAGCCGTGAAGGTTCGAGTACGATGTGTTCCTCCTCTGTCGCCTTGTTAAGACAGTCCATGGGGTTTACCACCAATAACTCATTGTCGTTGAAGATAGGGTGCTTATGAATGAAGAGGTCGACGCCCCCCGTCGCGCCGTCAAGCGTATGCAAGACATGTGCATAACGATGCATTCGACCGTCCACATCCCAGAATTCGTAACCTTGCTCGAACTCTCGAAGAACCGCACTCTCAAAAATGCCCATCATACTCGACAGTTTCTCTTCTCGGTCATGGCATCCAGGAGACCAATCACTATGAGCGAACCTCTTCAGATTAGCGAGCATTTGCGCTTGCTTCTCCGGATCGCGAAACGCCTGGAAGATGATGGGATCCGCATGAGACTTGGCCCTCGCAAGATCAAAGTAGAAAGGTGCCAATGCACCGTAAATCTTTCCATACTCATGCCTTGCGCCACCTCGAATACTCTTCACTTTCTTGAAGACATCTAAATATGCTGCGGGGTCTTCATCGGGGTTGGTCGAAGCCCCCACCGCCATTGTTTCGAACCCATCACGAATATCAGCCACAGCACGATTCTTGGCCTCCTCCAACGACGCATCGAATAGCGTTGTTCCCACAGGTTGCGCAGGGACCGCAATTCCTTTGGCCTGTTTTGCGGCGATGTTGGCAGATTCTCGTCTTCGTCGCACCGCCTCTTCGAATCGACGCCGAGCCTCGATTTCGTCCCAGCAGTCCATACTCTTTAATCTGGAAACCCACCGTGTATCGTCGTATACCATATCTCGCATGCGGTGTGATACTCGGGCGAAGCGCATCTGATCGGCGACTGGTAGGTAGTCAAGGATGGTCACCAAGATCTCTGTCCATCATGTTAGTCGCAGGGGCTTGTTCTCGTCATCGCGAAATCTTTCGTACCCGCAGGAAGACTGGCTTTTGTATCCAGCATCTCAGTCGCTTTGAGGGTGCTCAGGATGCTGCCCCGGTTGGCAGCACCCGTCTTGGAACGGTACATGATTGATGGTGTTTATGTACTGCGATTCGGGTTGTTGTCTTAATGCACGGCGCCTCCGGTTATGTTTTCCGGGCGCGATTCTCCTCGTAGTCCGCTTATCAATCGTATCTTGTTCGATGCCATGAGGCAGCGGTCAATTCGTTAGGTCGTCCAGTTGAAGTAGTCTAGTCTAGCATGTGGCAGCTGGACTCTGTATGTAAAGAGACACCGACATTGGAGGGGGAATCGAGCTTGCGAGTTGCTTATTGGGGGTCGTATTTCGTCGTTGGATGATGTTCACCACAAAAACCCGAGATGTTGAGTTTGAGTTATTTGAGAGATAGTAGTGGAAGTATCTTGGAAGGTAAGTTGGGCCAACTTATATGTACCTACCAATAACCAAGAGAAGCTGCTGCTCGGTCCGTGTTTCTAGCTCCGACAGGGGTATCGCAATCTGCAAATGCCCCGCATCATCAACGGCAGGTGAGGGACCTTCTTCATCATCTCCACTAACAAGGCGTTGAAGCTTACCCTGTATCCTCGCATTTCCACACGTTTTAATGCAAACAACAGCGATGTATACTGTTGTCATATGGATGCTATATATATGTATATTTTGTATCCATTGATAAGTAAGGAAGTGTTGGGTATTTACCATTGTAAATCCATTTACCATTCCTTAATGCTATTCAACCATAAATAACTACCTCTAGACCAATTTTTTACCAGCAAAACTCCACAAACACCATTAATATGATAGCCAATACCCGCTTGAGAAGTACTCATGACTGCTCAGAAGCACCAATGGAACTCCCGCCGCATGCAAATGCCACCTGTGCTACTATGCTATGCGTATTCTCATTTCATTTACTCAAGAAACGTGAAGAGATGGGTATGCAACACGTTCATAGCGCGAGTAGCATCCCGTGCACTTATCACACAAGAGATGTTGATTTCACTAGCACCTGTTGTTTCATATTAGCTTAACCTTCATACAAGAATATCAAAGCAGATACATACCTTGGGAGATCATCTCGAGGTTGACGTTGTGCTCACCAAGAGTAGAGAACATGCGTCCTGCAATACCAACCATGTTCTTCATCTCAGCACCAACCAGACTCAGAATTGCCATATCGGTGAGTACGCTCACATCGCCGCAATCAGCAAGCTCCGCGGTGGCATTGCCAAAAGCCTCGACCTGTTGGCTGCTCGCGTGAATGGCCATAGAAACGTGCACCTCGGAGGTGGAAATGAGATCGACAGAGATGGAGTAGTGGTCGAGGATGGAAAAGACACGGGCGAAGAAGCCGTGAGAGATCGATCTCTTATTCGAGTGCACGTTGATGACGCTGATGTGGTCCTTGATGGTGACGGCAGTAGGTCGCTTTGGTTTTCGGTGGTCGGCTTCAGGCTTGGGAGTGGGAGAACCGCGTGTAAGCTGGTGGCTAGCAGTGCGCATGCGATCAGGAACAACAATGGTGCCGTTACCACGAGGGTTCTTGACGTTCTTGATGCGGATAGGAATAGGAGGCTCAGCTCGGATGACTTGGTCCATGGTGAGATGGTGAATGACTTCTGAGCCATAGAAGGTCAACTCAGCTGCTTCAGATGGAGTGATAGATGAGAGTAGGCGTGCTGTGGGAACCTTGGAGGGATCGGCAGAGAAGATACCGTCGACCTCCTTCCAAACTTGCAGCTCCTCGGCCTTGACGCCAACGGAGAGCAGGGCGGCGCAAAGATCAGTGTAGCCACGGCCAATGTCACCATCGATGAGACTGCCAGGGACATTTCCAAAGAAACCAGTGACAACTGGAACACGGTTTTCACAAGCGACTATCTTGCGAGTGAAAGCCTCAGAAGCTGTGCGGTAAAACTTGTCGTCGAGACGGCCTGCGGCATCATAGTGGAATGAGTCGCAGAGGTCAACGTATTCGGATTCAACGCCCTACGCTGGATGTCAGTATTTGAACAGCGCAAATAAGTGAGTGCATGCTATGAAAGTCCGGCCCCGACAGAAACACATGCGGATGTCCTTGAACGGAGGAAATATGGTCTCTCCATTGTAATTATCCAAACCGGATGTATTCTAGGCGGTCTGGAAATTCGCGCAGCACAATTCAAATGAGTACTCACCACATCCTGCAAAAGAGCCGTCATGAAGCGACAACTCAACTTCTCACCGAAGCTAATAACACGGTCCTTTGCTCTTGAGTTGATCTCGAGGTTGAATCGCTTGGCAGCCACAATATACTCAACCAGCTCCTGACACTCATCCCTGATAGTCTGAATGAGAGACTCACGGAGAGCTTGGTCCCTGATGAATGATTCAGCGGCAAAGACATGGTCGTTGCAAATGTCGAGCATCAGGCCGCGAGCCTGCTCGACCAATTCGTTTTGCTGCTCCTCATCGGAGCATATGGCAGCACCGACACCTCTCAGCTTGACATAGACAGCCAATAGTCTATTTCATGGTCAGTATTTAATCAATCTCAATTCCAATTACTTTCCAGTAAAGGAAAAGATCATCAAAACTTACCGGCTGGTGGTACCCTCGGCCTTCTTCCCAGTACTTCTCGCAGAGCATACTACGATGACTCTGTTCTGAGACAAAGTGGCTCTATTGACAATGTCAGACATGACTTTTCTGAATCAACTCCCCGCAATCTCATTCCATGCTCTTCCCCAATACTCATAATTCACAAAGTGATTTCATACCTAACAATATCCTTTGCAATCTAGAACATTTTTGTTAGCACCATGTATAAAACAACAGAGATAGTGCTTCTCCGAGGATCAACAAGAGGGAATAACAAACCTTGTCCGGGAACTTTCCCACGCTTGTACCACCAAACTTTTGAACCACCCAGCCAAGGGACGGCGAATTGCTGTGCGAAAGACTTCCCATAGTTGCTGTTTGATGTGTATTATATAAGAATAAGGTGAAGACAGACAAGAAAATAAATCCTTTCAACGTGGATCCAATTCAATGGCTGGTAGTTGCTGACGATGAACTGTTGGCGGTGGTGGAGTTCGTTTTTTTCCGGGCTGAGTAACAGAGCGAACGAGGGAAAAAAAGTTTCTCAATTGAGTGAGGCACTAATAAATTAAGGTACCGATGCCGTCCGGACAGTACAGCCCACTGAGTGAGTTGAAGTAGGTACCCACGGACAAGCGCCGAGTCACCTCCGTATTTCTCAAACGAGAATGAACCCACTGAGTAATGTAATGTGAGAAAGCTGATATGATGTGGCTGTTTCTTGACAGAAATGGTCGACTGGAAGCTGGTTGTGGTGTCGGTAACCTTTGTGTATACCTCAAGATTGATCTTGTAATATATATATATAAAAGATTAAAGAATGAACTTGAGTAAAGTGGACGTGTCCTTGAGGTTATACAAATATCGTATCAAGATTCCACCAATCTCGAAAGCTGGATATGAATGTACAACCCGTCCGGGAACGGAGACAAGGTTCAAGATAATTGGATGCGGTCGACAAGATCAACAACAGAGTTTTTGTTTCTTAGAACACACCCAACGATGAGAGATCATCCTTATATCCATTTACTCTGTCATGCCATTGCACAGTCATCAGAAACAAGACCGAAGTGAGCTCCGAATAACAGCTCATCCACAAGGGTAAGAAAGCTACCAGCCGTGTATTTCTCTACCTCTGTATGACTCGGCCTTGGTTCCATGTTCCGTCTTCGGCTCTGGCCCTTCTTTTTTTCTTGGTTTGGCTTCGTTCCCCACAGCGCTAGTGGTAAGCAATCCCCGACCATGACCCCAGTAGGGAAGTCGAGAGGCCATATTAGAGGCATATACCACTATAGAAGCCTTTGCTTTACAACCATACAGTCTATTGGCTTGCTTCGATGAGTGAAAGGGCCCAAAGACAAGGCAGAGTAATACTGGGAATAGTATATAGAGAGGCCATAGTGACATGACTATACATCAGAAATCCATCCTCATCAGTAGCAGATCACTCATACATGACATAAATCAACCAATCAAACTCAGAACTTTGCCCTGTCAACTAGACTAGCAGAGTCGAAAGCCAAGCAGATAGGAACTAGGTCAGTGACCATTGTTGGTAGATCAGTAGATATTACTTGGATTTTCCCATGAAAACAATTACTGGGTACTATACTCAAACAGACAGCCATACCCTTTCTTGTCCAACCAATCCTCAGATTCGTCGGATAACCTAAACGCCATACCCAGGTACTGTTATGCTGCGACTCCTTATCCCAAGCATTATAAGATGAACACAAAAATTGAACACGTCTTCCAATGGACCTCTGCCAGTCACACAGGATCCCAAGACCATCATCGTATCTTCGTACCCTCGTCCCATCGTGTCTGATTCGAGAATAAGACAGACCTCTCTCTGCGGAACTGCTGGACACCATTAAATCACCAAAGGGTATAAACCGTCTCAGCCCCAGAACGCCAGTCTCCTCCATATTAGCTCGACAATACACAACCATGCTGGCCCTGTGTCAAATGCTCTACATGTCGCCTGTAGCAAACTCCGTTCCTGTCAGCATGTCATGCTCCTGGTTTTCAGTGCCGGCGTAGTCAAACTTGTCCAGCTGAAAGTCTTCCTCGGGGGTTCTAATCCCAATTCCGCTGTCATCATGAATGTCGCCGCCACCCATGTTCATCGAGTTTTGATTCACTTTGTTGGAGGCGGGAGGAAACGGCGCACGTTCCCCTTGGTTCTGAGACGCATTGCTTAGGTTGAGTTCATCGCTGCCAGTGCTGTATCGGGAATTTTGTCGGCTTTTGTCTTTCGCTGCCTGAGGAGGAGGGGTGGCTGTGTTTGCCCCCGTCATCTGGCTACTCTTCTGCTTCATGAATCCTCCTGACTCCACCAAAAAGCTCACCATCTCATCCACCCATGTTTTTGTCACCCACCAAGAACCGAAGCTCTTACCTCCAGACATTGTGATCTCGCGCATCACTGTTGTGCCGATACGCTCGATACACCACACGATATCGGTGTGCGAGGCGTAAGGGAACTTTTCGGGAAGGCGTTTGAGATAATCAACCCAGGGCTCCAGAACATTGGGAGGAGTAGAGCTCTTGCTCTCATCACCCAGTGACTGGTCATTACGTTGGCCGAGTTCTCCGTAGAAAGTGATGATCTCCATTTCGTAGGGCACGTTGATAGGGTTCAGGAGGGTTCGTATATCGTGAATGAGAGCATTCACTACATCGTCCATGCCTCGCGTGGGTACGCACTCGGCAACCTTTCGAACTCGGATCATGTGGATCCAATCCAGATACATCTGCGTGCGATTCGGGGCAGATACAAGCATGTTCGCTGCTGCGTGGGCCGTCAAGTTTACTCTGAGTGCACGATCGAGAAGTCCAGCAAATAATGTTGCGGGTGCTTCCTTGGCTCGAAGAACATGTTGGGGCTGGCCCTGGAAAGACTCCCGAATGTGGTAGACCAGTTTATCCGAGATGGCCCTCAAAGCATCTAGCACTTGCTTTGGCACGACTTGAAGTGTAAGGAGCGAGACAATTGTCATCATGCGTTGATAGAGGACAAAATCACATTCCTCAATCCAAGCCGCCAAAGCTGGGTTCCCAAGCAATTTCTGCACGGGCATGGTTAATGTTCCCTGGAAAGACGTATACAGATGGAAAAAAGTCTTCTCCCTGCAGTATCGAATACACTCGACGAGCGATGTACAGTGGGAGCGATATAATGCTGATAAAGACTTGGCAGCATCAGGATCGGTGTTCGGAGGAAGGAACCTTTCGATAGGAGGCAGAGGCAGAGGATCTGCGGGGTCGCCTTGTTTTTCGTCCGCTGGAGGGAAAGCCAGCTCGAGTTGGGTCTTTGTATTGGTAGAGTTGATACTGTCAAGATTTCTAATCATATGTTCGTTGTATAGACTGTGGGACTGGAAACCGGATTGGCGTGAGGTTGCGACAGGCTTCGTTTCGGTGCCGATATTAGGTGAAAGGAGCGCATTTTGATTCATGTTGTTGTTGGGTAGGGTTGGCGATTGGCTAAACATTGGTCAGTAGGTATACATAATGCGAGGCAGGGCCATATCTGACTTGAAGTTCGGGGTGATTGTCGCGGCTTCAGACGTAGGGCGAGCCGTCTGAATCGGATGTTCAGGGATATCGGCTTCCTCACGAAGTGTGAAGTTCACATAGTGGTATTTTGACTCTCCACGAACACCCAACCGCCTTGTCTTGAGACCAGGGAATAATACGCGAACAAGTTTCCCGAAACTAGCAGGGTTGAGTACAGTTATTCTCTCATTGGCACATTGGGAAGCGTAATTGGCGTATACCCGTCCTCGAGGGACAGATCCTTTGCCCGTGGCACAAACTGAGTTGATCCTATTATGGTCAGCGCGTATCCCAGTCATAAATTGACACACCAACGACATACCAAAGCATAGCAAAGACCTGTCGCGTCCGCTCTGAGTTGGGGCCTCGCTCATTGCCGTGCAATTCTTGCGCCACTTCATTGAGAGCACGATGTCTGTTGGCAGCAAACAGTTGCCTCATCTCCAGCTCGTTGTTTGCGCTCGATCGAGTTGTCGTGGCTCTCGGGGCTCCGACCATAGCGGCCATGAGAGAATCGCCTTCGTCGTTTTCATCGCGTTCTGCCAATTGGCTTTCCCCCTCCGTAAAGCTGGCATTGTTGCCGTACTGCTCAGCAGGAAGGGGATGCCGTTGCGCAGGTTGTCTTTGTTGGTATTGCAAGGGATGGTGGCCCATGGACGCATTCATGGGGAAGTCTTGGTTACCCTGCATATGTGTCGCAGCCTGCATCAACATTTCGTCTGTCGACATCTGGGCAGCGCCCATATCTTTAACGTGGCCATGAGTATGCGCCAGCATCTGGGCGGCATGCTCATCGGGCAACCATTGGCCGGAGTACATGTCCGACGTGTCGGCAAAGCTTGGTTGCTCCAGGCTGTTGAGTGAAGCTGTTGAAGCCTGGGATAGAGGGCGTCTGGCCGATCGAACGGAGGAACGGGCTGTCAGAGCTTGGGTTTGCCCAGCAGCTGAAATACTATCCACTGATGGTCCAAGGATGTGTCAACAATTGTCAAGTTTGGACATGGAGAGAGGAGAAGGTTCTTTGTAAGGAGGACAAGAAAGTTTTATGCTTGTTAAGGCCGAGGGGAACGAGGGGAATCGCGTCGTGATTGAGAGGATCGAGAATTGAGTTTGTTGCTTGGCCAGAGGAGGCTTGAGGGGAGGAAGTAAAGTAAAATAAAAACAGGGAGAAAGTTTACTCACACTCCATAGGTACGGTAGGTACTTAGATGAGAGACGGGGACGTTGTTGATTTAGGTAGAGTCGAGGAATTTGTGGGCTAGCAAACAACAAACATTGGCTGGGGGGGGCCCGGATGCGCCGATTCAACAACAATGAAACTCGAGGGAGAAAAGAACCACAACCACGATGTCAAGAAACAACAAAAAATGCAGCAATGGCTGATTCGACAGAAGCGAATCACAATAATACCGCGCAAGGGGCTGCGCGGGTTATCTTGGGCGCGGTGCTGAAGGTAGGTAATAGGATGTCTTTGCTGGAACTGTTGTTGTGCTTGTGTTGTCGTTGCGAGGTCAACGAGGAATGGAGACAGTCCTGGACCTCAACGAGCCTATCGAAGTCGTCCGTTGCATTAGATAATACGGGTGGAGACTATCCACATGTTCTATTGGCGTGTCTTACTCGAGCTTCATCGGATTGGATTGTCTGGTGCTCATTTCGAGACCGTAAATTAGCCGAAATTCCTGCTCTCATGGTTTACGAGTCTTGACTGGTCGCGCATACAGTCCTGTACGATCGTGTCTCGATCTCTGTCTTTGAGGCTTGCATCTGCTAGTCTATTCCCAGTCAAAGGTGTTCGCTGTGAGAAGGATATCCATTCTAGCTATGGGGGACATGACGGTTGCCCTGAACATCTGCTGCTTGTGCATTGCAGCTTGAATAACGGCGGGCAATAAGTGATTCAGCCAAGATCAACGTGCTTGGTGGACGTTCAGTTGTCTAGGGGAGGTGTGAGATGTCAAGAAAGCACATGCTCTACTGTATAAGACCAGCGGGCGGTCGTGTATATGATATGCTCACGAGATCATAATCACAGTCACAATCCTCTGCCCATGAGGAACACATAAGACAATCGATAAGCAGGTCTGGATGGCTTGAAAGCCGCCTCCGCGCGTACAACCTGTTTTGACAGACAATATTTATTTGGCATATATCGCGTTGCTTTGCCTCATTGCATGGCATTGACCGATACGTCCCGCAAGTTTGTGGTGAACTCACCCTGTGCAGATATGAAGCCTCCTATAACCCCCCTTTTGGTGTTGCTTGTAACGCTTGGGGCGTTCATGCTCACAGCCATGAAATGATGTAATTGTTTAGGTTTCGTTTGTTTTTCTTGGGTAGGTACTAGTGTGTATACATGTAATGATGTATATTAGCGCTGAAGAACAAAGTACCTCCTTGCGTCATACCCGGAATCATCGAGACTAACAATGACGAACAGTCCTTGTGGCTCAGTACCTTATCATGAGCTGAAGATGGATATTGGAACATGACCAAACTTTCGCGTTGGAGGAAATAAATAGCAGGGTAATACTAACCAGTGTAAATAGAGCTATCCTCTAAGGTTCTTGAGACTGACAGTCGGGTTATTTTATAGTAAATACTAAATCTTCAAACTACATCACCTGCACACCATCACTCACCCTAAAGTGATCAGCTTAACAACTCACCTCACAAAGAATCACTCACTGTACCTCATCGTACAGGGTCACAAGCCAGTGACACACTGTTCCTTTCAACTGACTCCGCGCCAAATTTGTTCCCGCTTCGCTTCCGACTTACCGTACTTACCCTACGTAGCAGGTAGTGGAGGTTAAGGTTCCATTATCTTCCCCCCCATCTCAGCTGGAGCTAGCGCTGCGATAAAAGCTGCCCTGCCTCTTTATTAGTTGACCTCTTCCATTCTACCATCTGTGCTCCTCTTACGTATTGGACGCTAAGTCAGCTATTTCACACCAAACCCCTCCAACGTCTTTTTTTACAACTCTACCTTTATACCATCACTCGACACTTCAACATCACCACTTATTGCTACAGCATTACCAACAATGTCCGCTCAAGACAAGGCTCAACAGTACCTTGGTCAGCTCGACCGTGAGGTATGTTCTCGATGCTGCCATCTGTTCGCTCTCGCAGTCGAAACAAATTGCGCAACCGCACGATTCGGATCAAATGCTGACGACTGTTTTCCTATTATCTAGCTTTCCAAATACCCCGCCCTCAACAACCTTGAGAAGCAGGCTGGTGTTCCCAAGGCCTACGCCGTCATCGGTGTCGGAGCTCTCTACTTCTTCCTCATCATCTTCAACCTCGGCGGTCAGCTTCTTACCAACTTTGCTGGTTTCGTTATTCCCACCTACTACTCGCTCGGTGCGCTGTTTAGCCACCACAAGGAGGATGATACTCAGTGGTTGACTGTACGTGGCCTTCTTTCCTAGCCGCCGGAGCGGATCCCGAGATTCACCGGCCTCTGCGTGGCAGTAGATTTACTAACTGTTTGTGCAGTATTGGGTCGTTTTCGCTCTTTTTACCGTAATCGAGAGCTTCGTCCAGGTCGTCTACTGGTTCCCCTTCTACTTTGTCTTCAAGTTTATCTTCCTCCTCTGGCTCTCTCTCCCTGCCTTCCGGTGAGTTCTAATGCGGGTCTGCACCTGCACCCGCCCCGCTCTGTGAAGGATTTTGTTCAAATACTGACTTGGATAGGGGTGCCGAGCTCATCTTCCGATCTTTCCTGGCCCCTACCCTCGGCCGATACTTCCAGCAGTCTGGCTCTACCGCCTCTGGCCTCCGTGCCAAGGCTGACGGCCTTGACAAGACCGAGTAAATGGTCTTGGGCATGCATCTTGGTCGCTAATCCAAATCTCGCGTACACCGCGTGACCCGGACCAAGTACTCTCGGTTATATATGAACGGAAAAATTGTTGTCTCTTAGGAACGGAGTAGCTTTCAAAATAGCTGCTCGACTCGAAGGAGGACGAGAAGGATTAGTAACATGGTTAGGAAGTATACAGGTTAGAGTGAGAGTGAGAAGCAAACACGCTGCATTGGGCAGCTGTTTCAACTTGAAGGAGACTTGTCGTACGGCACAGTCTGGGTGATGAATGAATGCCACAGGTATTGACTAGAATTACTTTGAGAGACGCTCTGTTTGAGTGTCACGAGAACACGTTTCGCGATTATGTCGATTTGCTTACCCCACATCTCCTCAATTTTTTGATCTGCAGTGCGGTGTTGAAGACCTGAGACGGGAGGTCCCCTAATTTGTAAGACACCTTACAACTGTCGCGTGCCATGTTTTCTACACCTTACTCATACAACGTTTAACATTGAAAGGAAAGAAAGGTACAGTATGTCACTAATCATCAGTTTGTTACTGGTAGTTCAAGCTCAAGCTCTCGGACCAAGATCTGATCCGATCTGGCGTGACCTTGACGTAGCGCCCAAGTTGGGTTGGTCAACAGCTAGCCCAAGGATCCCTTATTTTTAGCATGGTCCAAGCTTTTTGTAACCGTTCGTGGGTTCGCCCAGACCCAAAAAGTCCCGAGGCCCCGACCGCTACGAACCTGATGCAGCTACCCTACTGTACCGCTGGGCCGTTTGTGGCGGTGCAGCATCCCGAGACGGATAACTGCGCCTCACTTCCCCTTGAGGCTGGGCCAGTCCCTGCTTGGCGTATTGAATTAGTGTCGGCGATGTCAGCAGTAGCATTGAAACCTTATCCTGGGCTGAACTGCCTAGGGATTTCATCTTCACTTTTTATTTATTCGATTGAGGCTTGCCAATAAAGACGAGATCGCCCAAAACACGACTTTGGGAGGTTTTGCAATGACCCTATCCCGTTAACAGTCTTCGTGCTACGAAAATCAACACTCGTTTCCTGATTGCGCGTCACTAGATCGAAGTTGTACCCAGCGAAAAGGCGAAGGCCCCTGGAGGGAACGCCCACCATCATGATACCCAATGCGCCCATAATACGACTACCTACGTCGACAATAACGTACACACTAGCCCTAGTGTTGAGTCTGTTACTCTGCGCTTCTGGAAGTGCTGATGCGACGGAACTATTGCATGACTCCGTATTCGATACCGAACTACTGATCGAACGAAGCGATGCATTCGATCTGAAATACGAACCTGACTTTGGCGTATTCGATCGCAGTATACTCGGTCGTGCGCCAGCCGAACAACCGCTTCTGACCAACAATGGCCCGGATAGTCGACCAGTGAGTCCTGGAGAGACTATCTGTTACGTCGTGGATAAAAAGATATTATTCGGCAATGATAAGAGGAGCGACGACACTCATGAATCGAGGGATGATGGAAAGGAGGAGTCTGGTCATCGAAATTCCCGCCGAGCAGAATCAAAGACCGTTTATATATCCGCAAACACCTGCTCGAGACCAACACTGAATTCTACGGATAAGGACAACAATCCTGAAACAGCACCACAACTCAGTCTCTATACTTCAACATCGAGCAAAATCAAGTGCCCTGACTTGTCCAACTATAACAAGACGAATCCCGATCTTCAAAGAGTACCTTTCGATGAGGGTGCAGCCATGGTCACTGTTAATGCAACTGATGCAATCTATATCAGTGTAGCGGCCCCAAACATTACAAAAAAGCACAGCGGGGATTGGAAATATCAGATCGCGATATCTTTCGACGAATATTACCACAACTATGACTCCCAGGACGGTACCGCTCGGCTGTTGTTGATGGATTTTGATTCAACATCGGCACTTCTTGTTACTAGTAATTTGACCGAGGACTCAAGTGAGACTCAGCAGATTATGAAAAGGCCGCCTCCTTACCAATTATTTGTTGGTGATGAAAAATTAAAGTCTATTGATGGCCTGCGACACTCAGCGTGTGGCCTCACCCAGAGCGCTGAAATTTGGGCGAACGGCAATAAGACAGGGCGACACAATGACCTAGTTACCACTGGTGTTACGACACGAGGGCCTGGCCAGCTGCCCAAGCAACAGTTCTTAATCGCAGGCCTCAACCACAGTACATCGTACTCTGGCATCCTTGTCAAGATGCCAGAAGGTAACAGCAAGCGCGCTGGTCAAACAACAGGCGGTGGAGGTACAGTCTACCGTGCCACCTCATTTCAGACATCATCCAGTAAGCCAAAATTACAATTCGGGTATCTTATTCACAGTTAACCTCTTTAGGCTCCAACTGCAAGATGGTCACAAATCTCGACTTCTGCAACGAGACACAATATGCTGTTCCAGGCAATGAAAAGAAGTTCAACAACACGGCACTGGCAAAACACTATGATGACTACGCCAGAAAGATGTATGCCAACTTTGAGAAGGTTCTGATGCAGATGCCCTGCGAGACACCCCCCGAGTCACGCTACTCGCTCGCGCGAGATTGTGATGACTGTCGCCAGGCCTATAAGCGCTGGCTCTGCACCGTCACTATTCCTCGCTGTGAGGATGTTATGGGTGGTGGCAGGCACAGTGTTGTCCGCAACGCTTTCCAGGCTCTCCCTAATGGAACTGAACTACCTGATAATTTTCGAAAGGGGCTCACGTTATCTGCGAATAACTCTTCACGAAACGCCTGGATCGACGAAACTGTCAACCCTGGCCCTTACAAGGAGTTATTGCCTTGCGAGGATATCTGCTACGATGTCGTCCAGTCTTGTCCCTCTGCTATGAATCTCAAGTGTCCGCAACCCGGTTTCCCGAGTTTCGAAGTGAGCTATGGACAGCGGTCCGATACTGGTAGTATAACGTGTAACTACCCAGGCGAGGCGAGGACGAAGACCAGTGCAGCAAATATTGTACATCCAGGTACATTTATACTGAGCGTGGTGTCATTGATGATCTGCTTGGTGCTATGAGGAATCATATTCTTGGGTATGTTTGGAGTTTAGATGGCGTTGATTTAGATGCCTTGGCCACATAGTATTGTAATAACCTGACCATATTATGACCATCCTTTTTAAGATGATTTATACGTGATTTGGCAGCCTTAAAAAAAGCCCAACTGTTCTGTGTTCTGCAATTCAATTTTCGTCTTCAATCTAGACTCTAAACCTTTTTCGCCTTTGTCGCAGCATCGTACTCCTTGATAGTCGTTTCTAGTGTCTCGATAGTCGCTACAAAAAGCAATGTTAGCCAGCTCGTCTTGTCGCAAGCACTCTTCAAGACCAACCATCTCGTTCGGCGCGGATCTCGTCCGTCTCAAGCTTCACCCATGACCAGTATGCAAGCTGATATACGAATACAGCGATAAGAAGCGTTTTTGCGATCGGCCGTGTGAAAGTGCGATAGAATTGGGACTGTAGCTTTATCAGTATACGCATCAATTGTACATATTTGTATGCGTACCGTTGGGCTGGGCTGAGTCTTGCTCGCATACGTCCTTCTGCTGACCGAGAACAAGCCTCTGTTATACACGCTTCTTGGCGCAATTGCAGGCCGTAGCCTCGTCAATGCTGCGGAAATCATGATGTTGATGTGTATCCGTAGTGAATTGAACTGAACATTCGAAAGGCAATCAATAAGCTTCAGTCACATAAACACCAGCCACATGAACTGTGGCGGCAAGGCGCATCAAGTGGGGGAGGGGCCGGGTGGGGGACGGAAGGAGCAGTCCCTAGCACGGTACCTGCCTCCCCTGCCCATTTATACGCGGTCTTTAATAAGGGGAAAGGAACACATGTCCCCAAAATTGTTAGCAGCCCATTTAACTTACAGGCCTCTGAAATCTGTCCCCTAGTCGATCTCTGAGCTAGTACTTGAACACTCGCAATTTCCATATCCGAAGCAATTCGCTTTTCAACGACTTGATTCCTCCTATATAACCAATCTCAATCCTTTCGTTTATCCATTTTTATTACTACTCGTCAACACTTGACCTTCAGACACGATGGTACATCGCTAACCCGTGGAACCCTGACTCGACACTGTCGATCTCATGATGGAGATGGAGCTAACATGATACCTTTCTTCCAGGCGCAAACTCCCCAGCAGCGACGACGCAACGAGGCCTTTGCCAAGGTCAATGAGAACAAGATGGGCAAGGCCGAGCAACAAGTCAAGAAGCGCGTTGAGAAGGTTCAGAAGTCTCCCATCTCTATGTTCTGGATCAGTAAGTCCTCGAGCTAGCCAAGCTCTTGTCGCAAAGCGGTTCAAGATACTAACAATATCCTCTCTAGCCATCCTCGGCTTCGTTATCTTCGGTGGTCTCGTCTTTGAGGGTCTCTCCCGCTTCTTCGGTTAAGCTTTCGATTCAATATCTGTATTAAAAACATACACACAAAAACAAACAACACAAATACCCCGACCAAGTCTCGCTCAAGCGGTGGCATCGCAATGTTTTGGAGTATAAGAGGTGTTAACGGCCTTCGCGCCGCGCGATAGCTATAGACGAGCGTGGGTCACCAGTCCACCGTCCAAAAAGAGCTCAAGAGGGGGCAAGACCTGTATTGTATTTCGCCATTGGAGGAGCTTTCTTGATATCACAGGGAATTTGGGGAGAAACAGGCGCAATTTGAATTCAACATAAATCGATTTCTTTTCGAAGATTAAAACAAGTGGTTGATCTCTTTGCTTTTTTGTCTACCCGACGCCATGCCATGAACCGTGAGATGAAAACAATAGCCCTTTGTACAAGAACTTGACCTGCTGATGCTAGCCGATACCAATTCCGAAATCTTGAACAATTACGCGCCAAGACCACGACGCTTGCTTCCACCCTCGTTCTTCATCTTCATGCCAGCCTCAAATTGCCTCTGGATATCGGCTTCGGCCTTGGTGGAATCAGAAGCGCCCTTGGAGCCATGAGCGGCAGGGGCAGTAGCACCGGCCTTCTTGCCTCCCAACAGACGTAGGAACTTGGCCTGTCTAGCAGAACCGCCTTCGAGATCGTCGACTTGCCATTTCTCAGCCTGAGCAGCGGGCTCTTCAGAGTCCTTGGCTTTGGACTTGGACTTGGACTCGGACTCGGCCGCTCGCTTGCGCTTCTTCTCGGCCTTGTCCTTCTTCTCCTTCTTGTCTTTCTTCGCCTTCTTCTCTGAAACCTTAGGCTCCTCGTCCTCGGATTCAGATTCGACAGCCTCTTCCTTCACCTCCTCGGGCTCGACGACCCTCACTTTCTTCTCTTTCTTTCCCTTCTTATCCTTTTTCTCCTTCTTGGGCTTTTCAGGCTCCTCTGCTCCCGCAGGGACATCGGCGGCGGAGATGCGGCTTCGCTCGGAGCCGGCGTTACTCAATCGACGGTGCTTCATGACGATCTCATCGGCGGGAACGTCGGCGGGGACTTCGGTAGGCTGCTTCTCGACAGGGGCACCACCCTTGTTCTCAGAGGCATCGGAAGCCTCTGAAGTGTCGGATTCAGAAGAACTATCGGAGTCGGAAGAACTGTCGTCCTCGTTGACATCAGCATCTTCCATGTTCTGGTCATCACTCTCCTCAGACTTGGACTCGGCCGCATTCTTCTGTATGGCACAATCAGTATGCAGGACATGCATCCCCAAGTGATCATCTTACCTCGGCATCGAGAAGAGCTTGGTACTGAGCAGCGGCTTTCTTAGCCTCAATGAGCAGCGCAGCTGCCTTCTTTTCTAGCTTATCGGCGCGGAGCTTGAGCTTTTGCTTCTTTGCGTCATTGACAACTCGCTTTGGTCCATACTTGTCCTTCTTAACATCAGAGGCCTTCTTAACCTCAGCAGTGGCCTTGGCCTCCTTCTGAGCACGTTTCTCCGCTTTGTCGACCTTCTTAGCCTTGCGATCCTCTTGAATGGCCTCCTTGCCCTTGAGGACCTTGTTACCTGGCACTTGTATTAGATGCAATTTCGGTATAGGGTAAAGATAGTAGCGGAGAATATAAATGTAAACATAAAGCTGGGATTGAACATACCCTTGGCCTTGGCCTTTGTCTCGGGGTTGCGCGATCCCATGGTGCTGATTTGGAAGTGTCGAGAAAAGGATTAGATAAAGGGCCCGATGGGTGGAAACGAGTCTCAAGCTCTAGTCGGTAAACTTGTTCGTATGATATGAAGATAGAGGTTTCAATGCCTTGTGGTTAGAGATGGTAGTGAAGAATGGCGCAAAGAAGAATTGACGATAGCTTCACGGAATTCACGACTAAGAGGCAGAATTGCCACTTTTTCTGCCGGGCGGTATATGAAGAAGGTGACAGGGATGCAAGCGTCAAGTGCGAGCCACATCGAAGTATGTGGAGTCTGCGATTGCCCGATTAGGTAGTTGCTACTTGAGTCTGTAAGACAGCTTCCTGCCATTGCTTTGACTGTGATCTGTGATATACTAAAAATCGTCAAGTAAGGCCCTCTCTAATTTTGAGAGAGAAGAAATCTACATATATCAAGTAAGGTGGATCAGGTTTAATCGAAGTTGTCATCAGATAGTAATGTCGGTGACCAGGAAACATCTCTTTGCTTCAAAGAAGTCCCAGGATATGGGATACTATGCTATAAGAGGAGAGGTATCATAGACTACGAGCCGCTTATACGAACTACACAACCTCTTGCCTTGATGTTTCAGATCATTGAGATATTTAAATAGAAAAACCCTCGTCATGTCAAAGGATTAAATGCCTGTTCGATTGTGTGGAGTTTATCCCTCCTTCGCCTCCATCTTAAACGCCAAGAACAGAGTGAGGTATACAGTAAGTAAGTTACAGCATGATCTATGAATAGAAAGAGACAAGAGAGATTCTCGTCTCCTGTCTCTCAGTCCCAGCATTATAATTAGGTAGTTCTTCACCCCCTTGTGACCATCCCTGGCCTTCGTCTCAAAGTCTCAGCCGCATCCAATAATAGAAATCCAGCCCAAAAACACCAGATTTGCGTGAGCGAGTGGGGTATCACCAGAGAAACTCCAGAGAAGAGTGTGTGCAATAGTTCGTATAGTGACATTAATCGTGATACAATGGTTCGGTTATTCGCATCTTCTATGCTCCCTTGTATTTGTGGTCAGTTGGCGTCTTTTGGAACCATAGGCAGCTGAACTTACAATCGATTATCCCAGTCTATTGTTCTGGGCTTGGGTTGTACAGATAGGCATCGTCGTAGTAGAATTCATCTGCACCACTGGTCTCGCCATAGGCTTGTTGCGACCACTGTGTGTTGTAGGACGGTGAAGCTCCGTATCCTGTCGCAAAGCTATCGTCTGCGCTGTGTGTTCCTCTCCTGCTACTGCTGTGTCGACTCTCAACTTCTTGGCTTCTCCCGACAAAGGGGCCAATGTTCATGCTGCCCCAGGGAAGGCCTGAAGGTTCTGAATAGGAGCTGAAGTCACTGGCGGAGGGGATTCGATAGCTGTTGCCAGCATATTCCTGATTCCTGGAATCACGCTCTGTCCTCTCTTTGTTCTCTCGTGCCTTTTCTCCTATATTGCGTATTAGCCACTGTAAACATTTGGTTGAATAGGGAGTCTTACGGAACTTGCGCTGAGCGATTCGGTTCTGGACCCTTCGTCTCTCTTCAGGATCTGCGATGTCTGCCCAGTCAAGATCATCTATTGGAGTAGATTTTGACTTTTTGGAAGAATGTGATGAGGAGCTACCCTTGGAGGAGCTGTGAGAACCATGCGAGCTATGTCTTGAACTTCCACCCATCTTGTTCTTTTCAGAGGTTTGTGAGTGCTTCGACGAATGCTCTTTTTCTTTGTTCTTGGAAGTTGACGAAGATGACCCCTTGCGATGCGGTGGCGCAAGTTTTGATGACGAGCGAGAATGCTTGTCTTTTGTCTTCTCCTTCTGTTGTGTCTCTTGACTAGCAATCTCAGGAGAAGGACTCTGTATCTGAATTTCTGGTGTTTGTAGATTTGATGACGACTGTTGCGACAAGGACATCTACTCGCAAAAGCTCATATATAAGGATGCTGAAGACCAAGATGTTGAGATTGTAGATACAAACAGTAGGAGACCATTTATATCTAGGGTTCTTATTCTAAGTTGAAGTTGTTGTCTGATGGAGATCGGGGGCCAAGTTGTATGTAGTCTAATTAAGTGAAAGATATTGCACCTTGAGCTTTAGACTCTGAGGATTGAAGAATGAAATGATAATAAGACTGATAGATAATATCTGATCCTGAAGTCGATTTAACTCTGATAGTATAGAATAGTATATAGACAGAACTCGAGATGAAGGGACGAGGCCACATACATGTATCTATAAGGCAACAACTTTTAAGTACAAGCTAAGCTAAAGCGAAACAACCTTGACCATCATAGGCCGTACCTGACGGACCCAATAGCTAGGGCCCATGCGACAGCGGGACGATGGAATCGGCCAGGACCGGGGTGAGTTTGACTGTTTCCTGGGAAATGGGTGTGAGGTAATGGATGGTTTAACAGCCGGGTAGGGCAGAATTGACGTATGGAGATTACGAGGAGGGCACGAGGCAAATGCGTATGTAGGTAATTTGGCTATTGGTGAGACCTCTTTTTTTGCTTTGACTAACAAGGAGGATTTCTACAGGGGGAGAGACTTGTGGTTAGAGTATAATTCCCGAGAGCCTAAGCCTGGGATGCAAGTGTAAGGGTGTGTAAGGATAAAGGGTGTGAAAGACGAGCACTATCAGATCCGAAATCCTCCTTTGTGACTGAGGCCGCGAGGTCTCGTGGTGCATTGAATATGCATACGTATCCTATTACTATTGCAGTATACGATTCGAGTAACTGATTCATCTGCTGTACGTCAGGAACATGCAGTTGTCTGGACCCATGACGGTGAAGGAGTCATACTCGAGGAACCTAGTAATCACTCACCTACTGTACAGACTACAGTCCCTGTCTTGACTTACAAACGTCCCCTGGCGTTCCCCATAGTCTGGGCCGGGCCAAGTTTAACCAGGACGGATTGGGAACCACAGTACGTATGTGCCCACGTACAATATCTACGTCAAAAAGGAACAGAATAGAAAGGGAATACGTATGTATATTCTGCACGCGAATCCTCTCTGCAAGGCCCCATGTCTTGTGCATTCGAAACTTGTCATGGGTTATCATGCCATGCAGGACTCGTTCACTTACACTGTCCGTGAATCCTAAGAGTGAATGAACGGTACAGTAGCGTTGCCAAGCCACTCGCCCTGAAATGGTGAGCAAACGGCTATCATGGGCCGAGAGCGAGCGATACGACGGAGCCGGAGACGGGGGAAACAGAGGCTTAGCTCCATGCCACGAGGGAATTAGACGGTAGGAATGCGCTAGAAAACGAGCCCTGTCAGGCCAATCATTGGCCTGAATCAATTAACAGGATGCTGATATTGTGGCTTATACGGCACAACTGATCTGATCTGTTGTGATTGTAACCTATTCAGCTGTACCAGGGAAGTATTTTGGTGAATTTGTAGAAGCGAAACTCAATTCAATTGATGGACAATTAAGGAACTCGTCTCTTTGAATCCTTGTAATTATGTCACTGTCGATCCGGTATCCCCGGATCTTGGGTGCCGGGGTATTCGTGACAGGGATTTAATAAGAGTCATTGCAACTATTAGGAACTGAACTATGTACAGTACCGAGAGAACCAATTCCGATGACTGCCATTGGATATGGACACTGTACCTGTTTGCTCTGTTCTACATTGCACACCGTCTGTTTCCCTCCTATCTGTTGAAATTAACGGAGACTATCTAAAAGGGCTGCCTTGCGTAGTTAATATCGTTGCCTTAAGGCTTCCACATCATGGCCTGTCTCAGAGGTTACGTATATCCATGTATAGGTAGGTAGATATAAAGACACGTTGATATTAGAGTATCCAGGCAGATGAATAGATGATGTAAAGATTGAAGCCTATCTTTAACTTAACTCCGAGCCGAACACCAACTGTTTACTGCAGTCTTCAGCCCTACAAGAGTAACAACCATTACGAGTTCGCATTCGCACGACATTCCTCAATGACATAACTGAACTGGTTGGGAGGAAACCAGTATAAGTTTACTGTATCACAGTATCACTGAAGAGAAATAAAGTTATGCAGCCTCAAGCATAAAATGAAGAGTCATACTGAAGATGTGACTTGGAAGAAAACCCTCACGCTAGGTACTTAGATGTCTCCTAAAGGGCGTGCGTGACCCAGCGCAATTTGGTGATCTGCCGTCGCTAGAAAAGTTCCAGGAAACCTCGATTTATTTAGGATCCATTACCAATCGGGAAGTACCTCTACGACTTTTTATCGGTAGTTCAGCTCGTCTTGGCGTCTTCGCAGGTTGTATCGGTGATATCGGATGATCGACGCCCATATACTGTACTTGTGATAACCTCGAGACCATATTTAGGCAGCCTTTGCAATGTTGCATCGTGTTAAGCTTCACCTAGATTTGACACCGGGGAGGCGGCCTTGCCTTTTCTTCTCTCGTTCGTCATAGTTACTTCTTTAGTTATTGAACGGTAAGATGCCAAACAAAGGTCCCTTGATAGCTGAAACTCTAACGTGATACGTTGGGGGCCATTCTCAGTAACGCGTCTAGATGCATTACTGTTTGTAATTATAAGTCACCGAACTCGAACAATTGCGAATAGAGCCTTTGACAACTGCATAAAAGATATACGGTGTTTAATATTCACTGGTGAATAGGCACATACATCAAAGGAAACGATAAACCATAATCTAGCAAGTTAAATCCTAAATGATTGAGATCATATTCCATAAGCTCCACAGTCATAAACATGACTAGTATTCAGAGCTGAGATGTGATTCTATATCTGACTCATTTGTATTGTGAAAGTGGCTGCATATTCCATCCCTTGACCTTAACATAGCCCACCCAAACTACAACACCTATGCCAAATAATGAGGAGTAAACTCATTGAAAAAGGGAACCATTGGTTATTTTAACAGAGAGAAAAGGTCGTCTTATGTATAATTATAGTTATCTCACACTCAAGTGAACATCACTAGAGCACACCTGCATATAAGGCATCTGGTACAGGGTACGGGTAATGTACCCAGCTTCACAATCACAGCAACAACCACAAATCCAGGGTCTTTGTCGAACATAGTGTTTAGGAGTTCTTCGTGGCTTAGTAACTTCCCGCCAAGCTGGACTAGAAGTTGTGGCACAAGAGTCACTTCTGCACAAAGAAGTCAGCAGTTACACAACTACACAACTTTGATGGAGTAAACGTTGATTGCCATCTAAAGACGGAAGAATGCTACCCAACCCCGCAAAGCATACTTATTCAGTCAGTTGTAAATACAAACTAAGTAGGCAATATCTGATTCTATGCCCCAAGGGTGGTGTATTGTTCTGCCACCACTTACAAGTTACCACAAAGTCTAGTTCAGTCTCAACAGCAGGCAGAACTTAGTAGGCTTCCTGTAGCACGACGACATGAAATCACTTGACTGTGTCAAGACCACGTACTAGAGCCATTGCGTACGCTTTATCATAGCCTGCTATCGGTCGGGGGTTAACCTAGGCAGTTTTGACGGGATGACGGCCCGCTCAATGAACGCTCATGCAGGGCAGCCTTGGTCTTCCAGGACCTAGCAGGTGGATGTCAGAAGAATTGTCCTCTAATGCTTAGGCTACAGAAATAAAGCAGCCTGCCGGTCTAAACTGACCTAAAATGACCAAGTTGTTTCGTCTCTTATGCTCCCCGGGGTCAATTACTCTGACACCGAGAGGCCTAGTAAAGCCATCTGGGGTAAGACAGTTGAGATTCCTGTATTGTTCTAGTCGGCCATCATTGCTGGGAAGCACAATAACGTAAATATCAAAGTATCGCTCAATGACTTAAAACCAGTGATTTATCACAGTGACACCCCAGATACTATCGGAATATATTCGTCGTGAACTTACCCATCCAATTTTACAGTAACGGTCCATAGAAACATAATATCGTGTATCATTGCGCTTGGGTCAAATCTTTTCACCACATCGAATAACCCAAGACCAACACTTGAGTGAAACATGCTTTTGCTCAGCTGTTCATAAGCCCCAGTCGTATCTGCTAAAACTACAGTGGTAAATATACATGTCATGTCTTTTTTGGCCCTTATCCAACTACTACATGTTGGCCAACATCTCGGCCTCCCGCTCAGCTCTTCGCTCCGCAGATCTCTTCTTGAACCTGGTCTCGGCCCTTCTTCGCTCACCACCATCAATCTTGCGGCCCTGGCGGTCCTCCCACATTCCTTCTGTAACCTTCACAATAACTCCTGAAGCTCCGGCCAGAGGTCGGGCATAAGGTCCAGCGATCGTTTGGGCACCCACGACCTTGTATCCGTTTGGTCGCACTAGTTCTGAGCTGACATGCGTTGGGGCCTTCTTGGCCTTCTTGGAGGGCTTATCAGTAGCCTCTTCCTCAACCGCGGGGGCGATGTCGTGGGGCACGTTGACGACCCATTTCGTATCACTCAAGGTCGAAGGTGGTGGTGTCGCAACCTTGAGAACAGCCTCTCCGTTCTTCACATACTGGAAATCTCCACCAGGTCCCAGGGATCCCTTTCTGTATCGCTGCATCCAGTGCAAAAGATATCGGCGGTTTCGTGGTGGCTCGATGCCCAGCTCCTTGAGTTGCGGCGAGGTGAGGGAGAAGAGAGCGTTCCATGAGGGGAACTTGTTGGCGTATTTGTTGAGGCCGCGGCCGATCAGGGTGAGAAAAGTCGGCACATCGGGAACGAAGGGTACAGGCTTAGGGATGGGATGCGCAGGTCGTGTCTTGTGAAGTTGTCGGATTTGTCCTGTCCTTGAAAAGGCACTGCCGCTCTGCAGAAGCAGGCCAAATGTTGACCTGAGTCGTTCGCCCTTCATTTTGCTAGAGACATGGTATTAGAAATTTGCAGAGAGAAAATTGGTAATGACGATTGAACTCACAATGTTCAATGGGTCGAATGACAACCAATTCAGCCGCTCCTCAGAGTCAACGTCAAAGTCTCACAAGCTCACGAACGTTGATCTCGAAATTTGACGATGGGTCCCGTTATGTCAGCAAGGCTAGAGTGACTGTGGCTGTCAGTACCACATCGACTTGTGGCGTTCTTGATTTAAGTGATCCTATTGGTGCTGCAGCGCTAGGCTGCTGCCAGGTTACTTACACCATAGTCCTACCTCTTTCTTAGCACCTCTACCTTCCTCTTTTCTCCCTCCTACAACACATGAAACAAAACCTGCCATCTCTACCATCTTCAGATTCTACGATAACACTACCTCCATCCAGAACCCATCGGTGTTAGATGAAAAGAATAGCAAATCATGCCGCCAAGAACCAAGCGACCTCCCAACTACTTAGCAGTTGGGAGCAGTGGTAAGTCAAGATATCTTTATTTCTCGACGCTGTAAGAGACGAATATTTCATCTCTATTTCAAATAAATGATGAAGTTTTTGATGAATCCTCATTTCTTATGTCCAAATTTTCTTGCGGAAGAAGAAGGTTTTCCTGGCTAGTAACTTGGTGGAATGATTAAGCACTCTCACCATTCTTACGACAGATATTCCATAATAGTGTTCTTTCAGACTCTTGGATTCAACCGCTCACTCTCATACATAGATCTAGTCCCGGCTAAGTTCGTGGAAAGCCTCATAAATCTTGCCACTTCTGCAAATGAATCTTTACAGCAGGCTCCTGAGCCTCCTGCCAAGCGTCGCAGGCTGGACACTTCTCTATTAGTCGGAAAAGCTGTTTTCAGTGTAACTCGCCAGTGCACGGAGTCTTCACAGAAAACAGTTTCTTGCAAGGACATCCAGCGTTATATGGATGTTCGTGTGCGGCCCCTTGCGCTCAATGTTTCATCAACTGAAGATTGCCCTGTTGACCCGATCAACGCCACCATCAATCTCCGGAGACTGGAAGAAGACAACCAGTTGAAGATCCTAACTGACTCCTACCGAGTCCATAAGCGAGCACACCAGCCTAATGCAATATGGCAAACGACAGACATGAAACTTGAGTGGCGAGGAAAGCAGGTTAAACTGACGTTTTCGTACAACTTTCACTGGGCCGAATCTTCATCACCCTACTCAGACTTGAGATCATTAGAAGAGCGCAAGCAGAGTCAGAGGTTCATCAACTTTATATTACGTGGTTCTGCCTTGACGGATCCAGACAGATCGCGCTGGTCCCCTATGGTCTTTTACGACGCTGCTTTCGTACCCCCGAAAGATGATACAGTAGCAGAAACCATCCAAATCGATGCCCTGGACTCGAAATTGTTTCCATATCAAAAGAGGTCATTGCAGTGGTTGCTACAGCGCGAAGGCGTACAGTGGTCCGAAGCAGACAGAGGCGTCGTACCATATGCCCCCAGCGATCTGGAGAGGGCATACGATTTCCAAAAGCTCAGTGACCTGAATGGGAACGAATACTATCTGAGTGAAGCATTCCATACTGTGACTACGGATCTGACACTATTTCGACAAGCGGAAAACTCAATCAGAGGCGGTATTCTAGCAGAAGAGATGGGTTTAGGCAAGACCCTGGAAATTCTTGGCTTAGTCGTGCTTCATGAAAGATCGCGACCTCTGATCCAGAGCACTTATGAGGCCGAAGCCAAACTCACGCCGACCGGCGCTACATTGATTGTGACCCCTGAATCGTTGAAGGATCAGTGGGCATCTGAGATTGCTCGCCATGCCCCTGGCCTGAGTGTCAAAGTTTATGAAGGCCGAAAAAAGATTGTCGACGAGAATGAGGAACGTATCATCAATGAGCTCGCTGGCCATGATATAATCATTACAACTTACTCGGTATTGTCCTCCGAGATCCACTATGCAACTGCGCCCCCTGAGCGTTCGAGACGACACGCACGAGTGTACCACCGACCAACATCTCCCCTGACCCAGATTGCGTGGTGGCGAGTCTGTCTGGACGAAGCACAGATGATTGAGAACGGTTACAGCCAAGCGGCTAAAGTCGCTCGTGTCATTCCTCGGGTCAACGCTTGGGGGATCACCGGTACCCCCGTAAAGGATCACATCGACGATCTCCAGGGCCTGCTACTTTTCTTGCAATATGAGCCACATTGCTCTTCCACCAATATCTGGCGAGACCTCCCTAAGTCTTCCTTCCAGAGTCTATTCAGAAGCATCACTCTCCGGCACACAAAGTCAATGGTCAGAGATGAGTTACTTATACCCGCGCAGAAGCGTTACGTGATCAGCATGCCCTTTACAGCTGTCGAAGAACAACACTACCAATCTCTCTACCGACAGATGGCGGAAGCCTGCGAATTAAGCCTTGACGGATCACCGCTTGTAGATGATTGGGAACCGGATGATTATAAAGAAGAAATGAAAAGTTGGTTGGTGCGACTAAGACAGACGGCACTTCACCCTGAGATTGGGAGCTCTAATCGCCGAGCACTTGGTTCCAGCAAGAATCGTCCTATGAGGACTGTCGATGAAGTTCTGGATGCAATGATTGAACAGAGCCACACCGCAATTCGAACGGACGAAAGAGCTTACTTGTCAAGTCGACTTACACGAGGCCAATTGTACGAAAACAGCCCACGAGTGAAAGAGGCCTTGGAAATTTGGACATCAGTTCGAGAGCAGACCCGAAAGCTCGTTTCCGATGCCCGAGCTGAAATTGAAAATCTACTCAAAGCCCAACCAGGCGGAAAGACCAAGAGCGCCAATAGCGATGAGCTTGATATTGATTCTGACGATGAGACTGAACTCGAGGGCAAAGGTCAGTTGACTGAAAGTCGACGACAACTTCGATCAGCATTGGAAATTGATCATAAAGCCGTCTTTTTCTGCGCGAATGCTCATTTCCAAATCCGAGAGAACCCAGAAATGACTGAGCCAGATTCCGAAGGTTTTCATCGGATAAAGAAGCTCGAGGAGGATGGATATGAAGAAGCGAAAGTCATCCGAAGAGAGATTCTACGCGATCCTCACCGCAAAGCAACCCGGCCTATGGCGAAGCTAGCACAAAAAGCATCTGATCAATCTTTTGTCGAAATTCCGGAACTCACGCTGAGCGAAGTACGAGGCATCGAAAGTGGTCCCATTCTGGACGATTTGGAGGCATTGTATGGTGAACTCAACGATCAAGCCAATTTGATCGACGAGTGGAGGGAACATATTGTTGGGCTCCTCTTAAAACCCCTGGTTGATGAAGAAGGCGACGATGAGACAACTGGAGAAGAATATGGCGAATCAGCCAGGATCCAGGACGAACTTATGGTCTATGTTCAAGCTCTCAGAGCGGCCGTCACCGATCGCCAGGACGCCCTCACTGGACAAAACAACGAGCTGATCTCACATGAGACCAAGACCTCGTTGAGATTAGCAGCAAATGGCGAGGGGCCTGCTCCAGAGAAGCTGATCGAGCTTATGACATTGCGAAACCAGACAAAACCAAGAACGACATCAATGAGAAAGGTCATAAGCGAATTCAGGACTTTGACCTCAAAACTCTCCAAAGATACAAAACGAGACAGCATGGAGCGCAGGATCGTAGATCAACAGCTCAAAGCGACTCAGGCAAATCTAAACGCACAGAGCAAGCTAGCTCTCGAAGCCGAGATCGACAATTTCACGACTATTATGAACCAACGGTTGGAGTATTACCGCCAACTGCAAGTAGTTTCTGACAGTGTTCTCCCTTACGAGGGCTCTACAACCCCCAAAGTTGAAAAGCAGATGCAGACAAGTGAGGATACACTTCGCCAGAAGCTTTCTGCAGCGGAAGCCAAGCACAGATATCTCCTTCATCTCAAGGAAACAGGCAACAAATCCAGCGAGCCACGGATGTGTGTTATCTGTCAGACTCCGTTTACGGTTGGTGTCCTGACCGTATGTGGCCATCAATTCTGCAAAGAATGCATGATGTTATGGTTCAAAGCGCATCATAACTGTCCCGTATGCAAGAAAGAGCTGAAGACTTCTAACCTACACGATATCACCTTCAGCCCACAGCAGCTCCAAGTCCACAGTGACAATCCGGATCAGGCACATGATGACACCGAAAAGAGCCCGCAACAAAACTTGACCGGAGTGCTGAAGAAGACGGGAATTTACTCTGAATTTAATTCAGACAAGCTAGCTGAGATCCAGAACATTGAGTTGGATGGGCCGTCTTTCACTACCAAAGTCGATACACTTGTTAAACATCTAATGTGGCTACGAGAATCAGATCCTGGAGCGAAATCAATTGTCTTTTCCCAGTACAAGGGATTTCTAGAGATTCTGAAGAATGCTTTCTCGCGATTTGGTATTGGGCATACGTCCATTGACGACTCGGGAGGCATCAAACGTTTCAAAGAGGATGCCTCAGTCGAGTGCTTCCTCCTCCATGCCAGAGCCCACTCCAGTGGCCTCAACCTCGTCAACGCAAGTCACGTCTTTCTTTGCGAGCCTCTCCTCAATACGGCGCTTGAGCTTCAGGCCATTGCACGTGTGAACCGAATTGGTCAAATGCACGAGACAACAGTGTGGCTTTACCTGGTATCTGGCACAGTTGAGGAGTCAATTTACAACCTCTCAGTACAGAGGCGAATGGAACACATGGGTCGTGGCAATAAAGGCAAATCGAAGGAGTCGACCCCGGAACTGCTCGATGCCAATATCGAAGCGGCCAACACACTCGAGCTTGAGCAAGCGTCTCTTTCCCGCTTGATGAGCAAGGACAAATCGGCAGGCGAGAATGTAGGAGAGAACGATTTATGGGAATGCCTCTTCGGACATGTTGCTCATGGAGACAAAGAACCTGAGAAAGATACCCGACTTCAGGAGAATGCAGTCATGAGTTATCTGGCGGCGGAGGCAGCTGATGAGAGGAACGGCTCTGCGAGCTAGACACGAATGTGATGAGGGGTACCTACTTGAGTTTAGGACTATGTTATGGCATGGGCTTGATGTACGTTAAGAATTGTGGGAGAACTTTAGGGAAAGAGTTATAGTGCAATGAGCGCAGGAATACTCTCGATTTAGCATACGACATAGCATTCTATGATACTGGCTGTACCAAGCTTTTGCGATTTCCCTTGTGCTACTAGACGATAGATACCGAGCGTCATGCAAACCTCATCAGTGAAAACTAAGTGCATCATAAACACGCAAAAACATCATTATCATTTATTCGATGTTCCTTGTAGTACATGTAGTATACAGCAGAGGCTTTTGGCCTGTCATCTGGTTATGTGACCCGTTGGATCATCTCTCATGGTCCATACCATGATTCCAGCCTACACAGACATTTGCCATCCCGTCCCTTGAAACTCAATACATGGTTTCATTACACAACACACGCGCATTAGAGCGCAATGCGTTGGAAGAAGATGCTTCACTTCTTTACTCGACTCGCTTAGCCTTGGCGCTGGCGCTAGACTTGACGCGTCGGGCAACGGGGCGGTTGATGTGGTGGTCGGGAATCCAGCTCTCATCGTAGTCCTTGTCAGAGACGACAGCAACGGGGACGGCCTCGGAGCCGGAGAGAGGCTCGGCAACCTCGACGATCTTCTTGGTCTTCTTAGTGGTGCGGGGGCGCTTGGCTTGAGGGAAAAGGGCCTCGATCCAGGTCTTGTAGACAAAGTAGAGAGTACCGGCGAAAGCAGCAGAGAGGAAGAGGTAGAGGAAGATGCTGGATGTGTGGTTAGCTTGCTGATGAGACATAATTAGGTGAAAACGTACATCTGGGGGTCGAGGAAGCTGGTGGGAGCCTCAACGATAGAGGCAGAGCCGTTGTGGACCAGGACCTCGTGGAGGTGGCCGGTAGAGTCAGAGACGAGAGCCTTGAGCTGAATGCGAACATCTTGAGGCTGCATGTCCTGAGCAAAAGAGAAGGGAAGCTCCTTCTTCTCGCCGGCGGGGACCTCAATGTTGTACTGAACGGCAGTCAAGTTGCGGACAATGCTGACGTAGCTGGGGCTGTCCTCAGGGAGCTCCTTAAGGGTGTTGAGGGAACCAGAGACGAAAGCGACCTGGATAGGGTTGGCGTCCTGGTTGGTGACCTCGATAACAGCCTTGGTAGGGCGACCGTTGACAAGCTTCACGCCGAGAATGTCGGTTTCGGGGAAAGTAGTCTTGATCTCGGCCTTGAGGGGAGCCTTGGGAACGGCATTGGCATCAGGGGCGTCCTGCAGAGAGAGGAATGTTAGCTTTCCGGTGCGATTGGAGCTGAGCTGATCGCGCGACACGTACCTGGGCGACGGCGCCGAAGATTTGAGATGCCGCGAGGGCAAGAAGAGAAGCCTTGAAGAACATTTTCGATATAACCTGAGCAGACGGGGAGGGGAGGAGATGAGGGGAGAAAGAAGAAAGGAAGAAGAGGAAGAGGAAGGAGGGAAAAGAGAAGCTAGTGGAGATGATGGAATATGGGGGGAAACAGGTTCCAACTGTGGGTGTGACAATCTGGCCTCAGCCAACATACGGATATGGCAATGGATCTGGAGGCGACACATGCATGGAACAGGGGTGCTAGCTAAAGGTACAGGCGACTTGACTGTGGAGAAATGATGAGGTCGAGATTCGAATTCCTTCTTTGGCAGGCGATGGAGCTAAGCTCAGTGAGGGTTTCAGCGGGGAAGGGCCCTGGAGCTGGAGCTTGATTAGGGGTTTTAATCACTGTGAAAGAGCTAGAGGGAGCTTGGACCAATTGGATTGATAGCGCGGTTGGGTGACGGCTCAGGTCTGTACCTGTACGTTGTGAACTGTGATGCTTGCATTTCATGAGATCAATTGAGAATCGACTTTGGAGTGGCACTCAATTGGTGATTCGATTTGTGCTACGGCGAATATCTTGAACCCTCAAATTGACCAACGGGAAATATGGGCCATCCCGGAGGCTTTACCGTTCTGCCCTCCGTATGAATCGGCCCCGCTCCGGGTCGTTATCAGATATCGATTGCAACGCTGTATTACTGGTTTCAACGTTGTCAACATAATCTTAATCTTAAAAAAGAGTTATTCAAGTTCTTTTACAGTATCTGAGTTAAGCAATAGCAGAAGCAGGCGCGTCGAAATGTATAATCTATGGTCTCATAAAATTGTATGTGCATGTGCTTTTAATATGTACAGAATTACCCTAGTCCGTCTAAGCTGGAGAATCTTCAATATTCTTTTCTTCAGCATCTTTCTTTTCCTTCTTCTCCCAAGGCTCTAGAGGTGGTGGCTGGAAAAGCTCACCGTTAAGGCTTGCCTTTATAGTTCCACAAGCTACCATAATCCATAGTAGAGTCTCAACAACCGAAAATATAGTTCCTAAGACCTTGAAGAACCGTGAAGGAAGCTCCTGTGCCAAAGTCGTGGTAGCAACTGTAAAAACTCCAAGAGGGAAAGTAAACGCCCACCAAGAGATGTTAAATTTGAAGTCGCGCCTGACAATAGTGGCGAAAGCAAAGAATAGCCATACTATTGCGAATCCCCACATGATGAGGGCTGTGAGGATGCCGGTTAAATAGAAGAATTGACCAGCAATGGGAGCCATTGGTATAAAATCGTTCCTTTCAAAGACTTTTAGAGCAACTTTGCCGAGGAGCTGAATGGCTGCTGCGCCTTGGCCGAGAGGTCCGATGGTGATAAAAGATGTAACGGCGGCTTGACTCGGGATAATATCGTGAATCATGAGACGGTTGTAGTACATTGCCATGATGAGAATTGCCGTAGGCACACTGGTTCCCCAAAGGACATAGCTGACTATAACAGTCCATATAGCGTGTTGGTCGTTGGGAAGAACATTAGCGACTATGGCTCCTGAGCCAGAAGCGACGATGTCGGCGATGACGGGAAAGAGCCATGATGGAGTCACTTGGTTGAGTGTGATCTTAGGTCATAGTATCAGTATTTAGAGGTCATACAGAGACAAGAACTGGGGAAAGATGACTTACACCCTCTGTGCGCATGATACAATGGGGAATGTAGAGGTTGCATGATACTGCCATGACGATATCTATCCACCAAAGAGCCCAGGCAAGATGCGCTGCTTTGTCGCCCCAGGCCGGGACGCATACAAAGACTATCATGTTGATTATAGTAGCGAGTCCAACAGGGATTGTTCCTAATTGAAGATTAGTTTGAGATCATATCAATTGGTTATAGTAAATACTTACCCAAGAAGACGGCCTGCGCAGGATGTCGTAAAGTGGAAGACCATGTTCCTCTGAAATATGTATATCTCACGATAGATATACAACTAAATAGTGTGAAAATGGCAATATTCAGACAGAATATTATAACAGATATGTAAAATAGCCATCGTCCATGGTAAGGCAAATTATGCAGCAGAATAGACGTGATGCCAGTTCCCATAGTAACAGTGAACCACGAAGGGCCAAAATTGACAACAATTCTGCGCCATCCTCGTCGATTCTTTTCGTATTGGCTGTGTTTGAGTTCTTGCGGATTCGTAGGAGCCGCTTCAGGTTCTATTTCGGTACCTGAATATGCGATTTCGCTGGAGTCTGGGTCTGGGGGCGTCGGGAGACTCATGATGAGGAAGAAGAAGATGTGAGTTGGAAGAGCGTTGACACCTAAGAGTCTAGAAACAATGTAGCGTTATTGCGTTTCCATGGCATCACACGCCAGAAATCAAGTTATTTAAATAAACTGGAAATAAAAGGTAAAAGGTTTGAATTTACTAAAGAAATAGTCTCGTTACGTGACGTCGCGCAATCGGCATTTCGGCTCACGACTCGACTCGACCCACGAAGGGCCGTCATATTTCCCCCTCCCTCTCCCTCTCTCTCTCCTTTCTTAACTCAAACTCATGCCATTGAATTGACGGTGGGCGCATTCTCTTTATAGGATTCCCGCGGAGAAGCTGGAATTCACTTGGCGGTTGTTGAATTGTTTGAGTTGATCAGGGACCATATGATGATCAATTGCCCTCTCAGAGGCCCGAGTTGGTATAGAGTGGGAACCTTTTGGGTAAAAGGCCTATAAGGTTTGTGCCTGTTAGTCAGAGAAATTCAACGTCGGTTCATGGGTTCGAGTAGGACTTGGCCGATGACTACCTTGTGCTGTGGTATTGATCCTTGGATCATTCGAATGTCATCGTATGAATTGACAAAAAGATAGAATGTTTCATATCGGAGCATTGATTGAATGTTGCATCGGAGAATTAACAAGCCACTTACTTCAACGATCTACTGAAGCGATTGAATTTCGATTATGACAAAATCCGTATTCATAATTCAATATCTCATCTAATTTTTGAACCCATCCTAAGTATACCCCAAGCCCAAGGCGCCGTGAGCACGTAGCGTAGCACATTATCAACAACTGTAAGCAAACCTTCGCTTATATCCATCTCTCCTTTTATCATATCCTGGCTCGCCCCAAAAGTTCTACCATAAGAAACCGACCCATGAACAACAAAAACAAAACATAACCGGGGAAAGAAACATGATCTGATGTGATCACAGGCCATGCTTGCCAAAGTGGCTGTACTTGGGTGTCACGTACCCAGGCATCGTCTCTCTCTCCTCCACCGCCAAGTGCGCGCCTGCAATGCGCAGCAGCTGCGCACAAGGTTCTTGGCCTGACTTGACAGCGACAAATAGAGGCGAGTGGTTCGCCTTGTTACGTTCGTGCACACTTGCGCCCTGTTGCAACAGCTCCAGAAGGATCTCGGTGTTGCCAGCCACTGCCGCAAGATGCACTGCAGTGTTGCCCGCGTAGTCCTTTTGCTTAAGCAACTGCGCGCCTTCGCCCTTCAGAAGCTCTTTGACGAGTTTGAGCTCGCCGTTCTCGATGGCATATCCGAGTGCGGAGAAAGCTGTTTCGCTTGGGGTAAGGTGAGATGCGGCGAAGTCGAGTGTGCCTGAGGGGTGGGAGAAGCTCTGGTGGGCAATCTCTGTCATCTCTCCGCGTAGTGACCGAGAGAGCTGCTCCTGAATTTCTTTGGTTGATAGATCGGGTTTGGCGAGGAGGTATGATACTTTGGTAAGAGCTGCCTCGGCAGTGAGATCGAGACCGAAGATGACACCTGCACGGCCAAGAACTGTGCCTGGAGCATATACAGGAGAAACAAACCCGTTAACACATTGACTGACGTTGACAACGACAATGCCTCGTTCGACGGCAGCCTTGATGATCTGTGTAAGACGACCATCGGCGCCACCAGGGATGTTACCCATTCCAAATGTCTCGAGAATCAGACCACGAATATCGGGCAGATGAAGAACGGCGTCAATCATCTCGGGCTTGATACCAGGGAACACACGCAAACAGGCGACGTGAGTAGTGTCAAGACCCTTTGTAACATGGAACTTGGCGATCGAGGTAGGGCGAAGGACAAGAGGCCAATTGACACTGATACCAAGGCCATTGACCTTGGCGATGGGTTCGCTGTTAGGACTGGCGAACGCCTCGAACTCAGTCGCAGAAACCTTTGCACTGCGGTTACCGCGGTACAAACGGTGGTGGAAGAAGAGGCAGACTTCGGGGATAGTGAATGTTCCAGCGATGATAAGTGAGCCGAGAAGATTATCCACACCATCGGATTGAAGAGCAAAGATGGGCGCTTGAGATCCGGTGAGAATAACAGGCTTTCCCAAGTTCTCCATCATGAAAGAGAGTGCAGAGGCCGTGTAAGCGAGAGAGTCTGTTCCGTGGAGAATGACGAAACCATCGAATAAGTGGTAATTCTCTTCAACACACGAAGCCATAGCATCCCAGTCGTGTGCAGAGATAGAGCTCGAGTCAAGCAGAGGACTGAACTCGATAATACCGTAGCGGACATGACGGTTGTATGCTGTAGCAGGAGTGCGAAGACTGTCAATCTGGATCTTTTCTCCATCACGAACAGCGGGGAGTGTGCCTGTGATATGTCAGTATATGCAAGTAACTGAGAAAGACTACCACCAAGTACCAGGGTTTGAGAAGTCATTGAATGATGGACGAGGAGCCATTGCATTCTCCAAGAAGTTGTCGGTAGGCTGAAGACCATCTGGACCTTGTTGCATACAGATTGTTCCACCAGTACCGATGATCAAGACCCGAGATTCTGGGTAACTGGTCTCGGGGACCACCACAGTGGATGGAGGGGGTGAGCCTTCTCTGCTCATTTTGAGAGTGATACGAATGTATTAGAGATGGATAGAAGTGAGGCAGACTCGGCAGTCTATTGATTGGTTGAGGACGGTGAATATGTCGTAGATGAAGTGTAGATAAGAGCAATGATAAGCTACTAGTCAATCGTCAAGCAGTAGATGGTTCACAAAAGACTGACGGTTAAAGAACAACGATTCACGATCGAGAAGATGAGGAGAGAAGAGGAGAGTTTTATTTACGACAGATGCAACGTCCATGTGATTTAATTAAAGCAGAAGGGGGAAAACCTTGTGGACAAAGACGAAGGCATCAAGTGGATCCTTTGGAGGTTATGAAGGGGTAACAGAAACTCGATATCTCGCGGGGACTGGCGAGTTAGATGGTGTAGATTGCCAAATATGCGATAGCCTAAAAATATTAGAGAAGGAAAATTATTGGTGTGAAAAATCAAGGTCGTATCAAATTGGAGGTAGTAATTGTTCAAGGACCAAGAATGACTATACAATGTTCTTACAATGGTTACTATCTCTTGTCTTGGCGTTGAGGTTGAAGTAGTTGGCAGGTGATCAATGAGATTTTGACAAGACGGTGAACAAGACTGGAGATGAGTATTATATGCTTAGATTAGATCACTTTCTCATTATCAATATACTCTACTCAGCATACTCAAATGCACCCAAGTAGAACTATATCACTCTACTCTGTCCTCCATCCTTTTACCCCAGAAACAATCTCCAAGACGCGGGGAGAATGAATAATGATTACTGACTGAGTGGACGTGCGGTCAGCTCCCGTCTTTTTTCTTCCACCACAATGGCTAGAAAGGCTAGAACAAAGTGGATTCTTCCTATTGGATCTCTCACACTCTTGGGTTTGGCCTGTAGCTGTCACTGCCCGTCAAACATGTCCGATTACGGGGGGAGTTCCGTTGGACGCTTGGTCTTTTTTTAGGCTGTCTGCAGCCTACAAACCAAACACTAAAACCTACGTCAGACCTAATTTACCCATTAACAAGAGCCCGGCTAGGTACATGTGATAGAGGCTCAGTGCCCAATACTCTGATTAGGTGCCGGTCATAGAAGAAAAGAATCAGGAATCATTTGGGTAGAGACAAATAACAAAGTATTTGCCTGAGTGACTGCATGTGACGTACACACCAACGATCGCAAATGGTCCCCTACTGCAAGACAATCGCTAAAAAAGAGAGAGAATCTTGATAATGGCGATCATCAGAACCTGGAAAATGGCCAAAATGGATCCAGCTGTGCAAGGGTTTGCAGGTACGTATTCTTGAAAAGCCCATTACCTTGCAAACGCTAGACCATTCTTGATTATTCTGCCACTCGTTCAACTTGACCGCCTTCGTGCGCCTCTCTCTAAGTCTCTGGGCGCCTTGTACTTTATTGACAGTGCATTCAACAATCAACCGACAAACATCCATAATTAAAAACGCCCTCCCTCTCCTTATTCAAAACCCCGTCAGCGCCAATTGTTCGACTTTTCATCAAATATTAATCCCAAAACTTCAAAATCCTCTCGATTTTCCCCAGAGGCTTCACGATTTAAAAGCGATGCGATTCCTTTAAAAGAACCCTCCTAGCCTCAATCTCTAGACGCGCGCATCGTCAACCTCTCGAGCCGACTTGACTTCAACTCCAACATCGCGCACCCCCTTCGACTCGACGAGATGGAGAAATTATCAGACACAACGCCTGATGGCACTTCGCCTCGAACTTTTGCCCTGAACCATTTAAGGCCACGATCAAGTTTCAAGGGCTGCTCGCGCATTTCTGACTATGAGCTGTTGGGCAAGCTGGGAGAGGGAACCTTTGGGTACGATTCCACGATCGCCGCATGCCCCGCCGATTGCTACAACAACGAAATTCGATCGTTTATACTAACAACTGTCTAGTGAGGTTCACCGTGCTCGGCTGCGCAGAACTGGCGCCCTCGTCGCTTTGAAGAAGATTATCATGCATCATGAGAAGGATGGCGTATGTCTTTGTACCACCCTGTCAAGAGAGCCACACTGACCTAGCCAAGTTCCCCATTACCGCTCTTCGCGAGATCAAGCTTCTTAAGCTTTTGTCACACAAGAACATTCTGCGACTAGAGGATATGGCTATCGAACACCCTACCAGAGCGAGTAAGTCGATTTGACTCCCTTTATCGATCTAACCTAACCACCCATTCAGCCGATAAGCGCAAAAAGCCTATTGTATACATGGCTACTCCCTACATGGATCACGATCTGTCCGGTCTTCTCGACAACCCATCAGTCCAGTTCAAAGAACCTCAGATCAAATGCTACATGTTGCAGCTACTAGAGGGCCTTAGATACCTGCATGACAGTCGGATCCTTCACCGCGATATGAAAGCGGCGAATCTGCTGATCAACAACAAAGGTATCCTCCAGATTGCCGATTTCGGTCTTGCCCGGCATTACGACGGGCAGACACCACAACCCGGAGTCGCCATGGGCGAAGGAAAGCGGGACTACACCGGCCTGGTCGTAACCAGATGGTACCGGCCGCCCGAGCTTTTGCTGCAATTGCGGCAGTACACCCCCGCTATAGACGTTTGGGGCGTAGGGTAAGCACAGTCTGGGAATCATGATGCTTTACAGATTCTAATAAGTGACGCAGCTGCGTTTTTGGCGAAATGCTACATGGAAAGCCCATCTTGGCAGGCGAGAGTGATGCTGCGCAACTGGATATCATCTGGGACCTGATGGGCTCTCCCAACGAAGAAAACATGCCCAGATGGAAAACACTCCCTGGTGGTGAGCACTTGAATCCTCGACCACGATCAGGCAACCTCGAGAACCGTTTCAGACAGTAAGTTGCGTCCAATGCCGTGTTATTTCTCAGTGTTAACATCGGTTTCAGATACGGCTCAGGGGCAGTCTCATTACTCAAAGAGCTTCTCAGACTTGACTGGCGGACACGAATCAACGCAGTGGATGCATTGCAACACCCTTGGTTCAAGATGCAGCCTCTGCCTCTTGAACCTCACGAGATCCCCATCTACGAAGAGAGTCACGAGTTGGACCGTAGAAAGTTCCATGATCGCAAGGTCGCTCTGCCTCCAGCTCCCAAGGGTGGAACTGTCGGCGTTGGTCCTGATGCAAACGGCGCTACAGCAGGTTTTAATAGCAACGAGCCTTACGGCAATGGCCGCAACGGCGTGAATGGAGGAAGATACCGCAACGGACCTGATGACCGCCGTCCTGCTTGGCAACGAGAGCGAGGCGGCGCTGGACTGCCCCCACGACCACCTCCCAACAACGACGATGCGGACTTCCGAGAACGAGGACCCCCCAGGGGCAGAGGGCCACCAGGGCCAAGAGGACCGGATGTCGACACGTACATTCCCGCCTATAATCGGGATGATCCAGGTCGACGGAGGGACGACCGCCCACCACCACGAGATGACCGCCAACCTCCCAGGGACGACCGCCGGCGCCGCAATAGTAGAGAGGACCGCCGCTACGACAGGGACCGTGGCACCATGAGCCGCAGCAGATCACCCAGACATGATCGATCAAGAGACCGCGACAGACCTGATCACAACGGATATCGAAGATAGAATCTTCAGCAAACGATGTCCTTGGCTGATAACGGATACAGAAGGGCAAAGGAGCAAGAACGACGACCAGGGTCACAACCAGGATCAGAATTACCGTACGGCGTTTCATAGGGGAATAAGCAAGATTCTAATCACATGTCGTTTCGGGCATAGCGGAACATGGCGCAACGGAATGGAACGAGAGAGAATATATCTGACGAAGCCAGGTGTCCAGCATTTAAGTGAAGCGGCATCATGAGAGATGCACCCCCCAGAGGGTCCTAACATTTTTATCCTCTGATTTTAACAAACACACGAGATATGAAATCATCCCTAGACTAGGAAGCTCGTGATGGAGACTTTGTATACCATAGCGCTCATATACGATCAATATTCTGAATCATCGTCCTCCTCGTGAATCGTTTGTGAGAGTAAACCGCTTGTTGGTCGGCGCCTTGAGCTGGATGAGTCCAGCCATTGCCATCCAAGGTCTGTGTCTGAAGATAAAGAGTCTCTTCGACTGCTTGTTTCGAGTAGACTTTCCTTGGAGCCTGATCGCTTCACGGCGTAGTCATCTTTCTGCATTCCGAGGTAAGATGTGATGACAGATGAGAAGATGGCTATAGTGATGCCAGCTATGATGCCAACGCCAGCTGCTGCACCGAACTAGAATAATGTTAGAATAGGAATATCCTCGGGAGGTTCGTTATACGTACAAAGGTATACAATGGCTATGAAATGTTAGCTAGTTATCTCATATCAGATTCTGAGTCGTCAACATACCTCTAAGCCAGCCAAGAATGCCCAAACAGAACGCACGCAAGCTGCCGCGTAGGAAAACAGATGGATGACAGGTGCGAAAATGACAAGAAGGATATTCGCCACTATAGACAACGGAAACAAAATAAGACGAAAAGGGAAGCTGACGATAGCAAAGATGCGTAAGAAGAACCCGGACCAGTTGAATGAGAAGAGCCAGGTAAAGATGGCGACGATGATATCGAAGGCGAGTATGAAGGGGGAAATTGTCGGCGAGACTTGTTCAGCGTGTGTTGCTGCCACGACTGTGGAAGTTGGGAGTGAACTTTCGGTCATGTTGTTGGTGATGAGAAGTTGTGATGTTTTGGTATGAGATGAGACTGAGATGGGTGAGGTTGTCTAGGGAGTAAGTAAGTGAGGTAGGAATAATTACATCATTAGGTAGGTATAAGGTGAAAGTGAGAACCAAGAAGAGATTAAAGGAAGGAACTGCTAAGCTATTGATGATAAAATCAAGCGGCGTATAATATGTTGTTTACAGTTAGTGAGTATCTATGGTTGTAGATGTGTAAAAGTAAAGGTCAGGTCTCCCAAGTTAGAAAGAAGCTCCCTTGAGCTGTTGTGGATGAGAGCTCATGTCTATCGAGATTGAGTGGAGAACTCATGGGTATGAGAGCTTGTCTGGTTGTGTTAGTAATAGCTGTTGAGCGACTTTACGATTAGGCAGGATAAGGCGTGTGCAAAGGTACCTCTGGACTGTCATCTATCAAACTCCCCACCACGACTCAGAACATCCCACCCGTTCACTTCCCTTTCCCTTCATCCATTTCAGCTCACAATCCCTCTACTGTACAGTACAGTCTACATCTCCACCCCCGCGACCAACGACGAACAAAACATAGCAGGCGACAACTAAACCGAAATAAACGCCTCAGGGACATATCACGAAGCAACATCAACGATATCTCTTTTTTTTTTGGTCGCAACGAACAACACCATTCCAGCCTTTTTGGACATTGCTTTGCATCTGAATCATTTATCATCACATCACATCACATCCATCACGCTACACAAAGTCCCCCGGATTCTCACACCAACCCTGCCGTGTCAGGCCGTTTCCTGCTCGTCCACCTCTCTATTTTCCCTGACGCAGACGCCCAATTGGCGCTGAGTGCGCAACGTACAGAATCTCCCAACAAATCATTATTTTTCTTATTCGACAACCAAGTTTACTGCGTCATTCAATTCTTCCTTGACATGCTTGTGTCATTGTCCCGATAAGATACCGACAGCCCGAACGTTTTCCCCCCAACAACCATCTTAAACCGAAACTCAGGCACAACCTCAACGATCTTCAACGCTTTTAAAAGAGTCACAAGGACATCCCGTCGAGGGGATAGGAGGTAGTAAATATGGGTAACAACGCGTCTTCGTCCTCCAAGCCGACAACCCCGACTGCTTCGACTCCGGGTTCGGCTCATGGTCATCTCCATGGCCATGAATCTCCCCGCCATCATCTGCGCAAGGATGCCCGCAATATCATCACCGGCCATACGCATCGCTCTGCCGCGCCGCCAGAGCCTTCTATGGCGCAGGCTCAAGGCTCGACTGTGATCAATCGCCCAAAGAGTCTGCCTCCCACTGCAGTGTCTTCTCTTAGCGGCTCTCCACATAGCAACTTTACGGCCGTCCACAAGACTGCTTCCTCCTCTGATACTAAAGCCATCGCTGAGAAGCAGGCTGCTGCTACGCCCGAGTCCAAAACTGTCGAGTCGAAACCTCAATACCGCGATGAACCGACCAAGCCCCTCGACGTTCCTATCGAGTCTTCTTCTTTGCGATCACACCAGTCCGCTCACACCCACGACCCTGCACTAATTCCCAACAGCAGTATTACCGACATGTATCTGACTCGGCCCCCTCGCTTACCTCTGCCGATCGACGAGGAGGTCCATACCCCGGGATCTCCCATTCTAGCACCTGAGGATCAGTCGGGAGAGGTCGATCCCATGGACTCGTTAGACGCAATCACCCGCAAGAGCTCTGCCCTCAGCGCTACAACAGTGGACGAAGAGGATGGCGAGGAACTGCGCGTCGACAAGACGAGACCTGTTGTTCAGACCAGGCTGGAATGGCTTACTGGAGGCGACAAGATTTATGTGACAGGTACCATTTTTCAATGGAATCGCAAGCAACGGCTACATCCCATGTAAGTGACACGATGCTATTTGTTATCTTCTCTGAGACATGAGGCGATCACCACGACCTCTGTGTTTCCGTGGCTGCTTTGTGGTCTCGGATCGCCGTTGTACAAGATCGTCCCCCATGCGATCCAGGAGTTGTCAAGATGTGTTTCTAAAAATGCGGTTGCTGACGTATGGCTTAGTGAGGGCCGACCTGGCTGCTTTTCGACGACAGTCTATGTTTTGCCAGGCACTCATCATGTCCGCTTCTTGGTGGACGGTATCATGCAGACTTCTCCTGATCTGCCCACAACTGTGGACTTTGGCAACAATCTTGTCAACTACATCGAAGTCAGCCCCGATGAAGCCCACAAACAACACCTTCCCGCACTCCCAGTTGCTCATCATGTCAAAGCTCAAGCCGAAGCTGCTGCGCAGGCATCCTCATCAACTCAGGAGATGGTTCCTCAATCTCCGAGGGCGCCATCTCAGCCAAAGGGCAAAACCGTGCCACCTCCAGAAGCCTATCGCAACCAGATTCCGAAGTACCTTATCGACTTTGACCAGGCTGAGGATTCGCAGGCGTACCAATATGCAGTCAACGCAATTGAGAGACTACCAAACCCCCCTGCTTTACCGGGCTTCCTGAGCAAGCCGATACTAAATGCAGCGACCCTTATGAAGGACGACAACAGTGTTCTCAACATGCCAAACCACACAATATTGAACCATCTTGCTACCAGTAGCATCAAGAACAACATTCTTGCTGTTTCCGCTACTACACGGTACAGAAATAAGGTATGTAAAACCATGTGTAATGTGAAAAGAATGATGCTTACTTGAAGCAGTATGTCACAACAATCGTCTACAAGCCCACATCTTCGGATGATGGTTAAGTGCCGACGAACGACGAACATGATGAACGGGTATGAGACAGATGCATAAATTTCAACTACTGCATTTAGATGTGCTGTCGGTAAAGCGACGATGTGATGTTGGAACGGTTGCTATGTATTAAAGATATATGAGGGAATATGCTCCACAGATGGGCGAGGATGATGCTTTTGGCTCTTAGGTTGTAGCTGGGCAGGAGACGAGTGAGAACCGAGTGACTGATACGAGCCAAGAGGAGGCATGTCAACATATAATGACACCACGATAAGGAGAAACGAGATGTTTCACAACTCAACTCCTGCAAATGAACATAAGACATAGTTCACGATTTTTATTTAGGAGAATCAATCTCTCCAATCGATAAGAACCTCGTCGGTCCTGAATCTTTGCGTACATGTGCTCTCCTCCAAAGACGTTCTGAATCCCATCTCATATGCCAACAGTCCAGCGTGGGCAATCATGATTCCGTTATCGATACAGAATCTCTCGTCTGTAGCAAACACAGATCCTCCTCGCTCGCGCGCCATGTGACCCATCATCTCCTGTAACCTCTCGTTGCAGCCGACTCCTCCCACGATGAGAACTTGTGAAGACCCAACGTGCGCCATAGCTCGCTCCGTAATCTCGACCAGCATAGCAAATACCGTCTCTTGTAATGAGAAGCACAAGTCCTCGGGTGTGAAGTCTGCGCCGGCTTTCATTTGCGCAGCAAGTGCATCAGCAGATGCGAGAATGCCGGAAAACGAGCAGTCCATTCCCTTGACAGCATAAGGGAGGTCCAGCAGCTTGCTTCCCTTCTTGGCTAGCTGTTCGATGTTGTATCCAGGTGCGGGATCGTTGCTTATCTGGAGAGTACGGGCGAATCGATCGAGGCAGTTTCCAACAGCTATGTCGAGCGTCTCGCCAAATATTCTGTATCGTTGCTCTGCATACGCAATTACCTGCGAGTTACCACCCGAAACGTACAGCACAACCGGGTTTTCGGCACCAGTGATGTATCGCCCCATCTCAATATGTCCTACGCAGTGATTCACGCCCACGAGTGGTCTATCCCAGAGCAGACTCAACGTTCTTGCGCCCACAGCCACCGAGTTTAGCGGGGCACCCATACCGGGACCCTTTGTGTAGCAAATACAGTCGACATCTGCGGGTGTAATTTTCGCTTCGGCGAGGGCTTCACGAACGAGGCGGACGAAGTGAGCGCGGTGGTGTGCGGCTGTATCTTTGGGGAGGAAGCCTGTTCCTGGCGGGGAAACGAATGTGTCGCGGAGATTGGAGAGGATCTTGGTCTCGGTTGCAGTATGAAGGATAACGCCGATGCCTAGCTTGTTGGCTGAGCCTTCGCAACCGAGGGCTATATAGGAGGACTTTTTCTCGAAGGCCATTTTGCTATATTATGACCTGTGTAGGCGTCGGAAGTGAGGTTGAAGATGGAGGGATGAAAAGGTGGGGGTTATCGAGATGATACTGTTGACGTCGATGAGGGTCTAAGTTCAGATGAGTCGCATGTGCACGGGACAATGTATTATAGTCTACAAAGCTTGAAGAATCGAAACAGCCGTTCGGTAGTTATACTAAAGTCTACGTCAGGTTAATAAGTCTAATTTACCAGTACTAGACGTTGAAATCAAGAATGCGATAGACTCTCCAATCGATAGAGGGGCAGGTTCTCTTTCTATAAGGTCGTCTTACAACTCTACTGGGTCGGGAAAATTGTTCTCCAAGGATTAGAACACCAAAATTAAATAGCCTAACGTCTGGTTTGAGCTGACATGAAATGACCAAATTATTTCGTCTCTTCTATATCCTAGTAACTAATTATGGTACCCTGACGACAAGGGCAGCAGGTTTTACAAACCCCTCGCCTCGCTTAGATATAGCAAGTCCGACAGGCGTCATCACCAGCCACACTTTCGCTTTCCCACTGTAGAGCAATTGTACGTAAAAGTGAAGGAGGGGGCGGGAGGTTCCGATTTTGCGAATTTCAGGGTCCCCAGCTAAACCATGAACGGTTGGAAAAAAGATACATGAAGGTAGATCTTCAAGACAACTGGAAAAGAGACAATTCTTTCTTTCAAGTTCAGAGAAAATATTGTTATTTTAACAAGTCCAGTCAGCAGTTTCAAGATAGTACCTACGATAAAGAAGTTTCTCCTGAGATAATTCATACTATATCTGAAGCATGGCTGTAATTACAAGCTTCAGAATCATCATGCAGAAAATAAAAAATACCGAGATTTTTTTTCTGCATTCCCTCTATTAATTTAGTCTCACTAGCCACAACCTGTCAAAGAAAGCGTCTGTTGTGGCTTACCTACTGTTCGTGTAAATCCACAAGGCCCGGTTCGCCGGCCACTTTTCCTTCACCCGCAGCCCGCCCTCCACTCCAAAGCCTCCTCCATCACTCGCAATTCTGCACAAGATCTTTCAGGTCCAGGTATTCTGTGCCTTCTAAATTCGCTTCCAGAAGATCTATGCACGAATCTCGCTGCTATGACAGGTATACTTCTTTTTGTCTAATGTTTCCTCCTTTCTTGCACAACATCGAGACCCATGCTAATATGATATCAGCCAAATCCTCTCGGCCAAGCTTGATCGCCTTTTATAACCTCGCACCTTGATTCTTCGGCTTCAGGTCTTACGGCCAACATACAACGATCGTACACCTTCGTTCTGCTTGTCAGACTATTATCCTCCTACAAACGCCGAGAACCTGTCTTCGCTGAGTCGGCACATCATATCCCGATCCAAGAGAGCTTCCCCTCAGCCTACAGCATGTCATCCGCATGACCACCTCACGCTACCACAACGACGGCTTCCTCTTCTCTTACAATCACGAACATATACGTCACGAACGATGAATGATAAGCATGGGACTGTTCTTGTTGCGGTCGTAATTTGACCGTTGTTCTTTTTTATTTTTCTCGCCTGGGCCACCAAACAGGCTCTCCCACGCTGAGGCCCGAATACCGACCACCCGCTCCTGAACTCCATGCAATGCCCTCGTCAACGACTAAATATACACGACATATTTGTTGACCGTCGAACTCGTCGACTATGCCCAACGGTCCGCCGCTCTGTTCTTTCAATAATGGGTATAAAACAAAGATCCACCATAGTCATACAATCCTCTTCCCCGCCCTTGGCTTACGATATAGCTTGGGCTGCTTGAGCCTGTTGCTGTGCTACCGCTTGCGCCTTGGCTTGCGCTTGCGCTGCTAGATGCGCCTGTGCTGCTGCTGCTGCGTGTGCTTGAGCATGAGCATGCGCCGCCGCCGCCGCTGGTGATGGCAACACTCGGTTACCCGCCTGTGATTGCGCTGCTGCTACAGCTTCTGGTGGCACTGCCGGACGTCCTCTAAACATGTAAGGGTTTAGCGGAATCGTCGCTCGAAACTTGAGTGCTCGAGTATCGAACGGATCCACGTCATACACAAGCGGTTCATCGTCGTCGGAATCCGAGTCATACTTCCACCTATCCGATCTATCTTCACCAAGTTCCCGTGGCGGCGTTACCATACCTCTTCGGTCAATCCACAATCGGTTCAAACGACCAATGCGCCGACGGAATGATGGCTGGCTACCCTTCGACTGCTCGACTGACCCAGCAGTGAACTGGAAGACAGGCGGTTCACGTCTGTCGACTTGCATAGCGTCAGGCGAAATCTCGTCTACTTCCATCTCCGATGATGTTGACGCTGGAGGCGTCATCAGATACTGCGTCTTGGCTTGTCGGAACTTGAGCTCTGTGCCCTGTTCCTTGACCGGCGACAGTGGTTCTCGAGTGAGATCAATATGGTTCTGGTTCCACTTTCGGTGGTTCTGAACCTTCATTTCTATATCGAGTCGCAGTTCAGTCTCCTTCTCGGCCAGCTTGTCCGATAACAAGACGAGATCGGCATCGAGCGTTCTACCATCAGACCGTACAGGTTGCCGCAGATGAGCACCAGTCGGTTGTCGCACGACAGGGGGTTCCACAGGCTTGCGTTTTTGAGGCTGTGATGCGCGTCAGTACCAAGTGGGATTGACTCAAATACGCGGAAACATACCTTTTGGTTGACGAGATCCTCGTCCTCGCCTTTGATCCCCAGCCGAAGCTTGGTATCTTTGAGTCTTGCCCTTTCCTCAAAGATGGCACGATCCATGGACATGAGTTCTCGTTTTACCATTTCACGTTCATACGCCAAAAGAACCAATTGCCGACCATCCTCAAGTTCACGTCGCAACTTCTTGAGGGTTTCTGCAATCTTGTTGTCACGAGCTCTGGTTTTTCGAGTTTGACGAGCCTCACGTCGTCTGAAACAGACGAAGGGGTCTGTGTCGTCAGTCTCCTGGTGCGTCTCAAACTTGAGGCTGGGATGCAATGGCTTGTTCCCAGCTTCCTGCCGCCTTGACTTCCAGTACTCGTACACAGGTTTCGCATGTTGCAAAACATCTGCCGAGACCGATTGGTTAATGTGGGTAAGACCTGGCAACATCATATCATACGCAGCAACGGTGTTGTCCACTGCTGCGAAAGGAGTTTGTTCCGTGGCAGTGTCTTCAAACACCTCCATGATACGCTCAAAGTCATCTTCAGAGAGGACCCCAGCAGCAGGCGGTTTACTGTTGTACTGCTTGAGGAACTCATCGTCCTCTGTGGTCATATCATAGAGACATGTTATGCACTCTTCCACTGTTTGTGAGAAGCGAATGTAAGAGGAGGGTTTATGGAAGGGAACAGGGTAGAGGTCATCATAGTTGATGTCGCTCTCCTGAGGTGGAGGGACAGGAATCTCTTGATCATTGCTGGTTCCTGCCTCCTTGAGGATAGTCTGAAGATGGTATTCCTATTGTAAGTGTTAGTTGAGGCCCAGGTGGAGTATGGTGGTCTCTGATTGGATGATAGTACCATCCAATCAAAAGAGCCCAATAAGCCATATCACGTGAGGAAACACGTGATATCATGACACGAAGAAAGAACTCACGTTTTCCTCAGCCTGTTCGACACCGGTAGCGATTTGATTATCAGTTGTAAGGGCTTCGTACTCGTTGGGATCGATTTGGTCTTCGCGGAGGACTGGAAGCGTCGTCTTGACGTTCAACTTCTTGACGCGAACCTTGCGTGATGACATGTTGGCAGGGGGTTAAAGGGAGGTCGAGAGAAGGGCGGTCAGGCGGCGGAAAAACCGCAAAAAAAAGCGATCAAGTCATAAAACGGGGTCTATTAAGTTGAAATCGTGCCAAAACTCGATGCAAAAGGTGGTATTATAGCCTGTTTTCGATGGCAGCGTAGTCGGGCTCGATGGGGTGACGTTGGGGATTTGTTTTGGCGCGCAAAGTTTTTTCGCTGCACGGAGTTTTTGGCAAGGGAGAGTGCATTTGGCTGGCAGAGCGGGACAACTGAGTTTGATGACGGTGTGCAATCGGGAGGGGTCGAGGTCACTTTACAGCACTTTTCTGCGTGAAGAGTACTTGAGACGCTTGGACCAATGCCTCCTTATTTTTTGGGGCAGCCTACAGTCACCGTAACAGACGGCAGTGCATGTTCTGCGCTGTTGGATAGGTGCTTTCCAGTGGTGCTAGCTACCCGAAAGCGCACACTTCCAGTGGATGCAAGCGCTGCAAACAAAGAATGCTTGTTTGCTGACCAGACGACTGCGTATAAAACGGAGTTGAGTAAAACGGTGATGAGTATAAGTGCTTGTTTTTTCTGCGCAAATACAACAATTAAAAACACTCTTAATTGCTTATGTAGCTTCCCGTGACCCAAAATCGAGATACTCTTTGATCTCGAAATTGTATTGTCTTGCACCCATCAAACAATGATTTAATCTGATTGCTGACCGTATCACCAATATCAAAACGGCATGCTTTAAGGTCACCGTAAAATCATGGAAGCTGAGCTGGAGGCCTAGTCGCTCCCCCCGCCCCGCTAGGTAATTACCCCTCTGCGCACCTGCCCCTTTGCGCAGAAGAGCAGAGCATCAGATAGGTCGGTCTAGAATTACCTTACCTAAACTTGGGTAGCGGCTGAACAGTGACAGTGACAGTGAGACTTCCAATTCAGCCTTATCACCAAACTTGGTATTAATTCAACATAACAGGACAGCTTATATCGATTACCCCGACGACATAACTCGAACTCGACCGATACAAACATTTTCTTCTTCGCCCCTCGAACTCACTTCACGTTGCCAAAATGGGCAACACTACCAGCGCAGTCCTGGACAACCTCGTCCAAGGATCCAACTGTGAGGAAACCCTGCCCGGGAACTGACCTCAACGCACGGTTGGGGGAGGGGTCTTTTAGTGTGATATCATATGCTGAGATGTGAGATATCTAGTCGACAGAGAGGAAGTTGATCGTCTGCGAAAGCGATTCATGAAATTGGACAAGGTGCGCGAGCTTCCCGACTTTTTGGTTCATGATGGAGCTTGGAGATATCGGTCATATTCATGCTCATGAGCATGGTGGCGAACGATGCGCAAAGCTGGGGCATAGGACTTCTGCATTGAACGAGCGCAAACGACTAACTTGTCTCTTCTTTATAGGATAACTCCGGTACGATCGAGCGCGATGAATTCCTCAGTCTTCCCCAGATCTCTTCCAACCCTCTGGCAACACGGTTCGTCCGCCACACCTTTCTCGCAATCTACAACAAGCTAACCTAGCTTCCTCCCAGAATGATCGCCATCTTCGACGAGGATGGTGGCGGTGATGTCGATTTCCAAGAATTCGTTACAGGTCTTTCGGCATTCAGCAGCAAGGGAAACAAGGAGCAGAAGCTTCACTTCGCCTTCAAGGTTTACGATATTGACCGCGACGGCTACATCAGCAACGGAGAGCTTTTCATCGTCCTAAAGATGATGGTTGGCAGCAACCTTAAGGACCAGCAGCTGCAGCAAATCGTTGATAAGACCATCATGGAGGCCGATCTCGACGGGGATGGCAAGATTAGCTTTGAGGAGTTCACCAAGATGGTGGAGTCTACCGATATCAGCATGAGCATGACTGTTGGTATGTTATCTGGAATCATCCCCATGTCTGAAGGGGCGCTATCATGTGTTTACTTGATGATATTGGGAGCGGTCGATGAATCAATGCTAATAATACGACAGACCAGTTCTAAACGAGCATTCATGACAGGATGGGGTGTGCAGAGGGTTGTGGTATAAACGTTGAACGTTGCTATGGACTCGATGTCCATCGTCCTTATAAGGACTGTGTGGACGTTGACAGTGATGGGCTTGAATCACCTAGCGAATTTACAAATACAATTACAAATAAGATCATGAATTAACGTCTCCGGTTACAGCATCTCTGTCTGTTTTCATTGAGCTCCAGTGAGGTACAGAACGTCTCGTTCGGCGAGGTCTTGGTTCAGGGGGGTGGCTCGGTTGTCGACGAGCAAAGTGCATGTGTAAGCGCCAGTCAGAAGAATTGGTAGCCTACGAAGACAAAATAGTCCAAGTGCTACTCTAAGCTGGCATAAAATGACCAAGTTATTATCTCTTATGCTCTTGGCAAAGATTTAGAGGCCCTTGTAACGCAGTAATTCGGGGAGCTGGCACACAAAGATTCTTCATGTATGCATCCCTCATCGCTGCAACAGATCGTCTTACGGTTGGCTATTCCAAGTCCTGACTCTATGAGCCGTTTAAACTGGCAATTGAAGTTCATGGATTCCAATCATACCGGTTGGGAAGCTCAAAGCACAAACATGCTATCAATTCTGAGGTCTTCAAGACTGACTAGATCACAGGTATCAACTTGACAACGACACTTCCAGATACCAGACCCCTGGAATATGTTCCAGTATACATCACATATGAACAAAACCGTCATCAGATAGCAGAATCCCTTAGCTAGCTCCAAGTGTTGCCCTATTGACAGTGTCCCATATGGACTAACGGTGAAAACGATACCTCGGAGGCCATATTGGTACACACCCAGGGAAAGCCAACGAACCAGAAACTCATCACTAAAATATCAGAGAATCAATCAGGTATTGTCTAAGCAGTTCCAAGATACACGATCTGAGTTGGGGTCTTTATAGTACCGTTTATATGTCGGCGTCGCTCATATCCTGTTGACTTCCTCACTTATACGAAGCTCACCCGCCCTCACATGCTTTAAAGGCCAACTTTATCAGACAACAAACAATATCTTGAAGGCGGCTCCTCCCAATTCAAATCATCTATATTGTACACAATATGACTAGTGGGATAACATTACCTATGTAGAAGAACATCATCTTGACATCGACAGCTCCTCCAAAGGAGTTATCTGACACGATAACAATATGAAAAAGTTTACTCTACAATTGTAACATACCTTTCGGCAGAGATACTTTGGGAAAACATACTATTCTTCTCTACAGCAGATATGCCAGATTGAGTAATCAACACCCCCAGATACAAGGACGGCAGTAACATGACACTTATGAATGAGAGTGTACCAATACAGGATACAGGGTTGAAGTTACACCGAGAGATCAAAGATTCCCGTCCCGTTCTAGAAGCATATGCAAAGTTGTGACCCCAGAATCAAGCATATACTATACCACGGACTGCACGTCGTGGAACTTAGAATCTGTAGCTAGCAGCCTCAAACAAAAAGGTAAGGCTGATACTCTCCTCGCCGTAGCACATAAGCTTAGCGACGATGAAGTGACCACTGCATGTGAAGATGAGTAGAAACAGGTATTTTTATCCGAAGCATCCAGAAGTAGTAGGTACCGACTTCCTGGCTTGGACTTTTGGCAAGATAATAAAGCATTTCAGTGGCCTTGCATGCGGATGCTTGACTGTTGCTACCCAGAGAGACTTGTACATAGTTTGCCCTGCTTTCAATAGCAGGCGTGTGGAGTGAAGAACACAATAACACTCCACGGCTTCGGCCAAGATGTTGCATGACTAATTTCAACTGCAAGAACCAGGAGCTCCAGAGATACATCTGCTGTCTCTCATACATACGTATGTTATCTCGTATGTGGGATAGCTTCAGAAACAGCTGACCTTGATTCCCAGGCCCAGGGGTAGAAGACGGTATTTGTGTCTCCATTGTAAAGAATAAGTCGCAGTTTCTTCAAGATTAGACAATCACGTCCAATGTTAAGTGTCCGTAGAGACAACTGACATCTTCTTCAGGACAGTCTCAGAGGATTATGGCAAGCGTCACGGATCAACTCGTCAGTCTAGTTCACCTTGTTATCCTGGCTAAACAAGGTACAAAGAGATATCCGATAACAGCATACCAATAGTGTATGCTCCTCATTGAATTGCATTGAGCATCTTACTCCAGGAGCACAATATACGGGGCGTTGCGCGGCGAGATCACGACAGTCAAAGGGAGACCATGAACTTGCGATGCCCATGTCATGATGTTATCAATGAGCCTTATACATGGTGAGACAAGGCGCATGTGATGCCTTACACCCACAGCCACTATCACTGCCACTGTGATAGCATCCTGGGCCGCCATGTCTGAGACCGAGTCGGGAGCGGGCATTGCCGGTCGATCCCCCGGCTCCGGGCCCGGTCAGCAGGGTGAACTGAGCCCTGGCCCAAAATATCGGTCCTGATGCTGGCATGATATATGCCGATGATCGTCGGGTCTGACTCGCAGATATGTATGGCGTCAAAAGTATTGAGTATGCGACAAAAGGGTTGGGAAGGCAACCTTTGAAGAAGCAAAGAGTTCCTTGTCTTACAACGGCACGAATGACACGGGGTGAATCAGTGCCAGGATCACGGTCTCCAGAAACTCGGTACAGTACCACACTCTATCAGACTTGAGGCATGGAAATCCATGTCTGGAAGATCATCTTTACCGGGGCTTGCTTGCACACCTTGCGACCAGTGCACAAAAAGAGAAACACGGCAGCTAAATCTTGGTCGCACGAAACATCAGTTGCATGTTTCGTACTCCGATTTGACTTCAAACATGTAAAAGCCGTACAACACTGTATAGAAATCAAGATGTAGGGATCATGATGGTGAGGCTGATGCAGCAAGCTTGTCGGCCAGGAATTAGCCTCATTTGTCGATCAGGATGTAACCCCATCTCTGTAGGGATACGGGTGGATGAGATACATCTCACCTCATCAAACAGGTTAGATTAGTTTCTTGAAATGTGTTGTTTTTGTTTCTTATCCCTTCTCCCTTGATTATATCCGGCAATTATGGATTAGAAGGGGTGTATTTGGCGGCTGTAGTGAAAGCGACCTGTCACATTTGCAGGCTGGCGTCGTAGATTTTGTGTGCCCCGACAGTTTGGAACAGCGAACAGACGTCGTCGGTTGTGCTAGGGGGCGTCAAATAGCCGATAGACGAATCACGGAAGACTAATCCCGAAATCTGATTCGCAAGAGGAAACGCGACGTGGGAAAGGTGTGTAGGTAGCTCGCCGATCTGATCTGATAAAGGGCTTGTAAGCGACGACAGGCCCGCTTCACTAGGTGACATTATCAGTGGGATCGACTAGGGATATCAGACAAGTCCTTCGACTTCTTCGCAGTCCCAGTCTTGGCTGGGCGTCTAGACAAAACACCCATGGTTCAGCCCTCCCTCAAGAATGAAGAAGAACCAAAAGCGTGGATTTATAGGCATGAACAGTCTGTCCAATTCGCTAATTGGTTACCAGCATCCGCTCAGCTGGAACGCCCACGCAGGGAAGCCCCCACAGTAGACGGCACAGTACGGCGCAGTCAGAAAACTGCATGAGTAGGGGATATGGAGCTATCGTTTTCCAATGATTCAGTCAGCTTCAAATTCCATATCAGAAAAGGCTGCTCGAGGGAGACGAGAGCGGACTAATGCCCAACGATTCAGCGGTCAGCCGTAGTAGTGTGGAGTTGAGCTTAACATGGGATGTCGGTCACACTTGAGTCCGCTATCTGTAAGCCCGAAGTCCGGCACAGACGGAAAGGAATGGCTGTGATGGCTGGGGAACAAAAGCAAGCGCCGAGAGTTCCATCAATGGAGCAATTGGGTTAGGCTTGACCCAGCCTCGAATGGATACATCAAGGGATCAGATGACAGCGGCAAGTTGCTGCCCGATGCATGATGGTTGACATGTTGACATGTTGAGCTGGGTTTGGACGATTCAGGACGACATTACACGCCCCCGACCTCACGTCAGGAAGTAGAAGCACCGCCTCTTCAAAGTCGACGTCAAAAGGGCGGAGTTGAAGTTAGGCGTCGACATAGTTGGGCTCTAATGTGATGCGATGTGGTATGTGGTGTGTGTGTGTGAGTTGATGCTTCTTTTTTTGAGAGGATTCTTGTAAATATGATCAGTTGCTGTTTTAGAAAAGTTGCGGTAGTAAAGCATGAGCTGCTATTCGACAATTGTGTTTCAGCCTCGTTTGGCTGCGTCGCATTGGATCGCATCAGCGAGTGGCAACGTGATCGACGTTAGGGCGTCCACAGCCGTTGGACATCAAACAACCGCGGATCTTGCTTGTCCAAGTATAGATTCTGGATTGTGGCGAGTGCGTGAGGATTGGGAACAATCAATTGGGCTGATATTGGGTAGGGCGACATGAATGACAGGCAACTCTGCTCTTCGCTTCGCGACTTCGGTCTTGGCTTCCTTTCGTTTCGATCTCTTTTTTAGCCGTCGGCCAAGTAAGTGAAAGCAGTGGTCAGTTACTTGAGGCTTGTGCTTGATGCTGGTCCTGTAGTACAAGAACATGCAGTAGTAGTTTGGGTGGGGTACAGCATAGAGACAACCCACACAAAGTAAGAAAGGGCGACAAAAGAAAAGAATCAGTCTTGTCATGCGGACGAGGCGGCCGTGTCGTTTCCACGCCAATTAATTGACTAAATTGATCACGTTGATAGAAGAAAGAAGAAAAGTTGGATGTAAAGGTCAAGACTGAAGCCTGAGCAGAGAAGACCCCCGCCTATAATACGGGCAAGTATAGGAGGGGTCTATCCCGTCCAGCCCGCCTCGCTCTTTCCTCGACTGAGCCAGCTGAGTTTGAGCGGTTACAAGCCAATCAGGACACATCATAGTGACGGGCAAGTAACTACTTACAGAGCATTATAGGGTCTGAGAGCCTGACGGTAGAGAGTCCGTTCGCTGCTATCACCCTCTAACAAACTCTACTATGAGAAACACGTC